AAAGTCATCATGGACGCCCTAAGGAGTCGCAATATATCATGGAAAAGCTTCTGCATATGGCAATGGGCAGGTGCCTTGGTGCCAGCCTACCACGTGCCTACTAGGTCATTCAAGGTCATGACACCCAGGACGCTCCATGGCAAAAGCGGGCGTAGAGTTACTTCGTCTGCTGATTTTAGCTTTCCCTTTCCCACCAACTGAGTGCTTCAAAGCACAGGATAATCCTGTCCACGCGCTCCGACTCTCCCCCTGCCCAAACAGCGCCAGGCTTCTCGGGGATGCGGAACGAAACAAGTCGTGACCGACTCGTCATCGGTGTCCCTATTAACCGTCAGAACTCGGTCATTGCGAATGGATCCAACAAATGCCGGCAGGTCCGATATGTGCTGGCACTTCCCTGGCTGGTATATAATTTTGAATCCGAGCGAGGTAGCCACCCCCATGACAAAATCGTTGAGACCGCAAAATCAATTTTTTCCTACCAACTCCACCGCCCTCAATCCAACCCACGCACAACAAAGCCTCACAACGATGTCTAAAGAGTTTTCCACGCCTAAAAAAGCACGCGTGCAAGCCGTATGCGATTTCCTTGATACAGAAAAGCGTCCCTACAGTTACAATGCCGTCTACGATGGTTAGCCCCTTAGATTTTAGCCCCTTTTTTTTTTTGCGGTCTCAACGATTTTGTCATGGGGGTGGTAGCATATCCTGACTGCCACTATCCACAAGGTTGACTCAAACGTTGCTCCGGGCTGCTGAAATGCTCAACGGCGAAGCTTATGTGGCCGGCCAGCTGCCACGCCCGTCCGTCAGCCCGCGAGCTCCCGCCTCTGGGAGGTCCCGGAGATCATCGCGGCCTACCCATACTGGGTATTCTCGTCGCCATCCCCCTGTGCAGAGCCGCACCTGCTCTAACGTAGAGGGCACTGCGGATACGACAAGCCTTGGCATGCCAGCGACATGGCTTCCAAAGACAATGGCATCACGGCCCTCAACCCACCCAAGGGGACCGACCTCTCCCTCGTCGTCATCTTTCTTACCCTGGCCCTCTACAGCGTCACGGAGCTTATCTTCGTCATACCGACAACCTTCAAGCGGCGCGGCGGGCAATACTTTTGGTTCTTTGTGCTCGCAACGTGGTCCATAGTGCCATACTCAGTTGGGTTCATGCTAAAGGGGCTCGCGGTCCTACCCCAGGCCATATATCTCTGGGTCGTCTTTTGCTACATGGGCTGGGTTGGCATGGTTCTTTTCCAGTCGCTGGTCATGTGGTCGCGCCTCCACCTCATCGTCAACAGCCCGCGTCGGCTCCGGCTCATCCTTTATATGATAATATTCGACGCCATCATATGCGACGTGCCGGTCGCCGTGCTGGCCTTTGGCTCCAACAGCCCCCACCCGGAGCACTTTGTGTCCATCTACGCATTCTGGGAAAGCATGCATGTCACGATATTTGCCCTCCAGGAGCTGATCATCTCGGGCGTCTACGTGTGGGAGACGTCCAAGCTGCTGCGGATCGGGCGGGACAACGGCGCGACATTCAACCTCCCGGCGCGGAGCAAGGTCTTGAGGCACCTGATCTACGTCAACATCATCGTCGTGGTCCTCGACGTCCCGACCCTGGCCATGTAGTACACCGAGATGTACGCGCTCCAGACGGCGTACAAGGGCTTCGTGTACAGCGTCAAGCTCAAGCTAGAGTTCAGCATCCTCAACAGGCTCATCTAAATCAGTCGCAGCCGGCCCGCGTCCACGCTGCCCATCTTCGGCGGCAGCAGCCGGCCGGTCGGGGCCGCGGCGACGTCGACCTCGGGCCCGACGACCCTCAACTCGCGATGCGACCCGCTCCGGAGCCCGAGCACGCTGCACAGCCCCCGGCCCCCGGGCTCGCTCAGGTGGCTGTCGCGCCGGTATGGGCGCAACGCCGAGCTGGACGCCACCGGGACCGGCCCGAGCATCATCTTGCCCAAAGTGGAGGACGGCGCCGGCGAGGCTGTGCGCGCCATCTAGGTTACTGTTGAGACCCAGGTCACGGTCGAGCACCACGATATGTGCCAGGTCCCAACCGTGCCTGAGGGAGAGGTTCTTGGTCTGGGAGCCGAGGAAAGGTTGATAGGGAGATCGGCATCGAACGCAAAAGAAAAAGAAAAGAAAAAGCGGGAGACAGTAGCGAAGAAAAGAAATGGCTAAGACCCAGCAACACCAGCGACACGCCGCCAGATCCAACCCCACCACCACATCCGTCGGAGATTCTGGTTCTCCCAGAGATGCTGGTGGAGGAAGTGCCCGCCGTCGTGCCCCACGAAGGCGTCGCAGAACCGAAACCAGGCGACGCAGCGGCTCCCCGAAGTTCTGCGGTTGGTTGAGGGCGTAAGCTAGATGCACCACGGATGTCTGGCTCGCCTACCTGCCCTGCCACCTCTTTGCTTGTCTTGGTTCTGTCTTAGGGGTTTAGGTGGCGCCTATCTTTTGTTTCTACCGAGAGATGGTTTGTTGATACTTACATAATACGCAAACGCACCACTGTCTTGGCACTTGCCATACTTTCCATGCTTGGATCCCTCGCAGAACCACCAAACAAACTGGAAATGTGGTCCGGCAATACAACCCTACCGGCCAGTGTTGCTTGGGAGGAGTCTAGGTCCCCCGCACACTCCCCCGCATTTTTGGCCATCTCGGAAGTTGCGGGGAAGAAACAAGCATCTCTATTCCTGGAGCTTCTCCAAAGACGCAGCTAGCCATCGCGAGCTCGGCGATATTGCTCCGAAGCCAGGGGGGCAGATACCGAGGAACCCCAGCCTCGGCGAGCCTCGGCCTCTGGATGGCGGTATACTCTGAGGTATCATTGCAGCGGGAGGAAGGAAAGAAGGAGCTTCGTGAAACCTTTGCCTCCCCCGTATTCGAGGTCATTATAGCCAAAAGTCTGCCCTACCTCAACATGCCAAAACCCAGCTGGACCTCCCTCGAGACCAATTCGTTATGGATACACCGAAAATGTCTCCTGATTTGCTGGGTCGTGGGCATTGCCAACATGCAATACGGCTTCGACAGCGCCGCGGTCGGCGCCCTGCAGGCCATGCCTGGATTCTTGAGGGTGTTTGGGTATGAAGACGCGAAGAACCCAACGGGGTACGGGATCAATGTAGGCCAATGCCCAAGAGACGGCAAGCCCCAGGCCATGAGGGTTATTCAGAGGACAAGGAGCTGACACCGCCGCGATTCGATATGTCGCACGTGACCGACAGCCGACGGTGCAGCAGCTGATCGCCTCGCTGCTGACGCTGGGCTCGTTCCTGTCCTCCCTCTGCGCCGGCCTCTTCTCGCGCCGGTTCGGGCGGCGGCAGGGCCTCTGGCTGGCGTGCCTGCTCAACATGGCGTCGTGCGTCGTCATGATGGCGACCACCGACGTCAACGTCCTGTACCTCGGCCGCCTCCTGCTTGGCGTCAGCAACGGCTTCCTCGTCACCTTCTCAAACGTCTACACGGCCGAGGCGGCGCCGGCCCAGCTCAGGGGCGTCGTCGTCGCCCTGTTCGCCTGGTGGGTCAACATCGGCAGCATCGTCGGCAGCATCGTGGTCAACTACACGCGCGTCCACGCCGACAAGCGGTCGTACCAGATCCCCATCGGCTGTCTCCTCGTCGTCCCCGTGCTGCTCAGCGTCGCCTTGGCTTTCGTCCCCGAGAGCCCGCGCTGGCTGGCGCACCGGGGTAGCGAGGGCGCCGCGCGCGAGGCGCTCGCCAGGCTGAGGCCGGACCCCCCTCTGCAGACTATGGTGGCTGGCGGCACGGCGGCAGCGGCACTGGAGGTCGAGCTGCGCGAGATGCTGGCGGGCATCGGCGAGGAGTCGGAGCGGGCGGCGGGCGGCGGGGCGGGGTTCCGCGACATGTTCCGGGGCGCCGACCTCCGCCGCACGCTGCTCTGCCACGCGGCGCTCGCGTCGCAGACGGCGTCGGGCATCTGGTTCCTGATCGCGTACCAGACCTACTTCCTGATCCAGGGCGGGGTCTCGCGCGGGTTCGAGTACTCCATCATGACGACGTGCGCGGGCTTCGTGGGCGTCAACCTGGGCATGCTGGCCATGGGCCGCCTGCGGCTCGGCCGCCGCGCCGTGCTGGTCGCCGGGTCCGCCGCCTGCGGCCTGGCCCAGCTGGGGACCGCCGTCGCCTACACGGCGGCCGGGGCGGGCTCCGCGGCGGCCACGAGCTCGCTCGTCGCGTTCCTGACGCTGCACAAGTTCTTCTACAACGCCGGCGTCGGCGCCGCGAGCTACCCCGTCGCGACCGAGGTGGTGGGCACGCGCCTGCGCGCGCAGACGGTCGGGTCGGCGACGTCGCTTGGCTACGTGCTCGCCTGGCTGACGTCGTTTTGCTCTCCCTACTTTATCAACCCGACCAAGCTGAACTGGGCAAGTGTTGGCTTCTTTTGATTTACACCGTAGTGTACGAAGTATGGCTAACATGTGCATTTTTTGTGCGCTTCAACGACAGGGAGCTCAGTACTGCTACATCTGGGCGGCTTCCAACTTTATTTGTGTCGTCTTCTTCTACTTTTGCATGCCCGAAACCGCAAACAGGACGCTGGAAGAGCTTGACGAGATGTTTGAAGCCCGGCTGTCTGTCCGCCAGTTCAAGAAGTATCAATGCGTGGGCAGGGAAGACGCCCGACGGTCGGAGAAGGGAGGGGCTCTCGATTTCGGAGAGAAACGTGGCGGTGAGATGGAGCACATTGAGGTACCGACGCCTGACGAGACACGAAAATCCTAGTCCAAGGTACCTGCATATTTCATTCCTATATGCGTCTCTTTTGCATGACAAAGGAGACGGTAGAAGGTAGGGGGACCTTCTGCCCATGTAGGTATACAAGGTATACAGAGACCTGCCAGGCAAGAGCAGAGGGTTGACGTCGCTTAGGAGCGTATCTAGCCACAAGATAGCGTTCTATAAGAGATCACTTTTTGTGGCAACATAAACGCTTGAGAGTTTACGATATTCTCCCACACCGTCACGATAGAATATATCGACAGGAAAGCACCCTCCGCCCGACCCGATAACACCAGGCCTACAGCCACAGCCTCTTCAACCCTCAGTTCAAGGCGTTCATAGCCTTGGCGTGAGAGTACACCAGCTGCCGGGCCTCGGCGTCCTCGAGGAAGATGGTGAAGCCGTCGTCGTGGTTGCGGCCGTACGAGTAGCCCGAGTAGCCGTACTGCCAGTACATGTCTGGCATCTTCTCGTCGATGTGAACCTTCTGCCAGCCGCCGATGACCTCGAGGCGCGACTCGGGCCGCGTAGTACCCGTCTGGTCCTTGCGGGCGCCGGGCGTCATCCAGCCGTACTCCTCGTGCACGACGGGCTTTCCGACCTTGCGGCCCGAGGCGGCGTGGTCGCGGATCCACTGGTTCGTCCAGGCGACGGATTTCCCCCACCAGTCCGGGTAGGTGTGGAAGGTGCCAAAGTCGATGTTGCGCAGCGCCAGCTCGTGGTCAAAGTCGCCGCCGTCGGAGCCGCTGTAGAAGCCGTCGCTGCTGCCGCCGGCCACGTTGAAGCCGCCCTCGCCGCCCCAGGTCACGAGGTGGTTGGGGTCGATGGACTTGACAAAGGCGCTCATCTCGTCGATCCAGGCCGAGATGGTGGCGGGCGTGCAGTTGCCGCTGCGCGGCAGGTTGCGGTTCGCATCGGCGCCGCAGCGGGGCTCGTTGGCGAGCTCCCACGCCATGACGGCCGGGCTGTCCTTGTAGCGCGTCACCATCTCGCGCACGTAGCGCTTGAAGGCGTCCTTGATGCGCGGCTCGCGGTAGAACTGGTGGCGGTGCAGGAAGGGGTGACTTGGGTTAGCGGGGAGGGAGGAGGACACGACTTGGGATAAAAAAGGAAAGGAAGAAAGAAACATACGTCATCGTGGTACTTCCCGCCCAGGTTGACCGTGTACACGTCCATGCCGCCGTAATCAGCCCAGTTATTGGTCAGGGCTACGACGAGCTTCATGCCCGTCTTGGAGGCCGCGTTGACCACCTTGTCGAACGGCTGCACGTTGATGGTCGAGCGGCCGTTGGCCCAGGTCTGGAACGTAACCTCGTTGGCGGAGTTGTACTTGGGCAGGCCGCTGGGGTTGAAGGTCTGGTTCTTGTCGTTGAACCCCCAGGTGCGGAAGACCTTGAGGCCGGCATCCTTGGCAGCCTGCAGGCCCTTTTCCACGTCGGCCTGGTTCTGTGCGGCAGCGGGTTGTGGGTGTTAGCCGTGCTGGATCTAGACGGTCGGGTGTGTAAGTGGGATTGGGAAGGGGTGACTAACACCGTTGAATGGAAAGTAGTAGGCGTTGGAGCCGGCAAAGTAAAAGTCCTTGCCGTCAAGCTTGAACTTCTGGCCCTCGACCGTCACGAAGCCGCGAGGGGCCTCGCGCGGGGACACGGGCGAGGGAGCACCCAGGGCCACGCTAGCCAGGAGGCCGAGGGGCAGGAGTCCAGAAGATCCAAAGAGCATCTTGGGGGCGGTGCTGTGCCTGGAGAGGAACGTGCAGTCCAGGGAGGGACTGTGGACGGGAGAGACGCGACATTTCCACGGTGAGTGCCACCACATGCATATTTATCAACAAACCAGCAATGCGCCCACAGTGGACTGGTTTTCTAGAATACCACTCCAACCCGCCCACATCGACAGCGTTGCTTCGGCCCAAAATCGACAAAACGGAGCCCGTTGAGCCGCCCTCCAGGGGTGCATCCCCCCAGTTTTCCCGGGGCGCGACTGTGCCGAGTGCGGAGATGGCTTAGTCGGGGGGAAGGCAAGGTGCCGTCGCATCGACAGCACGGCAAAGTAGGTGGCCGCTTGGGAAATGACGCTGCCCCAGGTTGCGGGGATGCTGGGGAGCCAAGAAGGCTCGGGATGGGGAGATGGGGCACTACGACAAGGCCAGGGTACGCTGTCCAGTGGGGATATAGAAAGCACGGGGCAGACAGGGAGGGCTTTCTGTTATGGTGCTAATTTCCGACTTTTATCACTATCAAGCATTCGCAACGAGCTCGGCAAGAGAGCTACCCTTTGTGGCTATTCGCGAGAGTACCCAGGAAATGAATGATGGCCGTCTGCAGCGACCTGCCCAGAGTAATCTCCAAAAAAGAGACTAGAAAGTCAAGGAGGCAAGGACAAACAACCCCAATCCCTCAGTCTAACCCGACGTAATGCTGCTCTTAAGCCTGAGGTCCCTGCTGCTGGCCCCGATCTCGACGCCAAAGGTACCAGAAGGCAGGATCCAGTTCTGCTGGGCCGTGTCCCAGTAGCTGAGATCGCGCCTCCGGATCCTAAAGGTGGCGGTGCCGCTGGCGCCCGGGGCGAGCTTGAGCTTGGCGAAGCCGCGCAGCTGCCTCGGCGGCTGTGGCGGCACGCCCGCCGCCGTCGGGTACGACACGTACAGCTGCGCCACCTCGGCGCCCTCGACGCCGCCCGAGTTGGTCACCCGCGCCGTCACCGTCGCCACCGTCTGCCACAGGTCCGCCCTGCCGCCGGGCTCGACGGCGCCCGTGGCGGCCCCGGCGCGCGCGTTGGACGTGACCGTGATGTCGCTATAGGTGAAGTTTGTGTAGGCTGGTCGTGGCGAGGGAGTTAGTTCTACGGGTCAGTCTGGGCTATCGCAATAGTTGGATATCTCCCTCTAGGTGGTAGGGATATCTCCTTCTAGGTAGTAGGGATATATGGAGGCACGACTTACAGAGGCCAAAGCCAAACTCGAAGCGAGGAGCAATGTTTTGGCGGTCAAAGCGGCGGTAGTCGATAAAGACGCCCTCGCTGAAGTTGTCGTCGCCCCGGACAACTGCGGTGCCGTAGTCGCCCGGCGATTTCGCAATAGTGTAGGGCAGCTTACCGTTGGGGCTGACGAGCCCGTACAGGACGTCGACGAGTGCGTTGCCGCTCTCCTGGCCCGGGAGCCCAGCCCAGACGACGGCCCTGACACCGGGCGTGTTGAGGATGGTCTCGAGGATAATGGGGCCGACCGAGTGCACCACCACGACCACGTTCTTGTTTGCCTGCGCCGCCGCCTGCACGAGCTGGTTGCCGTTGTTCCACGGGTCCAGGTTGGCGCGGTCGCCGGCGTGGTCGCCCACCTTGATGTAGCCCTCTCCCGAATTACTAGTAATAAAGACGAGGGCCACGTCGGCGTCGCGGACAGTGTTGGCCACGTTGGAAGTGCTGTCGCTCGCGCTCATCGTCACCGCCGAGCCGTCTTGGCGCGCCCGCGCCTGCAGCGCGTCGGCGGGCGCCACGAGGTAAGGGTAGTTCGTGGTGCCCGAGCCCCAGCCCATGCCCAGGGCGCCGTCGTTGCAGCCGCGGTCGACGCAGGCGTTGATGCCGCGCGGGTTGTTAACCGCTGCCGAGCCCACGATGGCGATGCGGCGCGGCGCCTTGAGCGGGAGCATGTTGCCCTCGTTGCGGAGTAGCACGATGCCGTCGCGCGCCACGGCCCGGACGTTGTCCTTGTGGCTGCCCTGCACGTTGGCGCCGAGGTTGGTGCGGGGGTAGCCCTGGTCCTGCCCGACGAGGTACCAGGACGCCAGGATGCGCTTGACCATGTCGTCGAGCCGGGCCCGCGGCACCTGGTTGTTGTTGACGGCCGTGTTGAGCTGCGGGCCCCAGAGGACGTTGCGTCCGTTGAAGTCGGTGCCGGGCATTGCCATGTCCATGCCGCCGTTGGCGCTGCCCAGCGTCGTGTGCTGCGCGTTCCAGTCCGACTGTGCATAGGTGAGCACAGAAAAGTCAGTAAACAGTTACTCGATTTGCGACAGCCAGCAGAAGGGAGGACATCTCCTCACCATAATATATCCCCGGAACCCGAGCTGGTCCTTGAGCAGTCGCTGCATGGCGCTCTGGCTCTCGCAGGCCCACGTGCCGTTGATCTTGTTGTACGAGCACATGACGGCGGCCACATTGGCCTTGACGGCGTCGGCAAAGGGCCAGAGGTACAGCTCGTGGAGCGTGCGGTCGTCAACGTTGGAGCTCATAGTCTCGCGGTTGAGCTCCTGCTCGTTGACCAGGTAGTGCTTGGCCGTCGCCTGCACGCCCACCTCCTGCATGGCCTCGACCGTCATCTGCATCCCGATGCCCGCCAGGTACGGGTCCGGCCCGAAGCCCTCCCAGTTGCGCCCACCCTGCGCGATCTTGCCCAGCGCGCCGGCGACGGGCGCCAGCAGCACGTGGACGCCGACGCCCCGAGCCTCCTCGGCCTGGAACCGCCCCCGCTGGCGCATGAGATCGACGTCCCACGTCGACGCCGCCTGGATGCCCGGCGTGAAGGCCGTGACGCTCGTGGCGAAGCGGATGCCCGTGGGGCCGTCCTGGAGGCACAGCTGCGGGTAGTTGATGGAGGACACGGGGGACGTGTTGCCGACGCAGGGGCCCTTGTCCCAACCGATCCCTGTCACTATGCCGATCTTGTCTTGCTGCGACAGGCGCGACAGCGCCGCGTTGGCTTTGGCGTAGGCCTCGTCCCACGTGAGGACTGCCGACCCCCCGCCGACCAGCGCGGCCGCGGCGAGGATGCGTCCGAAATAAACCATATCTGAAGAGAGCAAAAACAGCTATTGAATGGGGTACTGATATTTGAGTGATGGGCTCGTTAGTCGACCTGCATCCCAAGATATGTAACAAGCAGCATGGCCAAGACGAGAACGTGCTCGCATGGCTCAGAATAGGAGCTGTGCTCCTGGGGGAGATGCACATCAAAGCAGCAGGCAGGCCCCTGCCTGACGGAAGAGTAAATAAGGAAGGACCGCACTTGCCTACCGTGAGCTTGGTTGGTCTTTCGCCAAGTGCTTCCCACGGACGTCGCCCCTGAAGCTGGTGCTAACTTGACAAGTGCCGCCGATGTCACGCCCTTCTGGCTGCTCTCAGTAGGTGACCCAAATGGGCAGGCGAGGGTTATATACACCGACGTCAGGCACCTACCACCTACCACCTACCACCTACCTACCTATGCAGAGGTCAGGGATGGAGGCAGAGTCGGTAATACTGCGGAAGGAGATGCAGCCTCCGCATTCTCGCCAAGAGGGTCGGCCCGGTTAGGGCCCTGTCCTGCTGCCGTCAGTCGGCGGTGGGGGAGCCAGAAGCCGAGGGCTGGCGGGACATCACATGGCGCCGGCGAGGGCAATTCTCCCAGGCCATCTCCACCAGGCCACGAGGAGGCGCAATGTCCATTGGGTAGAGCAGCTCAGCAGAGTCGCAGCCCACAATGAGATTCAAGGAAAGTGTTCAAGGAAAGTGAGCGGGCGGCCTTGTGACCTTTCCGGGCCAGAGCCTCGGCTGCCACCACGACCCCGCCTTCCCTGGACTGCCGTGTCGCGTTGCGCACTCATCGTTCCGGCTCTGGATCCCCGCCCGCATTCCAGCCTGGGCCAAGAGGAGGAGAGGCAGGAGCCTGTGGGATGTTGAGAGGAAAAGGAAATAAAAGGGGACACGATGGGTAAGGTGGTAGGTAGCTGAGAGGAGCCCGGCCTTAGACGTCGCTGCGCCAGACAAATTGCGACCCTCGCAGGCCGCGGCATCTCCAACACCATGGCTCGATGCCCGCCCCTGGCCGTCTGCCGGCATGACCTCGCGCGTGGCCGAAAAGGGGAAGGCCCGGGGCCTCGGAAGTAGAAGCTTGAGGCGGACGACTTCAGCCGGCCCGCCCAGCCGTGTGCGAGGAGTCCCCCGCTCCGTAGTGTTTAATCTGGCAGAGATGGCCCTTTTGCGGGGACCATGTGCGACCTCACGCCGAGCGAGGCAATTATTACGGGTGGTGTCGCAAACGGATATAAACCCGCTTGGTAGCTACCAGCCACTAAGCGGGGGCCTTCGCTTTTAGCACGGTGGTTCGTCACAGTTATGAGCCCGGAAGGTCGCAGGTTCGATTCCTGGCAGCGTACCTGCTTAAGACCTGTAATTTCCCTTGCATTTGCCAGACGGGCAACCGCCCTAAAAACGGTCCAGCATCTAGTTGCTGCAGACGTAAGCACAGCTTTGTGAGCATGAAGAGTCCAAAGTGACAGATCATCCCGACCGCTACTGCTATTCGGTCGGCACAATCTGGGGGGTGTGTCGCAAAAGCTACCAGCCACTAAGCGGGCCTTCGCTTTTGGCACGGTGGCCCAATTGATTCGTGCGATTTTCGAGGTGCGCTTTCATGTATTGGCCCGGCGGAAGAACACGACACACAAAACACCGCGTCAACTTTCTCGTGGTTTACACGAGGGCCAAGCACACCGCATGACGTAGTGACTGCGAAATTTTCATGCACTGAAAAGAAGGGGAGGGGGAGAAAGTTTATAGTCGTCGCACGGACATCATATTTACAATCAAGTCAACGGGCCAGGCCGAGGCCCCGCCCAGCATTAGGAAACACAAAACTCTGGAGAAATATCGAACAAAAAGAAGACACCACCACTGCGAACCCGCAGCTTTCCTGAAAAAAACACCCAAATCAAACAGCGTGGTCCGCAATCCCCAGCGTGTTGTTGCCGCCATTGAAGACAACAAACTGGGACTTGAAGAAGATGTCGCCGTAGATCTGGAGGTTGGAGGTGGTGGGCTGCATTCCTCCGAAGCAGGCTAGAGAGGAACAGAGGTACGTGGTCAGCTCGGGGACATTCTCGAGTGTTGGGACTTGTACTTCGGACAAACTTACTGTTACCCTCGACCTTGGCAAACACAATGTCGGACCCCTTGACCTTGGCCATGACGCCGCCGACGTCGAGCATCAGGTCGGGCAGGTTGGCGTCGCAGGGTACGGTGATGCCGCCGACGGTCTGGTCGTTCTTGGCGCCCTGGACCTTGCTGTAGTAGCCGTTGATGGTGGCCGCGTTGGCGAGGATGAGGGTCGTGCCCGTGTCGGCGATGGCCTGGCCGCCGGGCGTGCCCTGCTGCGGCTGCCCGTCGCCGACGGCGAACTTCTCGCTCGAGAACTGCCAGAAGCCCCTGGTCGTGTTGATGGGCACAAAGTTCATGGCGCCCGTGAACTTGGAGCTGTCGATGCGCCCAAACTCGTACGCGCCAGTGGCGCCCTTGCGGAGGTCGGCCGTGAAGACTGGCTCGGCGAGCGAGGGCATGACGTTGTCGAAGAAGGTCTTTTGCTTCTCGGGGCTCACGGCGTTGAGCTTGGAGTAGGCAAGGCCCATGAGGCCGTTGTTGGCCGTGTCCTTGACGAAGGAGCCGCTGACCTGGGTGGCCAGCTCGACGGCCTGGTTGGCGAAAGAGACGCCACCAACGTCGACCGTGTCGGTGCCGACGACGCCGGCCGCCTGGGAGCCGTCGCCGTAGCTGATCTGGAACGAGGAGCCCTGGGACATCTTGAAGGACTTGGACTTTGCTGGGTCAAAGACGGTGTGGCCCTTCTGGACGTTCTGCGAGAGCATGGTACTGAAGACCCACAGGTCCGACGATCCCGAGTCGAAGTCCAGGTTCAGGGTCTGCCCGCCGATGTTGACGGGCGAGAGGTACTCAACGTCTCCGGCCTCGGGTGTGGCCGTGACCAGGCCAACGCCGGCACCCTTTCCAGTGCCGTTGACTCCCTTGCCGCCCGAGGCCTTGCCAGCCGTAGCCTCGGGGGCAGCTGGCACAAACTCGATGCCGTCCACAATGATATCATCGCCCTTTGCGCCCTCGACCGATGCCGCCGAGAAGGACTCGGCCTGGGTGGCCTTGGCAGCTGCGGCCTCGGCCTGGATCGACTCTAGCAATGCCGATGGGATAGGCATGCTGAACTTGGAGTAGGCTTTTAATAGCTCTCGTGGGCCATTGTGTCCCTTGAAGTTGACGTTCCGCACACGCTCAACCTTGAACGACCTTTTCTGCAGCCTGGATGGGGCGGCCGAGACGAACGAGGCCAGCACCCCGAGGAAGAGCAGCGAGTTGAGTAGAGACCACATGTTGACAAGGGTAGCGATGTGAGGTACAGTTGAATAATCCACGCCAGGTGGTAATGGTGAAAGAGGAGTGAAAGAGGGACGAGTTAAAAGAGTAAAAGTGCGAGCACTGCTCGTCGCCAGGTAAATCTATCCCGAAGAAAGACCAAGGCGAGATGAAAAGAATAACACACCGTCGACCAAAGGCAACGGCTGTGCAAAAAAATAGGAGAGAAAGGGGGAAGGAGAGGTGGTAGAGAAGAAGACAAAGAAGGGATCAAGGAAAGGAATCTGCGAGGTTAATGTACCTGACAGCGGCGCTTCCTAATGGGACACTCCCCCGAGTGGTGAGCGCTCGCAGAAAACGAGACAGAGGCTGACACGGGTGGAACCAAGGCATCTCATCGTACCCTTGACAGCCTGGTGGTGGGGTCCAAGCAGAGGAGCAGGCCAGGGGGAGGCGTGTGGCAATACCCACGCCCCCATTACAGATACCATCAAGGTTGGCTCGAATCCTTGGCCTTGACGGCTTTGTGCGAATGGCGCGCTGTAGCCAAAGGTGGGCACTGCGGGAGCCAAAGTACTGCACTAGGTATAAGCGTGCCTCGGCCCGTCCGATGTGCTCGGCGGCTTGAAATCCCTGACGGAATGAGCTTCATCGAGCGCATGGGCCTGCGAGGTACGCCCAGTTCGGGAGAGACGAGAGAGTGAGAGCCAACGTAAATACCTGATGGCATCATAAGACACCGTGTTGCACCGGATAATGGCATTCGAAGGGCCACCGCGGCAACGCCCTCACTTCTAGCAGCGATGGCGAGATGGGCAGTTCATGCCCTCTCAAGGACGACCCGCTCCATTGGGCCACAGCCGCTCCCGGTATATCCAGTTATTTCCATTATTTTCAATGGGAAGACGGGGCCTGCGCCGCAATAGTGGGCGCCTCTCCCACATCGGACAGTGGGCACGGATAGGAATGGAGCGCGGCGCTGCCTCGCAGTGAGCCGCTGCAAGGGTGGTCCCTGAGCGTCGCAGGAAACGCCGCGGCCATGGATTGCTGGTTCGAAGGATTTCCGAAAGGGAAGAAACTCAAGATAGCCTGCAGCCGACTAGCGGCTCCTCGAGACGCCTGGACTTCTTCCTGATGAAACGCCAGCGCCGTCCAGAGCGTCCATTCGTCGGAAGGGCCACTGGCGCTGCTGGGGCGGCCACAGGACCCGCGCTAGTTTTTTCCCCCCGCCCCATCACGCAGCAGAAGCCGACAGCCTCGACGCGTGTCCCCCACGACGGAATTCGGGCACCCTACCCATGATTTGGCATCCGCGTGCCCAGCAAAACCAGGCGGCTAAAGAAACACGCGGAAGCTGGCTGGGGCATGGGGGGAAGCCGGCACAGAGGCGGTGCATTGCGACAGAGCCAATCGCTTTTGCCCAGCCTTCGGCAGTGGCCGCATCTCTTGGCGACATGTGTCCCCTCTCGGGAGCGTTGCCAAAATGTTTCGCTCAGGCAGCTTGGCGTTTCCTTTGCCCTTTCATCGGGCTGGCAGGGCGTGGACGTTGTGATGATGGCCGCCACTTTGCGAATCTCGGGATATGCGCAGGGGCCAGAAGCTTGATTGCAGCGCCAAGACACGATCCCCCCGCCCGTGCAACTTGGCTTTTGTCCCCCACGATTTCTAAGCCTTTTAGCGTTTGATGGTGGGAACGGTATTGAACCGATATATTGAACCGATAACGACGGCATAGGGAATCAAGCGTGGCGGCTGCTGTAACCCAACCCAGGAAGACGACACTATCGCCTGCCACCTAGAATCGCTACTCCCTTTCGCTTACCCAGCGTCGGATATTCTTGGGGACCGTCACAAGAGCACGCGTCCCTTGGCCGATTGCTAAACACCTCGGAGCAGATACACCTGGGGGAGCGAAAGCGCCGCCTCGGTCTCTAGTCCCTGCAACGACTAGCTTGCCAGGGACACCGACAAGCGGGAGTAAGGGGAAGCGTCACACCAGTCGCAAGTCGGGCACTTTCGATGTCGGCGAGCCACGAGGAGACCTGTCTCCGAGCCGTAGGCCTCCAGATGGGGTCAGGAGGTGCGCCGTCATGCTGTTTCAAACCCGCGTCGGCCCATGTTTGGACGGGTAGGGGGGAGGCCCCGCAGCCTTTCGTGCTCTTGAGCATCGTGTTTGGTTGCCAGACACCCGCCGTTAGTTCGGCATCCATTTGCCGGCTCACCCCTGGCCAGCCCGCCCCTTGAAGATGGGATGCTCAACCTGCGAACGTCCTTGGCTTCCAGTATCCGAGTTCTTTTTTGGGGGTGGCCAAAGTCCAAGCTTTGGTGCGTCGGAAGCATAGATTGCGGTTTAGAGGCCGGTCGGAGTACTGAATGGGATGCTTCCTTGCGGGAACAGGGAGCGAATGCGATAACAATGCCCCTGGCCTGTACGTAGAACACAGGGTACAGCGGTATGATGTCAATACATTCCACAAAGGCATTAGGATACGACTTGGCGCCGACGAGAAGATGGCCCAGCGGACATGCTTGACGGTGCACGCGGCGACACACTGGAAACAAAAGCAATCGGGGGCAAACCCGAGGATGTGTTGGTAGGAGGAACGGCTTGGTACAAAAATGAGCTGCATGGAAATGCGGAAATAATGCAAGGGCAGAATGCAGTTGGTTGAGCAGACATTGAAGCTGCCACCCGCCCTCCTAAAACGAAGCCTGCCAGCCACGCAACCACTAGGCTTAATTGGGAGATACCGTTACATTACCATAGTCACTGTATTCTGCACTGTACAGTCATATAGTGGTGTTGGCCCGTAAAGCCTGTGCATCGCAAATATATTAATACTGTGTATCTCCGTTTTGACGGATCCATCGATTTGATAGGGCGTCAGGCTGCATTCACGGCGCCCCACCCCACCGTCTGCTGCGGTCCTTTGCTGGGGGCGAGGTCGCTCCGCCGGATTTTGCAAATCCATCAATTGACCACCACCAGTATTCCAAACGGTGGAACGCAGAGTCCGCCCTCTGGACCTGACAGTTCCAAAATCCATCCATTCATCCCGCCAGACTCGTCTGCACGAACAAAAACGAAAGCGCTTCTGGCTCCTCCACACGCGACCCGCCAAAACGGGACCGTGGTGTTGGGTCGCAGGCTCCCGCCACCAGCCGACGGTTTTCGGTTATTTGCAGCACGCAGGCTGGAGCTGGAGCTGGAGCTGGAAGGCAGGGCCACTTTCCTGGCCGAGCGCGTGCCGCCGCAGCACCGTGCAAAGTCGAGTCTTTGACCGTCCCACGACTACCAACACGCCACCCAGCCCCCCTTGTCCAGCCGCGGCCGGCGAACCGCCCCTTCGTCTCGTCGAATCGTGACGCCGCCGCCAGCCATCCAATTTCCCCTGTGACGGCCGTCCTCGCCGTCCGCCCACCCTGGCGTCGGTCGCTCCACCGCCGGCCGTCCGTCAAAGCGCCCAGCGCGCTCGGACGTAGCCGCCTGGCCGCCGCCGCCGCCGCTGGTGTCTCCTGCCGCTGTCCGTCGGCGCGGTGCTCTGCCGACACCACCCGCCCCCCGCCGTCCGGGGAGCAGGCGGTGCTGGGTGCCACCTCGGGTGAGTCGGGCTGAGCTGCGACCTCCAACGAGCCGGTCCCGCGTGCGAGCGCGGGGCACATCGCCGTCGTCGCCATGGCTGAGGAGGACTACACTGTCGCCGACTCAACTCTGGTCGACATCTCGGTCTCGTCCGCCAACGGAGGCAAACTCCGCAAAGGCCCGCGGTTCAGCTGGACGCCAGCCTATGAGGCCACTTTCTTCCGGTCGCTCTGCGAGTCGGTTCAGCTGGGTCTCAAGGACAATCACAGCTTCAAGCAGGAAGCCTGGGATCGTGCCGCCAAGGCTCTGCAAAAGCACCACGGGGCCTACCCGAACAAGGGCCATCTTATTAACAAATCGGACAATGCGCGGAAGAAGTTCCGCCTGTGGCGAGGTCTTCGTGAAGACCCTGACTTCCTCTATAACCCCACCACGCGCATGGTAACCGGGACCGAGGAGGCCTGGAAACACCACGTTTCTGTACGTCGACCACAGCTCCCGGTTGGGGTATTTGTAGCTCGCTCGTTTGGTGTCGCAACTAACTTCCACCCAGAAAGAGCCGCTCTCTCGGTCGCTCAAAGGGCGCCCTTTTGACCATGAGGATTACATGGAAATTCTGTTTCCAGATGTTGTGGGCTCTGGCGGCGCCCCAAAACGCATCACCAAGCGGCGTCGCGAGACGATCGGGGTGCCGGGATCTGAAGGCGCCGATGGCAACGCAAATGACTCCCTCATGGATCTCCTTGATGATAGCAGCTACGGCGCCGTGGTGCCGCCGCCCATGTTGTCATCCGCGCCTCTGGGCATCGTGCCCCCAAACATGACACCACAGACACAATCTCAGCAGCCTCCTCAGCAGCAACCGCCCCAGCACCACCAGCCACAGCAACAGCCGCCACCCATGCCACCCCAACCACAACAGCACCAACACCGGGTTCAGCAGCAGCAGGGTCCACAGCCGCCACCCCAACAACAACAGCAGCAGCAACAGCCTCTCATGCACCAGCAACCGCAACAACGACACGGCACTGCAGTCAACATGCTCATGGGAGCATCCACGGCCTCCACAAGCGCTCTCACCCCACCCGACGAGACGCAACCCCCAAATAATTCGCGGAAGCGCTTCGTCCCTGACCCGTCAGTGTTCTCGTCTGACAAGCGGCGCCGCACCACGGGCACGCCCACTGCAAATTTTGCCGATATGACGCACCCTGCTCCAGAGACGCAAGCCAACGTGGGTACCAGCGGGGGATTACCGGTCGCCAGTCAGTCCGGCCCCACGGCAGATCCCAGCGCACCCAACATGGCTGGAATTACTGCCTTGGCTGGCTCAGCCGCGGGGCCGACGGGGCTGGGCCACGGCCTGGTCGAGGACCTGCTGATCCAGCTTGCCGAGGCGGTCAAGCTTTCACGACCGCTGCGCTGGCCCGAGCAGGCCATGGAGATATTCTTCCGCGACTTTAGCGAAGAGGAGCTGGTGCTCCAGTGCAGCATCGCCGAAAAGATGCTCACTGACCCTAACAAGGCCCTCATGTTCTGCAAGATGACCCCTGAACTCCGCCGGCAGTGGGTCAAGAGGCTGCGTGACGTGCACACTCGCATTCCCACGAACTGAATCTCCGCCCTGCCATCCCTTGCTCGCTCTGGTCTCTGATGATGGGTTTCCCATGTGTATATGGGTTTCCTTATTATCTCTCACCGGCAACCTTTGCTTCTCTCCCTTTTTCTTCTCTTTTCGCCCGAGCTCTATATCGGATCTCCGCGGCCACGTTTAACGAGGCTAACACAAAACTGCCACATGAGGAGATTTTCTAGGCGATCTGGAGTCGGCCCTGGTGTTTGGCGTTCTTTCAGATATGTTTTATTCAGGGTTGTCACCTCTTTGTTTACACCATTCCCAGCCTTGGTCCAGGCTTGTACCGTCCCCCTTGGCTGGGAAGTTGGTTTAACCTTCATATTCCCTTATGTCTCCTTCTCGTAGCGGTTCGACGTCATTAGCATTTTCTGAATATGTCTCACCCGACTGTGGGTCGGACAAATGGCATCTGGGGGCGTTTATCGATGGGTGGATTGGGTCTTGATACCGATTTAGCTTTCTGTCTCCTTCCCAGCGAGTTCTGAATTGTTCGATTCTGAAATGGGAAAATGGATTCCCCTGTATGCGAGTCATCTCATACATATCTGCCGACAGGCCGAGACTGCATTTGCGCTTTGGAGCAATCGTGATAAAAGAGTCGCGGTTAGATACAGTGATGGATGTAGCCGGAAACCCATTACCAAATGTGCCGAAACCTGAGAATGTGCCGTCCCGAGCAAAATATATGAAAAAGGTAGAACATTTCAGCAGAGAAATTTGTTCTAGAATCAACATCCCCGAAACTCCCCACGGTAGAGCAACCGCGGTGATACAAAAAGAGATATCCGAAAGTCACGACAGCTGCCGCGACTGGAAGCGGTCGCTTGCCATGTTTAGAGGAGATGGGGCGGCTGTCGTATTTGAAGGCTGATGGTATGAAGTGGGTTATAGAGCCGTAGCATGGTATTTTTTTGAAAGCAACAAAGAACATTGAGCATCATATTTGGTCCATCATTGCTTCTTGCCCTTAGCCTTGAGGTATGCCCTGAGAATGGGAAGTCGCAGGTTAGCAAGGCTGTCACATCACCCGCCGGGCGCATCAAGATTGAGGATGAGGACATGGATGGAAGGAAATAAACAACAACTTACGAAGTAAAGACACCTTCTCCAAGGCCAACAATGCCCAGGAGGCCCAGGCCGAGACCGACGCCCTTCCAGCCCAGGGCGCGGCGCTCGTAGAGGCCCCACGCCTTGTAGCCCACGACGGCGCCCAGGCCCATGACGACGACGAGGTTTCCGGCGAAGAGGGCCGTGGCGGCGCCGTCGCCGAGCGACGCGATCTTGGCCACGAGCCAGTTGTCGGCGCTGCGGGCCCTCGCGGCGGCCCGCTCGCGCGCCGACCTGGCCTTGCGCTTGGCCTCGGCGGCCGCGGCCTTGTCCTCCTCCTCCTCGCGCTCGATGCGGTCGGCCTGCGTGTCCGTCTGCACGTCCTGGTCGCCAAAGTCGGAGGGGACGGTCCGGACTGAGGGCGTGTCGACGTCGACGAGGGACGACGTCGACGCCGTCGTCGAGTTTTCAATCTGCGGCGGTTGCGGGGCGGCGGCCTGCATTTGCTGGTGTCAGCGGCGCGTTTGTCTCTTTTTTTTTTTTTTTTCGTTTCCTTTCTCTTTGAGCATGGGTGGTGACGTCGAGCCGTTTTGCACTTGACGGCCTGTGCCATCTTTCCATCATCCCCTCTCCCCTCCCCTCTGCGCATGCCTCCCAAAAAAGCGCCTCTTTTGCCGTCAAGACAACCGGCGCTTGCGTGGGCGATGCGCCAAAAAGTGGAGTGACCCATGCATGCATTGGGTTGGGCTGCCCGCCTCGAGGGTTGGAAGATCAAAAAGCGAGGTGCGAAGGGCTGGACTGACCTCCTCTGGAGTCTGCTTCGGGCCCTTGGCGGCGATATCAGCGTATGATGGCGTGTCCGACACTGTTTTTCGCAATCACGCGACGACTGGTTAGCAGATCGCACCAGGCATCTCTGATCGATCCGTGAGCTTGGATCGAGCTCCAAGTCATGACATCACCACTGGCAGGGGTGGATCCTTACTCTTGGTTGAGAAATTCGGGCTGGCACGAGAGAGAAACTTTTTTTGTGATGGCAGAGGAGGGAGCTGGCTGGCGCTCACGAGAAATTGGGGGGATCGGATGCGATTCCTATCCGAGATTCGGGCTTGCAATAATATGAGTGTAGGTGGTGGTAGTGGTTGAGGGAGAGGATTCGATGGCGCGCATGTGAAGGGTGGAATACGGGAGGGGTGGGTTGCTTGTGCTCCAGCTTTTGGGCCACTGAAAAATTAAGGCGGGATGAGCTGTTGCTCGCGCCGGCCAGGGCAGCTCCCACCCCAAGCTTGGCAGCCGCCGACGAATGACGTCTGTCCACGGCCGCTTTTTTCTTGTCTGCTTCCCTCTTTTGGCTGCCCTGCACAGCATGGGCCCTGCAAAAGGTGCCCAGTCGGGCGAGGAACGAATGGGACCCATCTGACAACAAAACATGCAGTGATCAGTGATGAACCAGGAGCAGAGGGACTCGAGGGCCTATCAACTGCCCGCCAACGTATTTTCCGAGGCATAAGGGTGGATAGAGGGGTGATGAGGGGTAGGAACGTCTTCTCTCAAAGAACCTCCTTGTCCATTCATCGATGCTGGTTCCCAGAAGTGCAGCCTGCCAGTCATCAAGTGGTTGCAGAAGCATCCCCTGCAAGTGGTATGCAACCCCACGGCCAGGCAAGGGATACGTGCACAAGATCGAAGCTGCAAGCAATTAGAGAGGATTAGTTTCCTTGTCTTCGCTTCTACGCGTATATACAGATCGCTGTGAGTTTTACAGTCCCATTTTGGGAGAATCCAGCCCAGGGGCTAACTTGCCCCTCACCCCTAACCTGTTGCTCGATGGTCGCCAGTCCCTCTAGCAAGCCCACCCTCCAAACCGGTCTAAATATTCACACAAAGCCACGTATATATCTTGGTTGTTTTGTCTAAGACCGTCCCAGTCACTCATTCTCCGTTTTTGCGAATAATTACTTCTGGTTGGCAGCCGTTGCGTCGCTAGTAGCCTTGGGTGTTGAGGCTGGTGCTACAGACGTCTTGTTCTCCTCTTCCGGGGTTGTAGCTGGGGCTGGGGGGTTCTTTGGAGTTTCCTGGGCCTCCTTATCCTCCTCCTTGGGGGTGGAAGCGACGGCGATGGCCGAGTTCTCGGACTTCTCTTGGATTTCCATCGCTGCCTTGGGGGCGGCAGCGGGTGCGTCCTCGCTGCTGGCAGGAGCATCGGTGGGCTCCTCTCCGTCCTCATCCGCGAGCTCGCTGCCGTAAATCTCAGGGTACTTCTTGAAGCAGTCTTGCATGTGCCTGAATCACACTGTCAGCGCCGTCACTGTAACAACAGAAGTTGGCCCAAAAAAGGGATGCCCGAATCGAGTATATTGGTGGACATACTGGAATTTGTCGATGCAGTCCATGCCCTTGGGCTCCTCGGTAGAGTAGACGAAGCAGCTGAACGCGGCCTTGAACTGCTCTCCACAGGGTCCATCGGCCATTCCACCCAGGCAGGGGCAGTCCCAGTTGATCTCGCCCGTCTCCGGGTTGAATGCGCCCTGCTGGCTCGCCTCCTCCTCAAGCGCCTCCGGGGAACCCGGCTCCGGTGCCGCCATAGGGGTGGCGGGGTCCTCCTTGGTCGGCTTTGTCTCCTTCTTCTCCTTCTCAGATGGTGGCGGAGTTGGCGGGGCAGACGCCGCAGCCCGTTTTTCCCTGGCCTCGGCCTCCTTGCGCTTCTGCGCAATCACGGACTCCACGGTAGGGAGATCGTCATCGGAGAACTGGGGAGGCGCGGGGATCGTTTGGGCTGTTTTGGCCGAGTGGTTAGTACACCTGGATCTGAGGGGACGTTATGGACACCCCCGGCTGGTTGCGTATGGCTCGGAAAGCGAGGCTTCGGCATATCGGAGGGGCAGCGGGTTCGGCGTGGACATACGAAGCGGCTCATCGGCGAAGATCGGGCTTGTGTTGTACCAGTAGAGGGCACCGGCAGCCAACCCCCACCTCACAGCAGCTCCCTTCCAGGTCCTGGGCTTGTCTGAGGGCTTGAAGCTGAGATACCTGCGAGAGGTGGATGTGAGGGTGGTCGTCGGCGCAGCAGACCGCGCCGCGCGCGCTGTTGAGCGTAATGTGGCGCGGTACATTGTGAGTATCGGGCTAGACACAAGGAGAAGACGCTCGCGGATAAGGGCGCTAAGGAAACCAAATCAGACGGGGTGGCTGTCGAGTGCAGCAGCCGGCGCGGAGATGGGTTTTCGGCTTCCCCTAGACAAAATGGCGTCGTCGCATTGGTAATCCAACGGGCCAGTTCCAAAGCCGCCCCGTCGCCAAAATTTTCGGGACCTCGATGGTTCAATTGGGTCGGCCAGTTTGCAGGGGTTAGGGGTTGAGTGTCGGTTCGAATCGGGGGTGGATTCTGCCACTGACGCCCGTGTCACCGCCTTGGAAGCCGGGCTTGGCTGTGACGGGAATGATCAATGGATCGACTGTGAGCCACGCTGCTGCAACGTGCGATGCAAGGGGTGCATGACCTGCTTTTGGTTGACCGGGATTCATGTATGTTATTGGGCCTTGATTCGCAAGGGTCAAAGACGTAGAATGGAGGATATCGGTTGTCCTCTTCCACATTGATTCTGCCGCATCACAGAGCTCGCAATGATGAAGGTGCATGTGCATCTATGTCAGGTGCTGCCCCTCAGCGCCGTAATAATGACTTGATAATAATAGTAGCGATCTTGATCGCTATCGCCCTCAAAGACTCCCTGACCTCAAAGGGGAATCCATATGTATTCAAGGCGCTCACGAACCAGACCATCGTAATGTACCAACAAATCCATCACCTTCAAATCTTTGGTTTTGCATCCTGGCGATACGAATAGGCACCAGGCGCTTTGCCACTGTCGGTAATTTTATGCTATCACTTTTGAGGCGCCGAGATAAAGCTTGCTGCCCCTCGTGGCCAAAGTCAGTCGTTTGCACAACCCCCACCATATTGTGCCATCATCAGACCTAGAAACACATTCGGCCCAAAAACGGAAGACGCGACGCCATGGCTCGTAATTTCGAGTGGCACCCGGCTCGCATTCTGCAAAGACACCACGACCCAGGCTGGGAGCCGGTCGCTATCGTTGTGCTGAACCAGCCCATTCGCGACGTCGGCACTCTACGGAAGTTGTGGTCAAATGGTTTGTTAAGCCCGGCCGGACGAACAATGAAGGTCGCTGACAAGACCATCAGCCACTGTCAAAATAGCAGCGGATGGAGGTGCAAATCATCTTCTTGCCGCTAGGCCTGCATCATTCGTGAGAAACTCCCCTTTCTGTTTTCAAGGACAGAAGCTGATGATCTTGCATTTCTGCCGGATATCCCCTAGGATGACGTAGATGTTATCATCGGCGACTTGGACTCGTTCACGGACGAGAGTCGGGCTTACTACCAGGCCCTCCCCCAGCCGCCTGCAATCATCCAAGACCCGGACCAGGAATCAACGGACTTTGGCAAAGCTGTCAAACTCATCCGTGATCGTGAAAGAGCACCCGAGATCGTGGAGGCTGTCAGCCACATCCGGTTCCCTCGAGGACGTTGCGACATAGTCGCGGTTGGTGGCTTGGGGGGCCGCATCGACCAGGGGTTGAGTCAGCTCCATCACCTCTGTCTCTTCCAAGCTGACGAGGACTATCGGGATGGTCACATGTATCTCGTTTCGAGCGAGAACTTGACGTTCCTGCTTAAACCCGGCCGCCATACCATCCACGTGCGAGAAGAGATGATGGACGAGAGTTTTGGCAAACATGTCGGGATCATCCCCATCAAAGGCAGAAGCATTATCACCACAAAGGGCCTGGAGTGGGACGTTGAAAATTGGGAGACTGAGTTTGGCGGCCGGGTCTCCACGAGCAACCATGTGAAGCCAGAAACAAGGGTCGTTGAAGTGGTTACGGACAGGGATGTTGTATTCACAATCGAGCTTCGCACGGCGGGATAGGAGGCAGAAGTACCTAGATGTCATATCAACGCGAAGCAGGCCTCTCACTATGCCAACATAATCTGGGCAAATACATGCTGTACAGACTAGCAAAAACAAAGGCTGTAAGCTATGGCCATGGCACCAAAACAAGAAAAATCAATAAGATATAAGGACAATCCAAGAGCCTGCGTCTAGGTCAAACAAAAGACACCACCGAACGCCACGCTCCGTTGACAACATGGGATGTATGCATCTGCGCCGGGACAAAAAAAAAAAACCAACCTCCTGGCCTCACGCGGGCGCGGCGGATCTACCTCAGGAAGTGCAGGCACAGCCAGCAGAACAGAAAGAAGACGATGACGCCGGCCCAAAAGATCCACTTGTCCTCCTTGGCCCGTCTTTCCACCATGCGGATGGTCTCGCCCGAGACGCCGAGCGTGTTGGCGACCGAGTAGAGCCGCTTTTGCGTGTTCTTCATCATCTCGCGCTGCGCCCCGAGGTCCCCCAGCACTGCCTGGCCGCGCGCGATGTACTCGTCGAGCGCCGAGTTTGTGTTTGAGAAGAAGTTCTGCTCCCGGAACGCGTGGGCCTCGCGCAGCTCGTCGTCGCTGCCCATGCTGAGCCCCTGGCCACCACCACCACCACCACCACCACCACCACCGCCGCCGTCGCCGCCACTACCCAGGCCATAGCCTCCGCTGCTCGCCGAGGGCGCCGAGGAGGCGTAGGGGTTCTCGGGCGTCGCCGTCACGAACGGGCGGCGGCCCAGCAGCTCGGAGCGGTTCTGGGTGTGGGCGGCGTCGTCGCGGGCGGCCTTTGCGGCGTCGAACTGGGCGCGGAACGAGGCGAGCTCCTCGCGGAAGTTGCGGATGCGCTCGTGCGCCTTCTCCTGCTTGGCAGGGTTGAGCTCCTGCTTGGCCAGGGCGTTGTACTCGTCCACCGTCCGCGCGAACGCCGTCAGGCTGGCCGACAGCGCGCCGAGCTCGGCCGGCGTCGGCGCCCGCGTCGACGAGAGCGAGGGGTCGGCCGAGAAGACGCTGCCGAGGTCGCGCCGGATCGACGTGCTCTGCTTGAGCGCCAAGTTGAAGGTGGTGTTCTGGGGGGGTGTGTGGCCGTCGGCTGGGTTAGCGCGCGCGCGTCCCGGGGCGAGGACCGTGGCCTCCTGCCTGTCCCGTTTGGGCTGGTGAGGACTGGAGGCTCACCATGGTGACGGAGGCTGAGCGTAGGACTGTTCACCGAAGTGGATGGAGGAGCTTCGGATGGGTTGCTCTTTTCGTAGCAAATTCTAAGGACTGGGCTGTAATCGGTGGGATCGATGGCTTGCGGCGCAAACTGAAGGTGTCCTTTTGGTGTTTTGGTGGAATGCTTGTGAGATGGTCTGGAAAATCTTACCGCCTGCCGAGAATGAAACGTGTTTCCCGGCAGAATTTGAGCTTGGCATACTGCACGACGGACCCTGGGCTGCTAAAAGAATTACGTCGACACCTTCGCTTCTTCGCTTCGACCTTTCGTCATGCGGAAATGGAGACCATTTTAACACACGATGCTAATAACAAATTTGACGAGCTGGCTTGATAAAATGATTTTGCAATGGAAACACCTCCCCAGGTTTCTGTCTATCGATCGAGCTGCGCATGTCTGCTAGCGAAACAATCCACGGCCAGCCACGCCCTCCCAATCTCGTGACTCACTCTCAATCCGATGCCCTAGCAATGTGCATCTTCTGGATAAGCGCGTCCAGGCTACCCTCACCCGCGGTATGCCCGCCCGCTTTGTGCTCTCCTTTCCCTACCCGTTCGCAGAGCTCGAGCAGGTCCTTGGCCACAGACTCAAAGTCGTCCAGCTCAAGGTAAACCTGCGCCGACATCCTGGCCCAGAAGTGCCCATTGTAGAGCGCGACAGGGAGGAAGGTCTTGTAGTCGTCCATTAGGGCCTGTTGCATCCACTCGGCCAGGCCGCCAGCCTCGTCCGCCGGAACGAGGATCCGGGCTGGCGGCGACGCTCCGCCGCCGACGACGCCCACCGGCAGTCCCACGTTGACCATCCCACAGCCCGTCAAGGTGCCCTCGCTGTTCTCAAGCACCTCGGTTCCCAAGATCTCCGCAGCCTTGCGCCCGCCCTCTTGGGCGAGCTTAGTCACGTAGCTCAGGATGGCCTCCTCTCCGCCCAGCACCTCCTTCCTCCAGCGGATGCTCTCCTTGACGCAGGTGTAATTAGTGTTATCCTGCGTTCCGACGAAGTTGAAGCTGGTGCCAAAGTCGGCCGTGCCGCCCGCGGGATCAAAGGTCCAGCTAGTCGGGAGCGTCGAGCGCATCAGCTTGTGGTTGTGCGCCGGCACGTGCAGCACGGCGCAGCCACGCGGCACGAACAGCCACTTGTGGCAGTTGCTCAGGAAGAAGTCGGGCTTGACCTCGGTGCCGACGTGCGTCAGGTCTACCAGCCCGATGCCCTGCGCGCCGTCGACGATGGACAAGATCCCCTCCTTCCGACAGACGTTGACGAGCTTCTCGAAGGGGAAGCGGACGCCCGGGATGGACGACACCACGTCTATGACGGCGGCGCGCGGGCGGCGGCCCTCGGCGCGGCTCTGCTTGACGGCCGCCTCGAAGAGGGCGACCACGTCCGCGTCGCCCAGGGGGTAGTCGAGCTGGATGCGGCGGGACGAGCAGAGGCCCTTGGACAGCTCGCCGACGTACTGTATCGTCTTCTCGCACGCGCCGTAGATGGTGCTGAAGTACAGGATGTCGTCGCCCCCGTCGTCAGACCAGACGAGGTTACGCATGATGGTGTTGAAGGCCATGGTAGCGTTGCTGACGAAGACGACAGTCTCCTTGTCGACTCCCAGCAGCGGCGCCACGGCGGCGCGCGACTCCTCCAGCAGTGCCGGCCAGTCGTATCGGATGAAGGGATCCGGGCGCCCCTCGGCCTGGTCCTGGTAATAACGCTGGAGGTCCCGGATCGCCCTGGGGATGGTGCCGAATGATCCTATAAGATGGGACCGTGTCAGCGCACGGAGCTTTTGTTCAGGCAGATCCGGCGCTGGAAGCTCTGGACGACTCACCATTGTTGAGATTCCGGTACTCTGGGTCCATCAAGAACTCCCTGGCCACGTCCTTGCCAAACTGGCGCTTCGGGTAAGGCGCCATAGCCCATTCCGGGAGTTGCTTGCCATAGTACCTAAAGGCACTCTCGCTGGTAGACCCCATGTTGTCGGGACTTGTCGTCTGCTGCTGGGTTGGGAACAAGATATGCCAAGTATCCGCGCCTAAGATGTAGGAAGAGAAGAAAGGTTGTCGCCTGACGGTGTCGTTTCCTGATTGAACAATGCTGCCCTTTTGATAGCCTCAAGCCTATATATAGGCGAGAAGCGTTATGAGTCAACCCATATTGTATCTTGGACCACTACTGAGATGGACTGAGCGCCCCATTTACATTGCGGTTCGATGAGTCGAGCCTGCAGGCACATTGTGGGGGCTCACTTGGGCGCTCAATATTGTCATGGCTGGCACACCTCGGGTATGCAGCTTGTAACTCGAAGGGCGCAGCCATACATCCTCGAGATAGGCCTCCTAGTGCTACTAGCACCCTGAAAGCTACGAGCCAGCGCAGCCGGCAGTAGCCGAGAGCACCAACACAAGCGCACGGTCTTTATTGTTGTAAGCTACTTCCCGCAATGCCCCGCAAACTTCAGCACCGCTATCCTCCATGTGTTAGCCATTTCAGCTCCCCACATTCCTCTCAACTTACGCTCCACTAGCCCCTAAAGAGTCACCATTGATCCCACGGTTGGCTGGGCGGTATCCTCATCCCCTAAGCTAACCACGTATTTCCCCTCGATCTATCGTCAGGCATTATATGTCAGCACTGCGCGTTGGGTCATATCGGGGGATAACAGAAGACCACAAGAAGTGGCCGGTGGCCGTGAGCTTACCGTCCCTTTGGCGACCTCGAGGATCAATTTAGTCATATCCGCCAGCTTGCCGCTGTGGACTTTGGGCACCACCACCCCCCTCCTCACGAACTCGAGGGCCTCCAGGACGTCCTTTCTGGTGCCCGTCATGGACCCTGTGATCTTGATGCCGGATTCGATGATCTTGATGGGGTGGATGCTTATAAAGGCATCGGGCGGCGGTATGCCCACGCACATCAGCGTGCCAAACGGCGCCAGCGTACCCAATGCGGATTGGTATGCGGCCCCTGATCCAGCAGTCACGACAACAGCGTTCACGCCGCTCCCGCCGGTCAGCCTGGCCACCTCTTTGCCCAGGTCCTCCACCTGAGTCACGTCGACGTAGCTCTCGGCGCCCTGCGAGAGCACGTACGCCTCCTTGGCCTTCCCCACGTCCAGCCCGATGACCCGGTAGCCCATGGCCCGGCCGTAGGCCACGACGAAGGCGCCGACGCCTCCAGCGGCGCCGGGCACGGCGAGCCACTGGCCGGGGGTTAGGCCGCAGGACTTGACGGCCTTGTAGGCGGTGACGCCACCGCACAGCACGGGCGCTACCAAGTCGTCGGGCACGCCGTCGAACCGGGCCGGCAGCGGCTGCGCCCAGCGCGCCTGCACGAGGGCGAACTGCGCGAACGTGCCGTCGACCTTGAAGCCCGAGAAGATCTTGGCCTCGCACCGGTGCGCCGCCTCGAGCGCGTCGGGCGCCGCGCAGTAGGCGCAGCTGCCGCACGTGTCGCGCGTCAGGCAGACGGCGACGCGCTGGCCCACGTGCACGCCGCCGCTGCCGCCGCCGTCGCCCACCAGGTGCGCCGCGTTGGCGCCGGCGGTCACAACGCGCCCCACGCCCTCGTGCCCAAGCACCGACATGGTCGGGCCCAGGTGCCCGGCCGCCATGCCGTAGTCGGAGCCGCAGATTGACGTCACCGACAGCCGGACCAGCAGTTCGTTGGGGCCTGGGACGGGGACGGGAATCTCCTGGACCTCGAACTTTGGTGCAGCTCCCGGTTCCTGTGCGAAGCGAATGCTGTTAGGCGATTTGTGACGTGGAAAAAATATGCCTCCATCGGCACCGCTCTTCCTGGACATACCACCAATACGGCAGCAAGTTGTGTGCTAGGCATCTTCATAGTTGCGCTTTGCTGCTACGGGCCACGAGTGATTCGAAGTTGCCAAGGGTGCTGTGAAGAGTCCGGCTTTTCACCGAGTAAGCACGAATCTCGGTACAAGGCTAGATTAAATAGGTTAAAAGTAATCTGAAGCTATCACGTTTGATCTTCGTTCGGCATCATTGGGGGACAGCGCCGAGGATCCCCGCCCTCTCCGCACGGCATTTATACAGGACTTGGCAGCAAAATGCCGAAAAAAAGCACCGAAGCCCGGCAGTGTGACTCGCGGCGTCGATAGCGGCCCCCACGATTTCTCCTAGGGCAAGGTTCGTCCCCGAGACGTGCCCACCTAGGTGCAGCACCGGCACCGCATGATGATAAATAATTACCTAGGTCGTCATTTCGCATGAATTGGAGCGTTGACGCAACATTATGATGCTTGATGGGCTGTCACATTTCGGTTCTTACCGCTGTCGCTTTGTTCAGGGGGTCAATGGCGATAAGAGAGTTGGCTTAGAAGGAGGTACAAATTCTATGGGGATACGAGTGTATTGTCGCCAACGCTTGTTGGTTAAGCTTGTTGGTTAAGCCTGATACTTTGTCCAGGTAGCCTTGTCCAGGTAGCCAGCCCGCTGGCAACCGCAACATATGTCACCTGCACCGTCCGACATCGCCGCTTGGCAGCCATGGGTGCCTGTTACTGCTCTGACAACGGGGCCAGGAAGCCATCGACAATCGGCCTGGCAATCATGGCCTGCTCGTTAGCTATCAGCTTCTCAAGCCAGAATATGTATGTTGCGGGATTGTCAATCCCAAGAGCTGCTAGAAAATCCCGTAGGCTAGATGTTTTCAAGGGGATCCTGCTTTCACGGTGCCAGGCGGGATGGTCCGGTGTGATGATGCGGTCAAGCTCGAGCATCTTGAGCCGAAACATGTCGGTCGAGTAGGTGGCCGCGATGCGAAACAGCGCGCAGCAGACGCGGGCCCACTGGCAAGTCAGGATCGGGTCCAGAGTCCCTTCAAGGTATCTAAACTCGAAGTCGAAGGCGTTGCTGGCTAGTTCGGGGTCGCTATTGCCGATTGGCTTGACGCGAAGGGCGGGAGCGCTGACAAAGTACGGGATGTCCACATGGGTTATGGACTCGTCCCAAATGTACGCCATTGTCTGCTTGTCCACGTTTTTGAGCGCGGCAGAAATGTGTTGGCGGCCTAGCTTGCTGAGCGGCTTGGCTGGGTCGCCGCGGACGGCGATTGCCCGCACCGACTCGGTGACGGGCTTGCAGTGGGCGGACATCAGCCTTTCAGGATCGCACAGCTTGTACATGGAGCCTTCGATCATGACTAGCAAGGATATCAGCCTCCTCGTAGTTAGCGTACGCACAGTTCCCCCTGGACTGTCGCCCGAAGGAGGCTCGCTCATGTGGAGGTGCAGGCCCGCCGTCGTGGTGTTGCACACCTTCATGTCGCTGCGGAGGGCGCCCAGAACGCGCGTCACCTCCCCGGCAGCGTCTGAAGCCCGCATCACGCGAGAGGAGATTTCGCAGCCCTGGGACGGCTTTGTGTCGTCTGCCGGGCCGGCCATGGTCTGGAACCTGTCAGGGATGACACTGAGGTCTGGATGGGGCATCCAGAACTGGTACTTGCGCTGCGGCCCCGGAACCTGGATCTCGAACCCTTGCTTCCTTGCCGACTCATCGAGGAAGCCACTGAGCAGCCCTGAGCCGCGGTCCCAATCGTCGTTGTCGAAATAAGCGGGACTATCTCGTGAGATCGGAGGATAGCAGCGGATGTTTGCCTTCCGCAGGACATGCCGGACCTCCTGGACACGCTTGTCCTGCTCGGAATCCGGTGCCTCCAAGTCGAGAGAGGGAGGGCGGCCCCCTCTGAGTCCTTGGACGACGAACTCGAACTCGACGCCTATGTTGCAGTCAAAATCGCCTACCATGTAGCTATGAGGCAGAGACGGCGCCATCGTGACCAAATTTCCTGCTTCGCTGGCTGGACTATGGGCCATCGGCGGGCGGATGTGCAGGTAAGTATTTGACAGCAGGCTGAGGTCTGGCGAGATCAAGGGAGCTGGCTCTGGTCAACAAGGTAGGAATATCGCGTGTACAGTCCAGGCGCTTGAGATTGGCTGATTGCAAAAACTGGGAGGACGTTAGCAAGACGTGCCGCCTCGAGTATTATAATACTAGAACCAAGCCCTGTTGCAATGCTTAGCCAACAAAGCCGAAAGATACATTAACAAAGGCCGGCTGTAGTCTGGCAGAGGGCCAATGGCTCATTGTCGCGTTGGAAAAACAAATGTGTGGACAGCTAGAATAACGGAATTCAATGGGTAAAGTTCCTTTGTCTCCAAAAGACAAGCAGTTGTTTGTGGGAACCCTGATGGCAAACAGACGTTACCTAGCTACTCTGGAGCAGGCCAGTGCTCACATCTAATGTCCTAGCTACATATCGACACCCCAAACCGGTCGCAGATCTAGCCCACCTCATCCATCCTTCAGCGCCAGTAGGGCCCCATCGACAGAAAGCCACAAGACCCAATACAAGCCCTCACCATGACCGACAAAAAGTCAGCCGAAACGAGCAGCGAGCCGCCCATCGGGCAAGGCGAGGTAGCCAAGAATCACAAGGATCAGCTCGCAGAGCTTGATAGGATGGCATCAAAGGTTCGCTTCAAGCTTGACAAGCATCGAGCCGCCCTTGATTCGGCCCTTGATCGCGATCAGCAAGCATCCAGAAAAGGTCATGTTGCGTCAGACGATCCCCGTATCTGGTCAAACGCCAGAAGGGAACAGGAGGCACGAGAGCAGGCAGAGCGTAAGATAAGGGACATATACCGCAACTACATGGCTGCCACTATCATTTTGTCACTTATAGACAGCCAGCAGAGGTGAGCAGATTGGAGGAACGCATATTATTCGGGTTTAACCAATACCAATCAGATTGGACTGACTGGCTTTCCGTAGTACCTCACGAGATTAAGTCCATTGGCAGCCTGGGGTCACATTTGGTTGCAAATCTTGGGTCTTGGGATACAAGTGTGGCTGCAGAGGCAATACACCGATGAACAAGGCAGAATGGCTAGCTTCCGCAGACATCGCGCACGTGTATGATGTAGGCACATGTATCAAGGGAACGGTGTATGCGAATGCGCCACGCACCCCGCAGGTCGAGTGGCCCGTTCCGGAGCCGCTACAACAAGTGGTGGAGGCATGCATGCAACAGTTGCCGGAGGCAAGGCCCACAGTGGGGGATCTGAGAGAGATGGTGGAGGCGATCAAGGCTGTGCGAATGATACGTCGACGGTAGGGGGATGCTGCCTTGTCGGATTTCCGCTCCTCTATTGAACACACGCACACCGGCCGGATCCAACTCCTCCCTTCACCGGGCCGACCAGAGAACATCCGGAAGAGGTCATTGTGCATCGAATGGCCCTCGTGTCTGGCCAAAAGGCAGAAGGGAGCACAACTAGCAGACGTGGGCCGATCTGCGGGACGCATATTGTTTAGTCTTGCCCAACCAAGTTGGATTGGGTCGGGCTAGTAATCTGCAATACGTCGCGAGATCCAGTCAATTGGCAATATGGCATGCGGCACATTCTGGTTGCATATATCAGGTGCTGGGTTATAAAAAGTGACACAGATGTGATGCCCTAAATATGCACAGAATCATAGTAAGAGAGAGCTAGAAAATATCAACCGGGAAATCCCCCCCCAAAAAAAAAATAAAAAAAAAAATGAAGAAGTAAAATAGAACGCCTCAAACTCCAAGCCGTGCTTGCCAAATGCAAAATGTAAACAAAGGAGACTAGTCAACATGAACAAGGGGGGGGGATGGGAATAAAAACAAGAAGAACAGAGTAGGAAAAGGAAACGCCGAAAATGCTAGATGCAAATGCTCGCTAAAAACCAAAATGACCGGCCCAGAAAGACAAAAAGAAATTCGTTATGGTGCTGTGCGTGTCTCTGGTGAGGGAGGACGCGACGGGCCTTTCATGAGCAGTGGCCTACTCAAAGTCGGCGTCCTCGTCAGCGGAGGCTTCCTGAGGAGAGTCCTCGGCGGCGGCAGCCTCCTCCGTGTCGCGGGCGGTAACGCTGCTCTGGCTGGCGGTGCCGCCCTGGCACAAGGGGCCCATGGCCATGCACTTGATCTCGGGCTCCTAGGCCTTGGCCTTGGTCTTTGGCGTCTTCTTGGTCTTGGTCTGGGGGATACCGGTGTTGATGGTGTTGGTCTGGAAGACACTGGTGTCCATGGCCTTGCCTCGACACTCGGGGCCCGTGGACAGGCACCTAGCCTGGCGCACCGAGAGCAGACGCAGTCCGGAAGGGTTCTTCTTCTTGGTGGTGATGACGGGGACGGAGGGCCAGGTCTTGCCTTGACACTCGGGGCCTATGGCCATGCACCTCCCGGCGCGCTTTTGCATGATCTCGCCACTTGTCAGCGGAGCGGCGGCGGCCTGGGCGACGAAGAGGGCCACGACGGCTTGAGTGAAGATGGAAGAAAACTGCATGGTGGTGGTTGTGAGGTGGGCTTGTCGTGGTGTTGGAGAGTGGGATTCGTTTTCGTTGTGGTGTTGGAGAGTGGGATTCGTTCTCGTTGTGGTGGATGGGGATGGAGAGTAGTCGGGGTTGAAAGGATGGGGAGGATGGGTCGAAGTATATATCTCTGTCATCTGGTCCTTGGGTCCCTAAAAATAAAGATATCTTCTCTTTCACATCGCAGCTGTTGCTGGACACTGACACGAACCTCGCGCCATTGTGGACGCCGAGGGCGGCTTGGTGGCCAGCCACGGTGGGGTTCATGGAAGCGATTGAATCAACCAATGAATTGCCCAGTAGGTGTGGATACATGTTATGGGACCCCTGGCAAGCACCTGTCATTCGCCAACCCCGGACCCTGTCCAAAGCCCAATCCGGCAATTTGCGTAGATCAGGGGACGGGAATAGGAACGAAGGGGGTTGGCTGCCGGGGCTGGTGGTCCAGTCTCGGGAGTGGCGACTATGCTTGGCCAGGAATAGCTCAAAAGCGTTGGCGACAGTGCCCTAGTCCCTTGATTACGCCTGCACTTGACGTCAGTGTGCTTCTGCTCTGATATCGCGATGGGACGAACGGGGAGTCGTGTCGTGTAGCACAGGTGCGCGCGACGATGGCCAGGAACCAAGCAGTAGGATACTGTTAGGGCTGAGCTATTATGGGTGCCTGTGTGGCAGTGCTATGCCCAGTAGTCGATTTGACAGTGAGCCGGCAATGACAGAGACAGAAAATCTCTCCGAGATCGCTTTGGGGTTGGTCCTGACAGCATGGAGATCTGCGGGGCGTGGTATGTGTTAGGGAGATCCTCTAATGTCCGAATCTATTGGCAGAACAAGATCTCAAGGCTGTGTTACACGTAGGTAGACGAATCTGGCTTGGGTGCGCGAAGCACGGGGACGGTGTGTAGACGTCCCATGGGTTTTCCAAGCGCATATGCGCGCTTCTGCCTCTTTGGTAGCATTTGTTTGTTAGCAGCTGCTCTGCTCCTGGAAGACGAGGCAGTTCAACGTCATACACCAGTTCAAACACAGGCGTCCGGCCCATGATATGCATCTCGTGGGGATATCTTGGCTGTATCTGGAAAGCAACCAAGACAGATGCTGATGAGCCAGGTACACGCAAGCGAGAGAGGCGCCGCCGAGGCGCGGCTCGGGTCCGCTTTGCCGACGGGCGACGCATGGTGCCTGAGCAGCTTGGTGAAGCATTGCGTCGTCGGGCGTTGGGGAAGATGGGCGCGAAATGGTAGCGGCGGAGCCAAGGCCGCTCCCGTGTGGAGCACAGCTTGGCCACCATCATGGCCGAATGGGGTGGTTCGGGATGGAATTCCGAAGACGAAAAGAGGCAGCGTGTAATCCAATTGGCGGGGATTTCCGTGGAAAAAGCCCAATGGCTTCACCAGGACTAGGGCAGCGCCTTTTTCCCTCCGGCTAATCTCAAAGCATGGGATTCTTGCCCACCCCTCCGAATCCCCGTCCTTGGGGCATCCGAATTTGCTGCCCACGGCCGCCTGGGCAGCACAGAGACGCGCTGGTCGCGTTTCTTGATGTTCCGCTAGCAGCCATGGCATTGCATTGGCAACGGAGCTGTCGCGCAGACTTCCTATCGCGATTCTGGCTTCATGAGAGGAGAGCAGCTGAAATGAGGAAAAAGATGGTGTATTTATGAGTCTGTCCGGCCCACCATGAGCTCACCATCGATAGGCATCACTTGCTCATCAGCGTGGATTGCTCCTTTTACAGCGCAAGGGACGCTTGCCCGACAACTAGACACCCTTCTCGCCCTTGAAGATGGCTAGGTAGGCAGCGCTATGCGGGTTGGCCCTGCTTGGGAGCCTCGTTGCGGCCCAGAAGCCGATAGGCACCGAGGTCCACCCCAAGATCACCACCTTTCGCTGCACGCTCGCCGGCGGCTGCGAGGAGAAGACCAACTACATCGTCCTGGACTCCCTCGCCCACCCCGTCTACCAGCAGGCCAACGGCCACCACTGCGGCTCGTGGGGCGAGCGGGCCAACGCGACGGCGTGCCCGACCAAGGAGGCGTGCGCCGGGAACTGCGTCATGGAGGGCCTCGAGGACTACGGCGTCGTCGGGGTGTCCACCAGCGGCACCAGCCTGCGACTGCAGCAACTCCGCGACGGCGAGCTCGTCGCCCCGCGCGTCTACCTGCTCGACTCGACGGAGCACAAGTACGAGATGCTCGAGCTGACGGGCAACGAGTTCACCTTTGACGTCACCATGGACAAGCTGCCGTGCGGCATGAACAGCGCCCTTTACCTGTCCGAGATGCTGGCCGACGGAGGCAAGAGCGGGCTGAACAAGGGCCGCGCCTACTGGGGCACTGGGTACTGCGACGCCCAGTGCTACACCACCCCTTTTATCAACGGAGAGGCCAGTCAGTCAGCTGCTTTCCTGCCTGCGTTGGAGTCGGAACTGATGCGAAATCCGGCAGTGACTTGTACAGGGTAACATCAAGGGTACCGGAAGTTGCTGCAAGGAGATGGACATCTGGGAGGCAAACAGCCGCGCCAACCACATCGCCCCGCATCCCTGCAACCAGACTGCTCTGTACGAGTGCGAGGGCGAGGAGTGTGAATTTGAGGGTGTATGCGACAAGAACGGGTAAGCAGCCGATACAGTTAGACCTCCCGACTCGGCAGCTCCTGCTAACCATTGATTGACCTTGCCCACCAAAAAACAGCTGCGCTTGGAACCCCTACCGGATCGACCAGCCGTCCGTCCTACTACGGCAACAACGACACCTTCAAGGTCGACACCAGCAAGCCCATGACGGTGGTGACGCAGTTCCCCGCCGACGCGGCCGGCAAGCTGGTCGAGATCCGGCGCCTGTACGTGCAGGACAAGGTGGTGATCCGGGCCGACGCCGTCCGGGTCGAGGGCCCGCCGGCCGTGGACGCCATGAACGACCAGTTCTGCGCCCTCACGGGCAGCCGGCGCTTCATGGACCTGGGCGCGCACGAGGGGATGGGGCGACCCGCTGACGCGCGGCATGGTGCTCGCCATGAGCATCTGGTGGGACGAGGGAGGCCACATGCGGTGGCTCGACGGCGCACCCCAGGGCGCGGGCCCTTGCAACGCCACCGAAGGCGCGCCCAGCAGCATCCGCCTCGTCGAGCCGAACCCCGAGGTCACCTTTAGCAACATTAAGTGGGGCGAGATCGGGTCGACGTTCAAGGGCCGCGGTCACTGCCCGCGGCGGAGGGGCCTGCTGGCGTGAGCGGGTGGTTTTTTTTGGGGCTGACTTTTGCTTCCTGCTCTGTGTGAGACATGGAGATTGGGCGCAAGGCGGCTTCGTGCATAAGAGGTTGGGATATGCTGGGCTGAAGCGTGGAAAAGAGGCAAAGGGTCATGGCGGTATAATCAATTTGCCGGGTTCATCGACACGACGGCCCGTTACAGTACTCTTGGCAGGATGACGATCGCACATCTTACCGCCTCGGCCCGGCTACTCTGAAGTTCCATTCACCAATAAGCCCCCCCGAGGAGCATGCTGAGGAGGCAGCGACACGGTTCAGTCGGGAAGGCGTCTATTGGTGTCGGCCATGGGGAAAGATCACAGATGCTACCGGACAAGCTAGGTCGAGGGCAATAGGAAATAATTGACTAAGTAGGGTACCTAACATAGAGCTACCTATCGGAGAATATTAACTGTTGTAATGCCTTGACAAGGCGTGTGTTGATAGGAGCCATCGAGCTTTCTTCATCCGGCCGTACTGTGAATTTCGGTCGCGAACATGGAAATATCGTAGTGTCTGCAATTTTAACCCGTCTTCGCAAACCCATAAATCGTGGCGACGCGGTATCGAATCCAAGAAAGTCGAGCGAGTGTGGTTGTCTGTTCCGTTTCGTTCAAGCAATCGAGACTCGAGGGGAGGGGCGCAGTGTTTCGAGGGTCAGGCGGCCTTCACGCCGGCCGCCGCGAGCTTCACAATTCACTATTTCCAGTCGTCGTCAAAGTCAGCAGCGGCGCCATAACCGCCGTCCGCGTAGGACGCCCCGGGGTCCCCATCCTCCTCGTCGCCGCCGCCGTCCCGTTGGAAGAAGCTTGCGAAGCCTCCGGCGGAGCCGCGACCTCCTGGTGCTCACATTGTCGCCGTCCTCGGGGGCGGCATCTCCCAGGGGAGGGATCGGCGCCGGGGGCGCCGGGGGAGGCGCGGGGAATACTGGCGGCGCTGGGGCGGGTACTTCCGGTGGCGGCGGCGGCGCGGGGAATCCTGGCGGCGCGGGAGCTGGGACCCCAGGTGGGGGAGGAGCGGGGAGTGGAGCTCCGGCCGGCGGGGGAGGAGGAGCGGGGAATGGAACCTCGGGTGGTGGGGGAGGAGCGGGAGCTGGAACTCCAGGCGGCGGCGGAGCGGGAGCCGGGATTCCAGGCGGCGGCGGCGGAGCCGGGGACGGGACCCCGGGCGGCGGCGGTGGCGCTGGGGCAGGTGGTCCAGGCGGCGGAGGAGGTAGCTGTCGCCCTGTATAGCCACGACACAAGCGGTCAGCCCACTGCCAAGTTCACAATCCTATCATGGGAGGCAAGCGCATAAGAGGCAAGCCCTTACCTCTGATGGCGGGCGGTGGCGGTCCTTGACGGCCTTTTTGTACGGTGAGAGGTTAGCGGGAGAGAACGATACTGATGTGGCATGCGAAAGCTGGCGCCGGCTACCTTTGACTGCCGGGGCCGGGGCGGCCGCGGCGGCGCCCAGCAGGACGCAGTAGATGCTGAGGGCGTTGGGCCTCATCTTGGACGACTTGGCGTCTGCGTGTCACGGATTGGATGGTGTTGCTGATAAATCGGGACGGCAAAGCTTGCGATATTGATGGCGGGGAGCCAAGGAGTGGTTGGGGCTGTCACAATTTCTTCCTCCAATCTTCCGCGGCGATGTCGCCTCCTTTTTATAACCGACAAGACGGCATAGCCCCTCACATGCCTCCTCTCAACTATCGAGATGGCTACACTCGGCCCTCGAGCCTGTCGACTCAACACCAAGGCTTGGCATAATGGAGGCGCAAGCAGGTGGCATGGAATGTGCCGATGTGCCGGGCACATTCACATTGGGCCGGCACTTGTCGACGAGAAGGTGGACGGGGGATAACCGGTTTTTGGAACGGCGGAGAGCCTGCCACACGACCTCTCGGCCCCTCTTCCGGCGACGGTCGGCGCAGGGCCACTCTGTCTCATGTCTAGGAAGATGCGCGCGGTTGAAGTTTGCCGATGCCGATCACTGGTGGGTCGAGAGCGGTGGTTGGTGTGGTTGTGATCCCGGGGGAAAACTGCCGCTGTCGATGCAGGGACCGGCCTGGCAGGGGCGATACGCCGAGGCGGAGTGGAGTCGAGTCTTGGCTAAAGCTAATGAGCACCCCCTCAATCACCGCCTTAAGCGGCAGCCAGTGTGCAACAGGCGGCGGCGCCTTTCTAGAAGTGTGTTCAGGCGGTAGAAATATGTATCATGGCAACGTTCATACCTACCGGGGGTTAGGCAGAGACGTGCCGGTTGATTAAGGAGGAGTTGCTGGTTCCCGCGTCTCGGTGAACCACACCCTAATCTACCGCAGCTTCTTCCCCGCCCGCTATCAAACATTTACTTTCCCAAGGTTACGTAAAGCCAGGCTCTGACCCTGGAGGGCCATCAAGACTGAGCTCAGATGATGTGCTGTGTCCCATAGACTTTTGGCTTTATTTCCCACTCAGATCTCAGGTGTGGCATGAGCCACGCGGTCGTTCAGGCATCAGGACCAGACAGAGATGAGGAATCCGCTCGTGGCCGCGCCTACCCTCGCCTTGACGACCGCCACCCGCCCGCCCGGCAGCCCGAGTCGTTTCTCGCTGTTTTCTACACTGTGGCACATGTCCCACCCCGCGGCCGCGTCATCAAGCTCATCGCTCTGACGCTCGAGCGTGCGGAGAGTGAAGCGCATGTGGCCGCCCGGTTGGGGGTAGCACGCAAACGCGAAGGGGTGGCGGGGCTGGTCCGACAAGGCAGCTCCGCGGCACCCGAAGACGATCCAGCCAGGCATGGGGTCCTTCATCCCGAAGCCGGCTTCCCACAGCTCAACCGACGCCGCAGAGCTGCCTGCGATTGTGTCATTTTTGGTCCAGGTCCACCGCTTGCCGCCAAGCCGCAAGACATGATAGCCACCCGGGGGTAGCTGTATCCGGATAGTCACCAGATTTAGCGGTCTAGGTACGAGATCTCTAATGGTTCCGCGCCTGTGCTCGAGGAACCGTGAGTTGGCTCTCAGGTGTGCGGCTAGGCTTGTGCGCGCCGGTAAGCTGGAGGCCTCTCCGCTGTGGTAAAGTGTCTTGCCGACGTGGTATCTATACATGACCCGGGATCCGCCAAGAGCTAAATCCAAAAGAGGCAAGACGATCCTTTGACCGGTGTTGGCGTCCCTGCAGTCGAGCACGACAAACAAAACCCTATCGTTTGGCGGCGGCGGCAATTCAGGTTTCTTGTCGTTGCTACCATTGCCAGGGGTCGAGGCAACTTGGTTCCCTTCCAGGATCGGCACTCGCATGATGACAGCGGTTTTCGACACTTCATAGCAGTGCAAGGAAGTTGACCCTTCGGCAGGGAGCCTAGAAGTACGAATGCTTTGTACATCTTGGGCGTCAACAAAACAGAGTGGCGAATCGGCCAAAAGACCCGTCACGAGACGCTTCCCCAACTGCGCATCGGCCGTCTTGGTGGTCGTCGGGCCATGCCAGACAAAAATGCTTGCGTCATCCGACTGGTCCATGACGAGTTGTTGAAGCCGCAGGAAAGCCTTTTTTCCCTCGCCGTACAGCAAGGGCATGTTGACGTCGAGAAGGCCCATGAGACAGTAGGCCTCGTCCTCGATGCGGGTAGTCGTCCGCCGAGATGCCCAGGACAGTTTCTGGGCGATCGAGTACCGCCTCAAAAGCGCCGACAGGCCGCGGCCTCGCCGAATGGACGGCTTGAAGAGCTCATCGTGAATCCCTGTGATGTCGTGTAGGAGGGGACCGAGTGTCGTCCTAGTTCCGATTTCGTCCCATTCTGAGTTTAGGAAGACAACCGAGTCCGGTGCGATGAGCTCCTGGAGTGTCCAGCCACGCTTGAACCACTGACTGTCCCGAAAGGAATTGGAGAAAGTTGGGTTGCTGCCCCGAGGCGTCGTCACGTCGCCAAGGTACGCGTAACAAATAGACGCGTCCTGATACCACTGGAACATGGAGTTGATGGCCTCGGACAACTCGGCGCTGGACGATTTGTCGATGCAACAGGTATCCATCCACCCGTACCCATACCCCTCCTCAAGCGAAAGGGCGCAATACCTGGATAGCTTTCCGAAGCCTTGGAGTTGATGGCGCCGCTCGGATCGCATGCCCAGGAAGTCTACCTCCTCGCGCCCCCATCGATGCGAGAGGATGGAGTAGGGTGGGATAGTGCTGTCACTGTCGCCACCAAATTCCTCCAGCTGTAGAGTCCGAGTGTTGAGGAGACGCATCTCGTCTGGGCGAGGTATGATGTTGGCTGCTGGGCAATGTTGTCGTCCATGTACTGCAATGCTTTCGAGGCAGGAATGCGGGGTTATGCTAGCGGGCCGAGAGGCTAGTGGGCCGTCCCTGAATGGATGACCTGCCCCACTTGGCTGCGTTAGTGCCTCGCGCATCTCTCACAACCTCTTGATGGGCCACCGCAGTGTCGTCCGATATGCCCCGCGCTCTCGCGCAATGGCTCGGGCAAGATCAGAGCACTTGAAGACGGGAAAGTTACGCAAGCCAAGCGCCCAGGACGACAAGGTGAACAAGTGTCAAATGCAAAATCGAAATCGAGATCGGATGTGCGCTTCCGCTCCTTTGTTGCTCCGGGGCTGGGACGTAAATGGCGGTAATTGTCGGCACCTCTGGGTTCCTCCTCACGCTGGACCATGACGTAGCTGGGGTAGGAGTGCGCGTTGCCGCGGCCGGGGCGAAGAAGGGCCCTGTCGTCGTGCTCCCGCCCGGCGGAGATGCGACGCGGGTGGGCAACAGGGCGATGATGGTGATGCCGTCGACCAGCTTTGCCGAGTCTGGGGTGAAGGAGGCTTGCGGAAAACCGCATTGCGCCAAGATTCTTCGCGAGTCGAACGCCGCTGAGCCAGGACACCAGATGGTGGTCAATTACCTAAACGCGACCCGGCGTGACCGGCCTTGAGATATCTGTGCTCACCTCTCCGACCCCCTGGGCCATCGCACCGATGCTGGAGGATACAGTTGGCGCATAGGCCAGATATCTGGGCGACGTCGAAACTCTGGTTCTGGCAGTAGCAGGCGCTCCGGAAGGAGGCCTTCTCGAGGCGCTGACGCTCGGCCTTGCAAGGAGTGCTGGTGGGACGTGGCTTGCCACTGCCCTTGCCCTTTCCCTTGCCTTTTCCTTTGCCTCTTGGCAGGGGGAGAGTGATGTTGAGTAGTGACACCAGCAGGCCGCTCGGGTCGGCGACACCAACGGCGCCAGGGGCCAAGATCATGGTCCGCGAAAGCGGCAAGGATATCTTGAGGATCAGGGTGCGGTTGGTGGGCACTCTCGGCGGCGCCCAGACTGATATTGGAGGCCCATCCCCATCGGCGCCGTCGTCGGACGCGGGGTCCTCTGGGCAGGGGACGTCTGCGAGCGGCGGAAACACGTCGACCTCGGCGCGCGTGCAGGCGCCCGAGAGCAGCGCGACGGGCTCGCACATGCGCTTGCAGGCGTCGGGGACGGTCGCGTCGAGCAGGTTGAGAGCCGACCCAGCCATGACGGTGGAAAGGGCCACGGCGACGGGCCGAGCGGGCATCAGGTAGGGAACCGAGCACCAAGTTTATTGATTGCGTGTGCTTGGGGGTTCCTGGCGAGCAGAGAACCGAACGAGCCGGGGAGTTGGTCCTGTCAGAGACGGTTTGTTGTCATGGATATAGATGAATCCCAACAAGACCAGACCAAACCAGTCAAGTCCAGTCTCGGCGACGCTCGCGAGGAGTCCCTCTATGTATGCGGACGAGACTTCCCCCCGGCTTGGGCCGGAGAAAAGGTGCGCATCATTGTGGATCACATCGTGGATCATGGGGAAGGGCTTCATGGCCAAGCTCGATCGGTGATCGGTTCCGTGTGGCTGGGTCCAACTCGGCCCGGCGCGTTGGGGGTTTGCTGTCGTGGGTGGCTTCTGTTTTGGGGAAGGATGTGCGAGAGGAGCCTAGAGGAGCCTAGCATGGCTCCCCCCGCAGTGGGGCCTTCAGCGCTGAGCCTTTTAAGCCCCCGCATTTCTGCGTCGGATGGAGCGCCATGTTGCCCGTCTACCTTATTTTGACGCGTGAAACGTTTTTGAAAATAAGCGGACTACTTTGGCTTTGCCGCGGCATTTTTTGTCCCGAAGCGAAGGCCGCTTGCTATTTCAGGGCCTGAGCCTGCGTGCCCCTTCCTTTTCCTTTCCCATTGTGGGCATTCTCTTCTCCCCTGCGCCACCTCGTCTCTCTCTTCTGTTGTTTCTGCTTCGACATTCGTTTTGTTTCCAGTCTCGCGTGGAAATCGCGTGGTCCATTGGGCAAATGATTTATGTTTGGCTGACAGCTGCCACGAGGCCAACCCGCTTGATGTGAACGCGCTGAACTAAAATAGGTCTGGCCCTCGTGCGCGCTAGCGGACCCTAGCGGTGATTAGCCCGCGGCAGAGCCCGCACGCACACGTATGTAATGATGTGTGATGCCGCCAAAATCCGACCAAGCCCGCTTCTGTCCGCAACGCTCATTATCTCCGCTCCGTCCGGAATCCCGATGCATCGCTGGCCATTCTTGCAGGAGTGGTGTTGAGGCCACCAGCTGGGTTGGGAGTATATAGTCTCGCAAATGTCTGCTAATATCTTTCTCTGTTGCCTCTGTTCCGTCCATCCCTCGTGTATTCCGCATTCCCAGCACTGAAAGCACGACGTTGCCTCCCCCTGTGCACCCCTGGACGCTTCAGCCCGCCCCATAAAAATGCACGCAATCATCACTGGGGCCACCGGCCTCGTTGGCTCCGGCGTGCTCGACGCCATGCTAAAGGCAGCTGACGTCACCAAGATCACAATCATCAGCCGCCGGCCCGTCAAGATGGCCGACGACGCCAAGGACCCCCGCGTCAAGACCATCATCCACACCGACTTTGAGCGCTACGGCCCGGACCTCATGTCGCAGGTCCGCGACGCGGCCGGCGTCGTGTGGGCCCTGGGCATCAGCCAGAACGCCGTGGGGGCCGACGAGTACGTCAGGATCACAAAGACGTACACACTCGAGGCCGCCCGGGCCTTCTCCGACATGGCCCGCTCCACCGGCGAGCCCTTCAACTTCGTCTTCGTCTCGGGCGACGGCGCGACGCTGGAGCCCGGCCGGCTCTCGCCCATCTTTGCGCGCGTCAAGGGCGAGACCGAGGCCGAGCTCGTCCGCATGCGGGAGGAGAACCCCCTGTTCAGGGCCCACACCGTCCGCCCGGCCGCCATCGACCCCACCCACCATGATGCCATCAAGCCATACATGCCCGCTCAGGGGCTGCTGGTCGGCTCTCTGCGGTCCGCCATCAGGGTCTTGATGAGCAGCTATACGAGCCCGACGGAGCACCTTGGCAAGTTCATGACGGACATGGCGATTGGGAAGTGGCCAGATGCAAGCAAGCTTGCTGGCCCAGGCGTGAAGCCTGTGGGTTCATCGGGATTTGCCATTGTGCAAAACGCTGGATTTAGGAGAATGATGGGACTCGACAAGAAGCCATGAGTGGCTGCTGTTAATATTGTAATTTTTCTAGACTTGGGTCGGGACGATGGGTGTACAAACTTCTAAAACTAACCATCGCGCCAGGCATGGAAATAATTAGATCTGCTTTTGGAGAGACCAAGAATCCTCGCTGCTCCCCCGCCTGAGTCAATTCGCACCAGTGACATTGAAAATGTCGGCAAACGGATCCCAGGCAGAATCCATGTGCCTTTCGTACTCCATCTGGTTTGCCACATACGTCGCATTTTCTTTCCCATACACCGCCTCAATAAAGGCAAGCGTGGCATCAATACCCGCCGATATGCCTGATGATGACCACACTTTCCCATCAACAACCCACCGCGCGCGGGGAACCCACTCCACCCTTGGACCATACACCACATTGGCATCCCATGAAGCCTTGTTTGTCGTTGCGTGCTTGCCGTCGAGGATGCCGGCCCTGGCGGCGAGGACGGAGCCGGTGCACACGGTGAGGAGGTACGGCAACTTTGGATACGTCGCGGCGATGTAATTGGCGGTGGCATTGATCAAGGGCGACCGGGCGCCGAGGCCGCCAGGGATGATGAGAACGTCCAGGTCCTCGGGGACCGTAGTGAGCGTGTGGGTTGGTGGAAGTGTTGGGTACTACAGCGTCGGGTATTAGTTGGAATCCCACTGGTTTCCCAGGTGCAAACTGCCTCAAGCAACCCAACGCCCACCCATCGAGAAAGCCATCCTGCACCCACCACGGTCGAATTCATCGGGTTCATGGCCGACATCACAGGCTGCGTTGTGACCACATCCATGGTCTCTGAGATGAGGAAGAGTTGCAGGTGACGGATTCGTGAGAGTATTTGCAAAGTCTCGAGCGGCCCAAATACATCGAGTGGCTCAAACGCTCGAAAGAGAATCATGCCGAACTTGGTCGGTGGGGGTGGCTTGGGCCTCGATTGACCTGATTTTCGGCATGTATCTGTTAGTTGACTCTGCCCTTTGCACGGCTGGCAGCCCCCTCGGCACTTGCGAGATGGTATCGCCTTTCCTATCGACTGGGCTGCGACGTACATCCAGGGTGACCCGTTCTGGAGCCGAGTACCAGGGGGACATGACTAATCCCTAGGATAAGAATGACGGCCTGGAGAAGCGTGACGGCCTGGAGAAGCGTGACGGCCTGGAAAAGCATCGTGAAGGCGCTGTGTGCTCTATTCGCCCAGAAAGTTGATATGGTTGGTCACCTCGACGACACCACCCTGGACGAGTCGACAGGGAGGTTTGGTGGGTCATTTATGCAAGGCGGTATATATTTCATGCGCGTACTGGAATGGGATGAGGCTGGTGCGCGAGTTTGAGCATGATTTCCCAAAAGACGTCTGGAGTAGGCGCGTTAGCGTCGTGTTGACGTTGGTGCTTGCTTGGGATGCACATTTCCACGCAACCCGGAGACGCTGTGCAGCGACGGGCGCAACTGCTACTAAAAGGTTCCCTGTACCTCCACTAGGCAGGAACATGTGAAGTAAAGAAGCTCCTCGTCGTCGGGGCCTTGCGCTCCTTTGGGTGACAGCAGATAGGCATTTCCTGCTGTCGAGCTTGAAGCGTGTTCTAACAGAACGACTTGCCTGGACGCCGGTGAATCAAGAAATCGGATACCTGCATTGCTGTAGAGCTTGAACTGTGCCCATTGAGACACGACTCCGGATAGCTACCGCTATAGTACGCCTCATTGCTACACCCAGACCGCGGTGATGATGACAGGGCGGTGACGGTTTTCTCTCCGACGCCCTGTTTCTCCTTGTTGAGGAGCTCGGTGCTTGCAGTCACAGATCCGAGATTCGGCGAAATCGTCGCGTCTTTGCCTGCCGCCGACGGGCGTTGGAGTCACCGAAACGATGAGCACGTTTGTGGGGGCTCGTAGCCATTGACAGATTGAGCACATTATTAACGCCATGATTGCAAAGAATTTCACAAACGAGTTCAATGAGCGACAAGCGGTACCGGTCGGGTCTATTTTGTGAGGATGGCGCGAATTGGATCTAGGGATGGGCCGTACTTTCGCAGCGGTGTGCGGTTTGGGGTGTCCGACCTCCCAGACACCGTTGTCATTTTTGCAGTGCTCGGCTGCGGATTGGGGACGCCTGGGGAAAAGAAACACAATAAAAGGTACGTACTTATGTCGTACGGGATGAACACGATTGAACGATTTTGTGCTCTTACAATTTCCAAGCCGACCCCCTTCCTAGGGACATTGCCAACACATTGGATGAGAGGTAGGAAAGATTATCAGACTACAGTATTAAAGGGATTAATCGAGTAACACGACAATAGGCTAGGCCAAGCATGCCTGTAGTGGCAGTCCTGAGGCTCAAAAACAACAGCATCAATGACGAAGCTAGACGAAAACCAGTAAGGGCACACATCGACCATGGCGGAGCTTCTTTGTTCCAACTATCTGGGCTTGATAGCCTATGGCAGCTTCGGGCGGCTTCAAGGGTGGGGACGACTGGTCTACCCGCAACACACAGTAGCCTCCCTTGCGGCGCTGGTTTGGTCACCACTACATGAGTGGATTAGTAGGGGTTCTTCTTCGGGCGTTCTATTTCTTGAGGGCCGCACCCACCCAGGGGTAAAAGTTTCCCAATGGAAGACAAAGGCACCAAGGTAGGAGCCGATGAAAATGCATATGATGATGTAGCCGTTGTAGTACATGGCGAGTCTGCCAGACAAGGGTATTGGTTAGCTAGGTGGTGGCGGCGGTGGCGGCAGTGGCGGCGGCAGAGACGGAGGATGCACATACAGCATAACAAAGTAAGCGACGGCAAACTGCACCATGTGCAGGAATGCGCGGATGGCCTGCTGGAAAAAGTTGGGCCGGAAGGGCGCCACCGGCGTCGGGGAGCCGGAGCCCGTCTTGGAAGGGTTCGCCGAGGCGTGCTGGCGGAGGAGGAAGCGGTCGTACTCCTTGACGGACCTCCGCAGGAACTCGAGCGACATGACCAGCAGGATGACGCCGATGCAGGAGCCCGCGAACATGCCCTCCGACGTGATCCTCCACGACGAGGCGATAAAGCACGAGTCTATAGTGTACCAGTTCCAGAGCATCTGCCGGTTCGTCCCCCCGAGTCAGCTGCTGCGCCCACGTCGACGCGAACACGGAGGTGATGGAAAAGAGGCAGTTCGGGCGGCTCTTACCGATATTTTGCAGCCGCCACCCATCCCACCCATACCACCCATGCCGCCGGATGACGTTGTGTTGGCCGGCGGCGCCATGGCCGTCGAGTTCGTTGTCATGTCCATTTTGGTCAAGTTGGAAGGTGACCGTCGTCGACTGTCTTGGAAGTAGCGGACTTGATTATTTTCAATGGCGAGGGTATGAGGGGCGGCTCTTAAGGAAGGCTTTTGGGTGAAGGAAGGGCGGCCTGGCTGTATATGAGAGGTCTCGCCCGGCTCACATGCAAGCTGCCAACGAGAAGGATGGAAGGCAGGGGGGTTGTCAGGAGGAGCAGTCGCTGCAGCGGGTCGCACCATTGTTAGGGCCCACCTGCCCTATCAGGAAAGCGTTTCCATCTTCAAAGCTCGATCCTGGCCCTGGTGCGCAGGTTTGAGTCAAATATTACGGCGCCACATTGGGCACTTGGACCAGTAGGATCACGGAATGCGGCGCCAGAGATGCGAGAGCCTGCAGTTGCTGCAGTTGCTGCAGTTGGGGGGAAACAGAGGAGATGGAATGGAGGTGGGCGCACTTGATCGTCACCGTATCGCCGCGCCCAGGTAGTGTGAAAGTATAGAAGCGGCGCACATCGGATTCTTCCCGCAGACCGACGTCGTCTGCAGATTGATCACTACACCCTCAATGCGCCCTGACCCCTCCCGCGTAGCCTTGCGCATATTGCAGCCCCAGTGGTAGAGCTGCGAGCTGCGACTGCATCACGCTGCAAGTGCATCCGGAGCAGGCGATTGGACGATGGATCCTGCATTGATTGGACTTGCCGCTATAGGCCTGCAGGAACCCCGTGCCAACGTCTTGAAGAGTGGGGGTGCGTTGATAAAGGGCCAGGACGGCTTTTCGGGTGCGCCACCCCTCCCGGCTTCACGCAGCTGCCAGGCAATCCGGTTGAATGCCACCGGCTCGCTTGACGAACCGTCCCATCGGCTTTCAGGAGGCTCGCCTCGGGGCGGAAGGAGGCAGGGGTCGCTGCGGGCCTACGCGATTTGCGTTGATAAGCTACTACTTGGCGCGGCTATTTCGAGTCGCCCAGCGTATGGCAAGAGAAGACGGTGAATTTACTCCAGTCGCGTGCAAAAGCAGTCTTCGAACATTGTAGAGGTGTACCTAGGGAGACCGCACGCCGACTAACCGCAATTGCATTTTTATTACACCTAAGAGACAGAGCCTGAGGCATCGCCGACCGACCGAAACGAGGCATGTATCTTATTGGGCATGTGGAGAATGGACGGGCTCCAGAGTCCCGCGGGTCACAGGATGGTGAGGGCTCGGTGGTTGCGATAACCAGACGGAATGGAAAGGGAAGTAAAAACGTTCAACGGAAGTTCAATTTTCGCGTTGTTGGAAATAAAAGCAGAAACAAGGTCCAGCGGTGGGTGGGTGGGGTAGAGGGATCGCCCTGATAATCCCACACCACTGTGGACACCACATTCGTTGTGGCAAACATGACAAGCATTGAAGAATCCATACCGTGCCGTGAGTCGCCATACTTTGAGGAAAATTCTTGCTGAACTTCAGCCGGCCCGAAACAGAAGAAAACTAGGACAATGTGATGCCTGCCGAGGACGCGTACCAGTAGCGCATCTCGGCTTCCAGGACAGCGTCCCGCCCACGCAGATACGGGTTCCCGGGATCGCAGCAATCGAGCAGGTCCCAGACCTCGCCGTCGCAGCGCTTGGGCTGGAGCCTCGACGGAAGCTCGAGGCTGAAGCGGCCCGCGACGCCCAGCCGGTCCCCCTCGACCCAGCCGCCCACGAACTCGCCGCGGGCCAGCGCCTCCCTCACGGCGCGGGACTTGGTCATGATGGGCCCCGGGTGCCCAGCCACCTCGACGAGGCAGTTGTGCCAGGGCGTCGGCACGTGCAGCAGGTCGACGGAGCGCATCTCCGCGGCGGCGCCGGCGAGCGAGAGGCGCTCGAGGGCTCGGGCGTGGCGGCCGAGCAGGCGGATGCCGAACTTGGGCCCGGCGTTGTTGTGCGCGTGGATGGAGAGGCGGACGTGGTGCGGGAAGATGAGCTCGACCAGGTTCGAGTAGGCCTCGTTGCGCTGCAGCATCTCGAACGAGACCCGGGTGGCGAGCTTCTTGAGCTTGCTGCGGCTCAGGTGCGACGCGTACCGGTTGTGGCACAGGTCCTCGGCCATGAAGCGCGAGAAGCCGCGGTACAGCTTGAGGGCGCTGTGCTCGCCCGACTCGATGCGCGCCCGCAGCAGGCTGTCGTTGGACCGCCCGGCCTCGAGCAGCATCCGCCGGCTCAGCTCGGCCGGCGCCGTGCGCTTGGTGGCGATCTGGGTCTCGAGGACGGGGAGGCGCAGGGACAGCGCGAGCGTGACTTCGGGTGTCGAGTGCGCTAGGTCGAAAATATCGACCAGTGACATGAACCCGACTCGGTCCGCGCCCCGGCGCCGCCTCCCGATTTCAGTATTCAGCCTGATGATCTCAGCGTTATACCTGTCGACAACCTCATCATCGACGCCGACTGTTTGATGGGCAGGTCAGCGAGACTTTCTCTTGGACCCGTTGTACTGTCCTCGCCTATGGCAGAAAAGAAGGAAGAACTTACTGCAATCGCTGAACACGTGGCCATCGCTCACAATCCACAGCTTGGCTCCAGGCTTGTAGACGCCCTCTATGGCCTCGACAAAGGAGTGGAGATTTTCAAGTGCGAGCTGCTCGCCCCTATCCGGGAGCACGCCGGAAACCTTGTCCAGATTGGAGGATTTGCAAGGGAAAGCCGGGAGGCAGAACTCGACCCTGGCGCCACGCCGCACAAAGTCGTCGACTCGCTCGCGAAAGTAGTCCCGCCCCGAGACCCTCCACTTATCCTCGTCGATGACATATCTGAGCGTGGAGTCGAAAAGGTCGACGATCTTTTCCGTGGCGGCACTGGCTTGGGGCGGCAGGTTGTCCAGGGGCGTCGTGGTGAAGAGCCTGATGTCCCGCAGAAGCAGCCTGGCGAACACGTCGTCAAAGGCGGCCTCGGATGCGGAGCAGTTCTGGAAGATGAGGCCGAGGATGGCGTCCCCGCCGTCCTCTCCCTCCTCGGTCTCGTATATGGCCAGCTCGACCTGCTGGACTGCTTCGACCCTGACGACGAGCTTGCTCCTCGGCGACAGGCCATGTTTGGTCTTGTTGACGACGGCTTCTCCGATCCCCGGGCCATAGAGATCCTGGGAAAGCGCTTGCTCGTCGGACGAGGACGAGTGCAGCGCCAGCCAGACCTCCTGCCAGTTCCCGCGCACCTTGCGGTGCAAAGGACCAGTGCAGGTAACGAGGGCTCCGCCTCGGGTCCGCACAAAAGCTGCACAAAACCTGTGGTAGGCGCTTGGGCGAGACATGATGGTGGGAAAGGCAATTTTTCCTGAGAAGAGACGAATGATGACGGTGAGGCCTGATGGTGGAGAGAAGGTTTGAGCAAGTTTCCCCAGCCGATATTAAAGCGTTGGGTTCCAGGCACCTGGGTCGGGAAGATGACCAGCGGGCTGTCAGTTTGAGAAGGTATTTTTGTACATGGGCCCTGCCCACCCAGCCTCTCGTTCCATCACACGTACGATCACATTCAGCACGCTCTCGTTGACCACAGCTGCCGGGCCGCCATCATGTTGGTGTCGCATTTTGGCACTGTCCCACGTATCAAGCTCACCTCACTCACAACAACCCCTTCGACAAATACTGCCGGGATAGGTTAGGATTGGCCCCATTCTCAATTTCTTTGTTTGGATCTCGACAGATATGCCACGGCCCGAGAAGCCTACCCCCGCCAGTCCAGCTGGTGCTCCTCGACGCCACGCATGCGGTTTGTACCATGGATGCCTTTCCTGGGACCCTGCACGAGCGGTGACGGAAAGGCATCCTGATTGTGTGACGAACCGATGATGCGAAACCCGAGTGAGCCCGGTGAGGAGCTTCCTTTACCGCCTGCCCAGCGACGGCGAAAGGAGCGAGGATGTCGGAAATGTCGGGGCGAAACTGCAAAAAGCCATCACATGACGTGAGGACTGTGGTGCGTCCTGCAAGTCCGCGGCTCTGCAGCTGTCTAGCTCGCCTTGGCGCCCAGCGATACCACCCACCAAACGGCCCTCAACGCGCGAGGTCAGCACGGCCCGATTAGTTGGATGGTCATGGAGGATTCATTCGGAGTGTGGTACAAGCGTGGCTTGTTCATGGCCCTGCCGCGTCTGTGATTCTGGCCTAAGCGAGGTTGCCTCGCGGCCTCAAAATCGAGCCCGCAGCCCCTGCAGTGATACGCGCACGCCTCGGCCATGGACGGAGGTATCTAGGGGGAGCCCAGATGTACATGCTGGTCGTCGGGTGTACTACAACCATGTCGGATGCGGCCTGACACATCCTCAAGATGACGGCTGAAGCTCTCACCGATGCGGCGATGGATGCTGTGTGCTCACTCATCCGGAGCTGTTGTTGATCTCGACACGCACCGTTGCTTCTGCCATGCTGCCATGGACCGACGTCTCGTTGCGGAAATTGCATGAGCTTGTCTCGGGCGTTTGTCGCAGAGCCAGATAAAACACTAATTTTTGCGTTCTCGTATCTTCCAACCTGACCGACACCTTGCTCTCTTTCAGTTCCATCTGCAGTCTCTACTCTCTACCCCTGCGACAGTTCCATTTCGCCGCAATGGGCACCACAAGCACACCACCGCCATCCGACCATGCCGCGGCCCCGTACTCGGGCTTCTCCCCCGCCCGCAAGCGCTTCATCATCGGCGTGGCCAGCGCGGCAGGTCTCCTCGGCCCCATGGCCGGGGGCATCTACCTGCCCGGACTCCCGGTGCTGGAGCGCGAGTTCGGCGTCGACGGCGTCGCCATCAACGCCACCGTCGCCGTCTTCATGGCCGTCTGCGCCTTCGCCGCCCTGGTCTGGTCGGCCTTTGCCGACTGGAAGGGCAGACGGCCGCTCTACATCATCGCGCTCGCAACCTACCTCGGCGCCAACATCCTCATGGCTGCTCTGCCTCCAAATTATGGCGCCCTGGTCTTCCTCCGAATGGTGCAGGCCTTTGGATGTTCTGCCGCTATCTCTCTGGGAGCTGGAACTGTGGCAGACGTATGTTTGTGTTTCTCGATTCGACATTGGCTGCCGCGATGATTGTCCTTATCGTCCTTTACTCGAGAAATGAAATTGACCAGAATCACCCATAACAGGTAACTGAGCCGGCCCGCAGGGGCTTCGCCATGTCCGTATTTCTGCTAGGACCCAACTTAGGACCGACCTTTGGCCCTTTGCTAGGTGGTGTCATCACGGGGCAGGCATCATGGCGGTGGACGTTTGGATTCCTATGTATGTGACCTCCCCCCATCTCCCTCACCGGGATCACAGCCTTCTGACACGCGTCTGTTCAAAGCAATCGCGGTTGGCATCGTATTGCTCGTCGTAATATTTGCCCTCCCCGAGACGCTGCGTTTCCGCGTCGGGGACGGGAGTCTGTACGCCGGCAAGGGCGTGCTGCTCCTGCCACCTCGGCTGGCCTCCCCTCTGGCACCCGAGGCGGAGCGCGGGCCGCGGCCGCCCAAGCCCTCCCTCAAGCTCTTCTGGCGCCTCTTCTGCTACCCGCCCATCCCAATCGCGGCGCTGTACACGGCCCTCTTGTTCGCGACCTACTTCTCCATGGCCGTCGACCTCCCCGACGTGCTGACGGCCAGGTACGGGTGGTCGGTAACTGCCGTGGGCGCAGGCTACGTCGCCAATGGCGTGTCCATCACACTGGGCTCCCTGTCCGCCGGGCGCTTCTCCGACTGGCGCCGAGCCCGCACTGCCACGCGGCTTTCCGACGGCCAGGTCCCACCTGAGAGTCGCCTTGTAGACCAGTTTTGGGGCGCTCTCCTGTGCTCGGCCGGCGCTATCATGTACGGCTGGTGCGTTGAAAGGACGGTTCATCCAGCAGCAATGTTGGTAGCAACATTTTTCAGTGCGTACACTGTCCCTCCCCAATCCTCCGCATATGACCATTCTCGATGCTTACAAGTACCAAAGTCGGGTTGGGCATGTCTTCTGTCATGGTCGTCACCTTTGCCTTCTTGACAGAGTGTGCCCCTCAAAGCTCGGCAGCCGCCATGGCCGTGGAGAGTCTGATGAGAAACCCGGCCGCTGCCATCTCCTCGGTGGTCACCCCGGCCCTTTTGCCCCGGATGGGGTATGGCTGGTTCTTCACAGGGTTTGCCATACTGGACTTGGTTGTATTCGGTGCCGGAGCCCTAGGTATGTACACCTCACTTACGTCCAACCCCCTTGTTCCCCTCACCAGCTGACAAGTTCCGATAAAGCTCTCGCGCTCCATGGCCCACGCTGGAGAGAGAAGGCAACGCTTTCTGGGCCTGCAAAGGGGCCTGCTACTCCCGCACCTCAGGAGAAGACCGTAGCCTCTAGTGGAACATCGACACCCAAAGACGTGGATGTGGAGCGGGGTACCAATACTTGATCAAGTGTGAGATTAGGAGACCGCACGGCATCGAAAATGTCCAAATGGTCCGCTTGCGAGCTAGTGCTACGCCTCTGGGGTGCCGCAAAAAGATAATTTGGTAGCTAAAGGAGTTCGGCAGATCGATACAGTCCTCCGCCAATATCAATGAATCGTGGTTACCACAGTCTACAGTCTACCACTTTGGCCTATGAGGGTCAGAAGATCTAGGCCCGTTGCCTTAGTAGCGTGCATCTGCCATTCAGCCCGTTTATTTGGTGTGACGGAAGGCACTTCTTTGTCCGGCCGGGCACACGTAACGGTGTACAGAAGCACAGAAATTATCTGCCGATAATGTGTAGGGGAGTACGATAACTGTCTGGTAGAATTGTCCGGACTCTCGCTCATGGTGAAAAAATAAAGTGGAGATGCTCGCGGGGTTGAGTGATATCGCGCAAACAGCCTCATCGAGATATGACTAGATATGTCTAGCGCGGAAGCTGCAGGAGCATCCTTGATCTTGACATACCACGTAGGAGAAATCGGGCTAGTTGTGATACGGCTAGCCTCGGAGGCCTGGGTGTCGTATGTCAAGCAAGGGGGCGCAAGCAAGGCTCCATTTGCGGAATAGCCCGATATAGCACATCCAAGTAACCCCAATGGTCTAGATCCTATATGATATTCTACCGCAATGTGTCCTGTCGTACACAGTAGCACACGAATATCCCTAGGGCTGGCTGCCATCGATGAACAAACGCCCGCCGCACTGCCACTACTTTGCACTGTGAGACGTAAGCCCCGGGTTTGGCAACTAAGACTGGTGACCGTGCATCCCGCCCTTGCCCTTCGCCATGCAACCCATCTTGGGGTGATCGACCCTGCCAGCTGAATACTGTTGGTGGTGCCACGTGTGGTGTCAGCAGATGGCGCAATGCAAGTGCCCGTATCAGGGACGATGTGACGGGCGTGTTGGGAGAATCCTACCCCGCCATCTATGGGCAGAATCGCGCCCGTGATCCACCGTGCCTCCTTGCTCGACAAGAAGAGGATGGCTAAAGCGTCGGTCCGTCGACTCTCGTCAGCCTCACATAACGCGCCGCCGCTCGGTCACTGCATCAGAGACGATAAAGGGGGAGGGGAAGGGAAAAAAAATACAACGCTGGACGAACCGTAACCAATGTCCATGACCGTGCCCTCGTACTTGAGGAAGCCAAGGTTCCTCCGCTCCGCGCGCATCTGCTCGCTCATGGCGCCATCGTCGCCCGCGTTGACGCGCGCCATGGGCGTGTAGGCCATTCCAGGGCAGACGCAGTTGACACGGATAGCGTCGGGCCCGTAGTTGCCGGCCATGGCGCGCGTCATGGCGACAATGGCACCCTTGGAGGTGGAGTAGAAGACACCGGGCGCGCCCCCACCCAGGCCCACGACGGAGCTCATGTTGACGATGGCGCCCTTGCCGCCCGCGCGCATGACGGGCACGACGTGGCGCACCATCTGCACCATGCTGGTTACGTTGTAGTGCATGCCCTCGTTGAAGGCCTCGGTCGTCACGGTCTCTGCGTTGCCGGTGGGATAGCCGGTGCCCACTGTTGAGGGGGGGGCGGGGGATGGGCATGAGGTCGAGATCGGTTAGTCCAGCTTCGAGTCGGCTGGGAGCAGGGAAGGCGGCCCTCCTGCTTCTCCCAGGTTACGGTACGCAGGTCGAGCGAAGGAGTGAAGGAGGCTAGCCGCTAGCGAAGCATCCTTCCGACGTAGCAGAAAACTCACCAATGTTAACCAGGATGTCGACCCTGCCAAACAGCTCAACCACCTTGCTGACGGCGGCCTTGCAGTCCTCGTCCAGCGTGACGTCCGCCCGCACCACCTCGGCGACACCACCTTCCTCCTCGATGATGCGCTTGGTCTCGGCGGCGGCCTCGACGTCGCGGTCGACGACGGCCACGCGGGCACCGTGCCGCGCGAGCAGCACGGCCGCGGCGCTGCCGTTGCCTAGCTCGTTCTTGATGAGGCAGCCGCCGCCCGTCACGATGGCCACCTCGCCACCAAAGTCGAATGCGCGGGAGTGCGACATGGTAGTGCGCGGGAGGTAGGGGCAGTAAAGTTGGCTGTGTGATGGGCAAATCTGGGATTGCAACGGCTGAGTGGGAAACCGTGGGTGCGGCTAGTGTGGCAGATCGGAGAGGAGAGAGGAGAGCCGGTTGCTTCGTCCCGACGCAGCGGGTGGTGTAATGTCATGGCCTGCAGATGCTTCGTTCTCTTTAAGTAGGTACCCGGGACCGACACGCAATATCATGGTGATATGCATGTGGCTGGCACGCTCTAGTGTCTGCCGAGGTATCTGTACTTCCAAAACTTCGGCTTACGACACCGGCCCGGAAGTAGCCCACCACAAATGGCGGCCATCAGGATGAAGAGGCCGCTTGGGATAGCCGGGCTTAGACTCCGCGCCGCTGACCTCACCGATGTTATTGTTCCGCAACCTGAAGAGGAAGGCATTACATAAAAAGGTATACTAATCACAAAATTGCGGTCAGCAGCCGCTCCGAAGATGTCGTTATCGGGCCATCTCGGGGGTCGCGGGGGCCACGCTGTCCCACGGACACGTCTCGTTATACCCGCAGCGGCGGCGATAAAGCGCTCCCACAGGAAAAGCCAGCTTTCTGTGTTTCAAGAAGCGTACGTGAGGTAAGACCTTGTCCTGATCTGGCAAAAAATAGCAGCAGCAAGGTGACGAGACTTACTGATCTACACAAGACTGCGATATCTAAAAGTATGCCAAGAGCATTTTCCGCCCGGCCTCAGCTACGCTAGTTATGCATGTTCAGCAATTTCAGCCGTCTAGCGCTCACCGAGCGCCGTTGAGCGGCGCGGGTCCTGCAGCCAAGATGCAGACGGGGTTGCAGTCGCACGGACGAGAAGCGAGCCGGCAGCTCAGCAGGATCGGAACGAGCACCCGAAGGTACAGAAGGGAGGGTAGCTACCTAAGGTTCTTACAGTCAGGCGGGAGGGGGGTCTAATTAATTTAGTCCCCGAGGGGTGGGGGTTTTCCTTGGGCTGCAGCGCTTTTGCACCCTCACCCTCTTCATCATCGTCGTCACGGCGTACCCTTTGGTACCCAGTTTGTACATCCGCCAACGGGCTTTGTGTCAAAGTGCGGTGTGACATGCAACCTATCCCTGTCTAAATCAATCCTGACGAGAGATTGAAAATGTCAGAATGGCAAACGCGGCTTGTGTCTAGTGATGCAAGTTTGTCCCCAAGAGTGCTAGGATTAGTTGCAAAAGGTAGAAAAAAGGCCATATTTCTCCCAGGGGTTTCATGCTATTTATCACGAGACAAGGCCTTCTCCGACTTGTGAATAATACGAAAGAAGTGTGAAGGCAAAACCAAAAGAATAGCGACTCTCGTGTCTGACGGCAATACCAAAAGCCCCCACGCATAAACCCAAATCATCATGGCGCAAGCTAAAGGCTGCACTCGGCTGAAGCTGAGCGGTGCTCTGGACAAGTTCTCCTACGAGGAGACGACGCCCATCACCGGACGGGAATATCTCGACGTCAACATCGTGGACGACCTGATCAATGCCGAAAATGCTGACGATCTCCTCCGCGACCTCGCCATCACGAGTAAGTCTACCACTCCGGAGCAAGTTGATGAAGAAAGCAGATGAGCTGAGCCTGACATTACCGTCCCTCTCAGTTTCAACGCGTGGCGTCGTCTTCTTCCGGTCTCAAACCAACCTCACCAACGAGCTGCAGAAGGAGCTGGTGCACCGGCTCGGCCAGCTGGCGGGCAAGCCGGCCGAGTCGTCGGTGCACACGTTCCCGCTCGCGCCGGCGTACGTGCCCGAGGGCGGGACGGCGGACCGGCAGATCAGCTACGTCAACTCGGTCGGGTTCAAGTACATGTTCGACAAGATGCCCAACATGGACAAGCGCCGCTTCGACGCGGCCGAGTGGCACACCGACATCCAGTTCGAGCCCGTCCCGGCCGACTACACCTCGCTCCGCGTCATCAAGCTGCCCGAGACGGGCGGCGACACGCTGTGGGCTTCGGGCTACGAGCTCTACAACCGCCTGTCCGGGCCCTATCGCGACTTTGTGGACCGCCTGACCGTCACCTGCCGCGCCGACTGCGTCCTCATGGCCATCCGCAACCGCGGCGAGAAGATCGAGGACGGCGAGCGCGGGAACCCGCTCAACCTGGGCACGGCCCTGACGGCCGTCCACCCCGTCGTGCGCACCAACCCCGTCACGGGCTGGCGGAGCGTTTTTGCCCTCGGCCAGTTCTCCAAGCGCATCAACGAGGTCAACCCGATCGAGTCCGAGGAGCTGCTCAAGAAGTTCTACAACATGATCCAGGACAACCACGACCTGCAATGCAGGTTCAAATGGCGGAACCCGCATGACATTGGTAAGTACAGCCCGTCATTCTGCCCTCAATCAAGGCCCCCAGCTGTGTCGCAGGCGTATCTGACCCGTGGTATAGCCATCTGGGACAACCGCAGCGTCTTCCACAGGGCCACGTTTGACTACATGGACCTCGGCGAACGCTCCGGCAACCGTGCCGTGGGCATTGGCGAGGTCCCATTCTTCGACCCTGAGAGCAAGTCCAAGGCCGAGGCTGAGGGTAAGGAAAAGCCGAAGAGCCAAGTCCCTACCAAAGACGCTGTCAATGGAAATGGCAAGGCCCCAACCACGGGGTGCCATGGGATGCCCATGGGGGGAAATAACCACCACGACATGGCTATGGGCCAGGGCCACAATGGCATGGCTATGGCCGGGCATGGCCACTAAGGACTAAGGCTTGATGGTTGTTTGGTATTATGAGTCAGCAATGGAATGGTGTATCTCTGAACCTTTTTTGGATCAAGGAAGTTGTCCACAATGGACGTAGGGTGCATGTAGTTGGGAATGGATTTTCACTATCCAAAAATAAGGCTACAGCCAAAAAAAAATGGCGATTTACACGGCTGGGCGTGGTGGTCGTTTGAGGACACGCCTCTAGGATCTTCAAAGATCTGCTGCTGTAATCGACTGCGACACTGTATGTGCTGTCGGGCGATCTTGACAGCTGCAAGAAACGCGCGTGTGTCGAGAGGAAACGTGGATGACCCGCCGCCTTGGGTAGCCCACCCACCAATGCCTCGTGGCGGTACGAAGTCCGATACTGTGTACTTCGTCCGAGCGGCCATTTCAGGGCCAATCTTGCATTTTTCAATGTACTAGGTACCCGCAGTCATCTCCTCGATACTAATGTGCTGAAAGGTGAGCGGGTGGCGGGTCGACTCTATCCTCCAGCAGCATCCCACGGTTCCATACCACCCACCCACATGCATCATTATGTTTCCGTACTTGGCATCAATTTTCTAGCTACCTTACTAAGATGTTGATAGCATATGCTGCGAGGGGGCGTCTTCTAGCACGCCGGTTTCCAACCCCTAGTCTCAAACCGCGCCACCGCTAGCGGTTTTCGAAAACGAGCTTCAAAGCCCGCGGGTACAACGGCCCAGCCTTCCCATGCGGCCGCAACCATTAAAGGAAGGTTAGATACGTTGACAAAAGCGGAAAGGATATCCAAGAGTATACGAGATGGCATACATGCCAAGGGTGAAGGGGGGGAGGGAAAGTAAGGCTCACCGGCGTCATCCTGTCTGGCCAGGTCGGGTCCAGCGCCCATCGAAAACGCCCGACCAGCAGCCACAGCGTCACCCGCATCTCGAGTAGGGCGAACTTCTCGCCGAGGCACGCCCGCTTCCCGCCGTGGAACGAGATGAACTCGCCGCGCGTCCGCCGGCGGCGGTAGCACCGCTGAATCTCGTCGGGCGCACCGCCCCACCGCGCGGGCCTGAACTCGTCCGCGTCGGCGCCCCAAGCCTCCGGGTCCCTGTTGGTCGAGTAGCAGTTGTAGCCCACATACGTCCCGTGCGGCAGGTACGTGCTGCTGCTGCCGCCGCCGCCCAGGAGCGCGCCGCCCGCCGCGCCGACCCTGCGGTTGACGAGCTGCCCGATGGGCGGGAATAGTCGTAGGCTCTCGTACACGACGGCCGTCATCAGCGGCAGCTCCTGCAGCAGCTGCGTCGCCGCGGCGGGATCTGCTGGTAGGGTGGTGGTGGCACCGACGGCGTGGCATGCACCCTCACCGACCTTGCTGCGCATCTCGTAAAACACCTGATCCTGGATTTGCTGTGCGACCCAACCCAAGGCGCAAACGTCAGCTTTGTCGTAGGTTGGTATGGTTGCGAACATGCACGTCGCCCCACTAGGAATGGTCTTGCGCGGCGGGTGTGTGTGTGTGTATGTGTGTGTGTGAGGGGGTGTGTATGTGCTCCCACGCCCATGAGCAACCCCCGCGCGCGCTGGGCGGGACAAGGGGAAGAGAAAAAAAAGTCACATACCGGGTGCTTAGCGAGCAGGTACAGCATCGAAATCATGGCCAGCTGCGGGTTTTCCTGTCCAGCCACAAATGTGACGGTGAGATTGTCAAGGAATTGCTTTTCGGTCCAGAGACCCGAACGGAGCGCCCCCAACAGGCGCGCGCCCAGCTTATCTGACGTCTCTGCCGGGATGCTATCGACAGATGCAGATAGATGCGGGTTTGGTTGGTGGCTGTCCTCGAGTGCTATTTTCAACTCGTTTCTGAAGGCCGCCACCAGGCTTCTGGCCCGCTTACGGCCGGGCAAGGGAAGGTGGTCCAGGAATGGAAAGTTCATGAAGATGGGCTTGAAGATCTCGCGCTTGACCGCAATCTGAAGACTGTTGAGTGGCACGTAATCTGACTCCATCGTCTGCAAGGTGGCAACCCATGCCGCTTCTGTTAAGTCCGGAATGCAGAACCGGGAACGGGCGAATTGCACATTGCACATGAACCAAGGGGATTGGCACTTACAGGCAAATCCACCTGGAGCAACAGCCCGGCGCAGTTGGCCACAGAGTACTTTTGAAGCAAGTCCTGTACCATGATTGAGCCCCCTAGCGACAGTTTCCGTGTAGCCTCGATCGCATCGCATAGAAGGCGCGCATTCCTTGCCAATGTGCCCACCTCGAAATTGCGTTGCAGGCCAGGCTTGACAACCGCTCGGTAGCTTTGCCAGGTATCTGCTCTGCTCGATATGATGTTGTCGCCTTTTCGTATGGTTCAGAGGGTACCAACTATTAGTATTGGCAAAGTGCAGCGCGGTTCTGCGCCATGGATATGAATCTTGGCAGCAACTCACCCAGAAACGCAGCCAGGACACTGTGCGGTATCTTTTTCTGGTTTCCCGACTTCTCGTAAACATCCTCCTTTCTGAAGATTTCGGCGAGGTAGGCCGGCCGGTGGACGAGGACGTTCCACTGCGCGCCAAAAAAGATTTTGACCGCGCCGTGGCGCCGAAGGGGTCCTTCGATGTAGCGTTTAAAAATGTCTGCCTGGTCGACGTCCTTGAAGAAGGGAATCAGCGCGACCCAAAAGGGCACGGCCGGCACGTCGCGGGGCTCGCGCGGAGGGAGAAGGAAAAGCCAGTAGATGGATGCCACAAACAGGGCCCCGAGAAGGACTAATTGGCACAGAAGCACGATCATTATGTCTTTCTCTCGGCTGACTGTTGCTGGTGTTGTTTTTGAAGTTGGCGGCTGCTTCTCCCGAAGAAACTCCAATTCGAAGGAGCCGCACTCACGGGAGCGCTGCCCATTTTTATATGTGCCCGACCTATGTTGCACGCAGCGGATGCGATTACGGTGGGTGGGGGCCGAAAAGTCCAACAGGCGCTGGAAGAAATGCACCCCAGGTGTTGCGTGTTGCTGTATCGTACCCCTTCCAGCCCTGTTCCAACAACCCCCTTGTTCTTTGTCGTGATCCCCGATATAGAATATTGTCTCTCAAAATGTATGCGCAAGTGTCGCAATCTTTCTCTTGACAAAAATAGCAGCCATCATCAACCTATATTGCCCCTGCATGATGTCGTCGCCACCCCCGTGAACGAGCTTGTCCAGCCGTAGGGAGTCAGGGGGATATTCCGAAAAGGCATCCACGAGAAGATGGGAAGTGTGTGATGCGCCCAAGGATATAATTCATAATACAGTACCAATGATCTAGTCCACCTGACATACGCCTGTCCCGAGTATACCGGAACCACTAACTAGCGAGACAGCTGCCGACGGCGTGGGATGCTGCGCTCGAGGCCATTACAGACAACTAGCGCTTGTATGTGCAAACCTAGACAACCACTGACAGCATTAGCTTTGGCTCTGTCCATGCTGCCGAAGCCCCTGTTCCACTCGCTGGCCTCGGTCCGACGCGGCGCGCCGCCAACGTGGTCCACCAGAATATCGATGGCATGGAAGCCAAGCCGCCCATTCGGTATATCATGGCTATAGTCAAATCCCTGCCAATATTAAAGTCACTGGTCCTATTCTTTCTCGCCCGCCATCGGCCACCAGATTCGCCATCTTTGAGAAATCTGGAAGAAAGTCGGCAGAGGTACCTAGGCACTTACTGCCTGTGCTAAACGCTGGGCCAGGCCGCGGGCCCAAACCAGGGGAAACCCCGCGCGCACCAATAATATCCAGAAGGGGCCAAAAGAGAAGAGACGGTCATATGCAAATTCATTAAATCATGCTTCCTCGCTCACTGTAGGCTGGGTCGCGAGACTAGTCGGCATATGGGCAACCGTAAGTGCAGTTCACATGCAAAAATGACTGTTCGTTGGATAAACTCGCCTTGATCCACTCGCCCATAAGTAAACCCTTTATTAACCAGCCAACCGGTACTATTCGAGAGTCCGGTGCCGCTGGTATGCCCTGTCTAGTGCGGTGCCTACTATCGCCTTGCAAGCTTGCTCCCGACCAAGCAAGGCCACCCTGAAGGTAAGATGTATGGCAAGCAGCCAGAGGAAAATCACGATTGAAATTGGCTTTCTGCGGCCAACACTGAGAGGTCTTCCGCCGTCCCATTCAGCAACGAGTGCATCTGCAACGTGCACAACGTTACAGCGTGGGCGATACATGTTGTTTGTAGTGAACTTACATTTCTAGTTTTTGCTCGATCCTAAGGGCCGACTGTTGAACCGCTATTCTGGCGCATGCGGTTGCGAGATGGAGTAGGGAAAAGGGGCAAGTGTCAGGCATCCGGCGTTTGGATCTTGGATATACCTCCCTTTGGTTGAGCCAGTTCCTTTCCCGGTTTGTGAGCACAATAAAGCGATTCCGATCAACCAGATAGGACAATCCCCGGTAAGAGGCCGGCGTCTTTTTAGAAACGTACTAGCATATAGATCGGTACTAGATAGGGCGAAAAATGCACGGAAGGGCCAAGGCTACTCAGGCACTGTTTCGACGTTAAAAATTAAGCTTATTTTAGGTTTAGTCCCGAAAATCGGTACTCCGTCAACGCCCCAGGCCCTCAATGGCATACCTCACCTCTGGTGCGCGGTGTAAGTCACCCGTGAGGTGATGCCGATGCCCTTCTTCGGCAAGCGCCATCCGTGCCGCCCTAAACTAGCCCCGAGGCGATCGCATCTGCATACCAGCATTTTCGCTTTGGTCGCGGTGGCAAAGCTGCGTCCTTCCTGCACATGTCCTAGCCAGTGAGGCAAGAATAAATCTGAGCCTAGCTCCATACACCACGATGGCAATCTCCACACCACACTTGCGAGCTTCAGCTGCGGACTATCGCAATTGGCCTAGTGGCTAGTTTATTGAAGCTGCATATCAGGGGTACATTCTTGCCATCTGATCTCCATGCTCAGCATGGACCAAGACCAAGCTGGATCGGCTTTTCAGCTCCTGCTGGTCATCCCGGCGATGTCTCAAAGCTCTTCAAGATGCCAGGCTACCTACCAAGTATTCGGAGATTGCGCTACCCTCGGACGTGTTCCTAGCAGAAACACACGGATGTGAACATCCCTGCAGACATGATAGCAGTATAAATGTATCGCGTCTCCGTGGGTGATAGCCCACGCTACCTCAGTATTGTCAGGATCTTTCCAGAGCATCGGAACGAATTTATCAACACCGAAACTCCCCGCACCGTTCCGTGACATTATGAAGTTTATTGTCAAAGACCTCCTGGCCATGGTGGCCTCGGCGAGGCTCGCCGTGGCCACCAACTCCTGCCGGCCAACAATGTGCCCGCGCCGTAACCGGCAAATGCGACAAGGTTCCGAACCTGGCTAGCCGTATAGCCGACTGCTCAAGCTTCCTACTGGCCACCGTCACGCCTCGCACCGTGTAAGACCCATGGATTCTTTTACCGATGTTGCTCCCCAACAACTAAGTATTTTCCTCGGACGAGTCATGCAGCACCTCAACCGTCGTGGTCCTGATCACCGCGACCGTATCCACGACCACGACTACATCAACCACGACCACGACCACAGTGCTCTCCTCGGGCCTCTTCGGGCGCCGCCAGGTGACGGTCCGGCTCAGCGGCGTGCCCTCGTACGCCAGCGCCTGCCCGGACGCGGCCGCCTACAGGTCCGCGTGCGCGTGTTTCGGCGGCATCCCGGCCCGGACGACGACGTTGGCGGCCCCGTCGGCCACGACGAGCGCGACGAGCATCGTCGTCGTCACGACCACGTCCACGCAGACTCAGGTTGCCGTGGCCACCGCGACCGCCACCGTGTGCGCCGCCAACCTTGCGCCGTGCGACTTTAGCCGTCCTGACCTCTGCTGCAGCCTGACTTGCTGCGCGCCTGGTGTCGGCGGGGTCCCCTCCAGCTCTCCGGGACCTGCGTGCTGCGGTCTCTGATAGATCAGGGGAGGTTAGAGACGGTTCTGGCCGGGTGTTGAGACTTGGGCGTGTCGTATCTCCTAGAATATCCGATCATTCTGTAAATTTGCAGTTTCAGCGCCGCCGTATCGCTGAGCGGAGCTTTATTACCCTGCACAACCCACCCATTGGAACCCTGGACTTGGAAGCCAGCTCCAACCCATTTATGCAAGAAGCGGCCAGCGGAAACGAACGGTCATCAGTGACAGGCAATGCAATGGAAACCCATGAGCTGACGCAGCCGGGAATTGTGACTAGATATCTGTCTCGAGGGAGTGGGTAATATGTACTGGGAGAAGCGAAAATGTTTACACAAAGAAATTAGAGAAAGTGATATCCGCGAGCCAACTCTTTCTACCCTCCTTTTTCGTCATCCAAGGTCATTCAAACCACCGGCACTTCAACATATCCCAGCCTGAGAAGAGAACAATGTGAGAGCTGTTGCTCAAAGGGCACGAGGCTCGTTCCGGCAGTCACTTTACAGCCACTTCCAGGAGCCCTTGACGCGGCCGTTACCGAGGGGGGCCAGCTTCTTGAAGGCGGCGGGGCTCAGGTCGACGTCGCCCTTCTTGCAGCCGGCGCAGCGGTCGCGGAGGGTCACGTCGACCGACTTGCCGTTGTACGAGACGCGCATCTTCTTGCCGCAGAGCTTGTTGTTGTTGGGGTTCCCGTTGGGGGTGTGGGGGTCGAAGTCGGCCTTGTTGAGGGCCACGATGAGGTCGGTGTCCACGTTTTGCTTGCCGCAGGCGCCCAGGCCGACGTTGTACCAGGTGATGTCGCCGTTGGCGCGGGCCTCGATGAGCCCACGCGCCTCGTTGCCGGCCTCGGCCTCGGCGGGCAGGGCGGCGCCGGCGACGGCCGAGACGAGAAGGGCGATGGTGGCGACGCGGAACTGCATTTTGATGGGCGGTGGACTGATCAAAGTCGAAGCTCAAGAGATATAAGTGTGTAGGATGTTGTAGAAATGGTATTGCTGCCAGGAGTGTCTGATGAGATCTTGCTGGTGATGGTGATATTCTGATTCCATGGGCAGCGAGGAACAGAGGCGTATTTATATTCACCAAGGCATGCCGAGAATGCTATCTGCCATGTACACACTTCGCAGTTTTCCACCTCGCTCTTGCTCCGCCAATGCCCTAGTGAGGCCATATTCTCTCAGCAGGTCTCACCCTAGGGGAAGGATCAACCGTAGCACCTCGAGCGCACATGGCGTGAATCCAGCCAATAGCTTCAATATTCTGGGCGGCGTGCGTCGTTCGGTGTCCCGATGTGGCCGCATCTCGGTCCTATCGAGGCCTCAATCTCCTCTTGACCGACCAAGAAGGCCACGATTCCATAAGCACCACTGTAGCAAACAAGCGATAGCAGTGTGGTTGGACGGTCTAGGCCCTCTCACCACATCTGAGACCGCCGCCAAAGTGGAGGCACTTGATATCGGTAAGAACCGTGCTACCCCTCGGGGCGTCGGTGAGAGCCTCGTGGCCAATATCGAGGTCTGGCCAGCCCTGGAGGTCGTGCCACTCACTCGACACATGCATCAGCGGGACCGGCCGAGAAAGCGAGCTTGTTCACCTCTTTGGGACAGACTCGACGGTGCGCCGAAGCAATCGGGGCCTAGCCCTGGATATCCCACGTCCATGATGGGTGGAGCGAGGAATCCTTCTCGGCTACTTGGCGCGGGATGAGCCTCATTCGGCCAGGCACGGCCGAGGGCAGGCTTGCCTTGCAGAATGCAGTCGGTTCCTGCATAGGCAGGGGCCTAGCCGCCCACGCTTTCGGAACGAAGGAAGACGCGAACTAGGGGAAGTCAGGGGATACTGATCCAGTCAATACTGGGCCTAATGCGACCATAAGCAAGGGGTCAAACAGTGAAGACATCCATAATCTTACACTCGCCACGGTAGGTAAGCTGACGGAATTTATGGCGATGGCTTCCGCTTTTTCTAGAGAGACCTCGCTAAGTCGCTCCTCGCCATGTTCGGTGAGATCCGAAAGGAAGGAGGGCAATGGAACATCGACTTTCCCTTTCGAACACCATATCGTACCTGACATTGTCTTCGACCCTTCAAACAATCATCAATGCGCTAATATGGGCGGCCGCGGTTGATACTGTATGAGGTGGGGCCTAGGCACGTGAGTGCACGGCCCACCCCGATGGATAGACCTGGACCGCCCACGCACAATCTGCGCCCGTGGTAGCCAGAAATCGACATGCCACTTTCCTATTCCGGTATCGCCAAGCGCTTTACCTCACACAGATACATACACAAACCAAAGGTTGGTGACTGGCTGACATAATTACATCAGCACCTGGTGGCACGAGCTTGTCGACAATGATTGGTAGCTTACGGGCTTGTCAGAAAGGATGCTTCTAAATTGCTCTGGCATCAACCATCTGACCTGGCTGTGGCGCGTTGCTTCTTGACGCCATTCGGGGGGAGTCAGGACGTGAGCCTGCGTGCCTGTGTTCTATCGAGGCAATCTCTTTCGTCTCGATTTTCCCCGTGCTTCCTTTCCTGCGCCGCTGTTCCATCCCAATGCGTGGTTGGTTGTGCTGCGTTAGGCTTACATCGAATAGGAGCTTTCTGTGGTGGTCACGGGCCAGGTGACGTCTGCCCAGGCGACCAAACATGGCAGTAACGACATCACGGCCAATAGCATCAGGTTGCACAGGGCTCTTTTGTGGTTGAAATTAGAGGACAATAACTTGCAATGTAAGCCATTGTATTTTACCAGCTTTCCTTCTCAAGCTGGGATTTTCCCAAGGCCCACGCCAGATCTAGACCTCTAAACCTCCGCCAGTATCGATCGCCAGACACAGTCCCACCTTAGCACATATCGCTCCGCCGCCGTGGTGCGTGGGCTGCGTCGCTAGAATCACCTCTAGTACAATTACCTTTGGGCCTTGAGACACAGCTGAGGTCGTGAGGGGGAAAAAAAACCTCACCATGGCTAGGCTGGCATTCCTCCATCGCCGACGCGACGACGATGGCCTAACCCTGCCTACCCACAACCGGCGGACTCGCCGGCGCGCGAGCGGCCAGTCCACAAAAACCTCGCTGCTGGAAACTTATAGCTTGCGCCGCCGACCCACCTTCATGGAATGGCTCAGGATTACCCTGCTGGACCTGATCACCATGGTCGTCCTCGGCGCTCTGTCTCTTGTCGTGAGTGCCCCGCCCCACAAACACTCCCGTGTAAACCCATCTCATGGCTCCCGCACGCGCTGACACCATCATCGGGAAAATCGGCAGGTCTTCCGCCTCCAGCCACCAGCCCACCGAAGCTTCCCCATCACCTTCGCCCCCAGCGAGAGACCGGGCTTCGGGACAATCAGCCCGGGCTCGGGGGACGTCGTGTACCCGCAGTTCGCGTACCCGTACCAGGACCAGTTCATCCCCAGCCACGCCGCCACCGTCCTCGCGGCCGGCGTCCCCATCGCGGCCTTCCTGCTGGCCCAGATCCGCATCCGGTCGTTCTGGGACCTCAACAACGCCATCATGGGCCTGCTCTACAGCCTCATCACGAGCGCGCTGTTCCAGGTGACCATCAAGTGGCTCATCGGTGGCCTCCGGCCCAACTTTCTCTCCGTCTGCAACCCGGACACGTCGCTCGCCAGCAGGCCCGGGGGTAATAGGACGGGGCTCGAGGGCACCGGGTACGGCGGCATCATGTACACGTACGAGGTCTGCCGCGGAGACGGAAACGGGGACCTTAGTGGGGTCTTTAACAGCCTCGAGTCTTTCCCGTCGGGACACACTACGGCTGCATTCGCGGGCTTGGTCTACTTATACCTCTACCTAAACGCCAAGCTCAAGGTCTTCTCCAACTACCACCCTTCCATGTGGAAGCTGGCTCTTACTTATGCGCCCATATTGGGGGCTACCCTGATCGGAGGCTCATTGACTGTCGATCAGAGCCACAACTGGTCAGTCTCTACTCCCCAACGAGAACGCAATGGCATTCTCGGAATCTAAAACCGCTGCAAGCCTGCCTGGGCTCTACACTGCCCATGTTTCATCCCCATCGCGTCAAACAACCTGAAAATATAAAGGCTAACCCCAAGACACAATGATATAAAGGTATGACATCGTCGCCGGCGGCATCATTGGTACCATTTTTGCCCTGTCTAGTTACCGAACCGTATATGCCGCAATCTGGGACTGGCATATCAACCATATCCCTCTGCACCGCCGCAAAGCCTTTGAGCCTGCTGGCGACGTCGTGGGCATGAGGTGGACCATGACGCGTCGGGCGGGCTGGGGCCGAAAGCGAGGATCCAAGACGCACGGCAGGGAGAAGGTGCCAGCGCTTGGCGAGAGCACATCTTTGCCGAGGGACAACAATGCCACCAGGAGCCGGACGAATGATGCATCGTCCGCAAAGTCATCGCCGCAGGTAGGCGGATTCGTGGAGGGTAGAAGTCATGACAGACAGGATGAGGGTCGCGCAGGCGACAGCGGGAAGCCCGATCGAGGCGGATCCGGTGCGGATATGGTGTGACGAGATTTGCTTTTCTTGAGAATCTGGAATGGATTGTTTGTTGGGCGTTAGCACACGCTGCGACGGAGTTTGGGGCTAGGGCTATTCCAGGGGTGAGAGAGGGGACGCGGGGCACTCCTCTGACACATACTTTGAGGGACAGGGAACGATCAGCACCCAGTGCAATAGTATTTAAACAGCATACTCAGTGGACATTATTTCCGTTTCATCCGCATAGGGTCGGCCTGGCTATAGCCTGGAGGATGTGACAAGTCTAACGCTAACGCGCGCTTGGACATGAAGGCTTGTCACTCGTCTCTGAAACGCAGCTGCAAGTTCCGGGGCCTCCAGCCAACTGTTTCAAAGGCCTCAAGGAACTCCTCCTTGTCAGCCGTGGGCTTGGCGCCGATAAAGACCTTGAGATTTGACAGCTCGGGCACGGCCGAGGCGAGGGCGCCGACAAGATTGTTCCAGACGGCGATCCCGACTGCCGGCGTTTCCTTGGCTGCGGCGAAGGTGATGCGAGGATGTACTGGCTCGATGGGCTGCAGATAAAGACAGTCCTTGTCGTAGATGAAGTTGAATTCGATGAATCTAATCAGGTGCGTGTATCGATGCGGCAATATCTTGAGGAAGCGAGCGGCGTCGGTCGATGACTTGAACAGGAACGCAGTGGTTTCGAATAGCGTGGTGATGGATTCCGTGTACCTGAGGCAATGGTGATGCGTAGTGTCAGCTCCGTCGTTGGTGACTGGGGTGATATTCCGACCCCTATACGATGGACCGCCCAAATGCGACTTACATTCTGTTACATGTCAAAAACATGGCCCTGAGGGGCGCCGTGCCCTCCATGGCCGCCGGGCGAGGTCCCGGGCCCGGGGGCGAACCAACGGCGCGCGAGACGCAATCCATGTGATCGCCCCAGCGCAGGCGGAGCGACCAGCGCCACCACCACCAGTGGGCGGGGTCGCGCCCCCCGTTGGCGTGGACGTTTGCGTCGACCAGGATGTTGCGCTCGTTGACGTTACCCATTGTCAGCGGGCCGCGGGGGGCGCCGCCGCCGGCCTGGTCCTGCTGCGGGTGGGAGTGGTCGAGGATGCAGGGGGCGAAGCTGACGGCACCATGGTTATCCTCGGCCGAGACGTGGATGCGGCGGCTGCCGTCGGTGAAGGCGCGGAAGACCTCGATGTAGATTAGGCGCCGGACCTCGGGCGGGAGGCGGGAGAAGAAGAGGGCCGAGAGCTGCGGGTCCGCCCTGGACTCGAGCTCATCGCTGGTCTTGGCGGCGGGGACGACCTCTTTGCGCTCCGCCTTGGCTACGCAGTCCTGGCTCTGTTGAGTGGCATCCGGGGCGGCTGTAGGCGGCGGGTCGGCCGGGTCGGCGTGCGGGTCAGTATCAAAAGGGCTGGCATCTGCAATGCGAGCCTCGATCCTCCGCCTGCCGGTGCGGTCCCTGAAACTTGCTAGCTTGCGCATCGCCGCCTGTGGGAGAAGAAAGTGCCATCGTCTTCTAGGGATTGCCATGGCGAGGGTCCTGAATGATGATTGTCGCCAAGTGTCGTCGAGAGCGTGCCAGGGCCTGGCGATATGTATTTGAACCGAGTCGAGCAACTGGACGGAGCAGACGGATGGCTCAGGCGAAATGGAGAATGGAAAGCTGGTGTCGTGAATTGGAGGGGGTCGGGTTCGCTCAAGCAGTCGAGGCAGAGTTCAAGTTCGGGAAGAGGTTATGGCCCTCAAAAACGACCAACCACCTGTCGGCTGTGACAAAACCGAAGGCCACCGGGGGGGACATTGGCTGTTTTGGCCGCACATCATTGGGTCACAGTGGAGCACAGGGCACATGCAACCCGCCCCAAACTCGAACTACCGGGCCCCTGCTGTTGCGGCTGAGTCCCCTGCGACGACCCTTGCGCACCGCGCATCAGCGGAAAGTGGAGGCCACCTTCAGCTAGAAAACGAGAATCACGGCACGATGAAGGCAGCTAGTTGCAAGCGTCAGATTGCCCATGCAAGTGGCCTCTTGTCAGCCAGGGGTAGGTGGTGTCAGAGGAGACCGGCGAGGCTGTTTCCATGCACTAATGGCGGCGACTGGACGTCGGCATGCCACGCATGGTCGAGTCAAATTTCGTCGTGTCCAATCTCGGCCGACAGGCGGCCTGCGCCAAACTCGAGCTGGATACGAAGAGAGCGATTGAGTGCCAGCCCGTGGCCGCGTCGGGCGACCCTGTGGACCAAAGTGGGCCTGGTTCAACCACGACACGACAATCACGATGAACAAGATCAACAAGGTTCAAATATTTCACACTAGAGCGAAGATGTGTATTGTACAACAAGCAAAAACAAGTAGCTATGCGCTCCAACGTATCACAACCCCAAGCAAGCACATCCCCCACGTTTACGCCTTCAGACTTTCCAGTTCGGCATATTCGGGGAGGTCCCACGGTTTGCCGTCCGTGCCCAGCATCTGGAGGAGTTTGTCGATGCGGAGAAGAGAAATGATTCCGACCAACCAAAACGTCAAGGTTATCGTCCAGGCGCTCTTCTGCATGGGAACCTTGAAAATCCAGGGCGAGATGGCCTGCGCGATTTCTATCAGAGGCCGCAGCTTGGCGTCGTACGCCCTCAGCGCGCCCACGATGTCGACACCACCCTTGCCGCCACCGTTGGCAGCAGACGGACCCGCCGTGTGGCGTAGAATCTCGCCCGCGAGGACGTAGGCGCCGATCAGGGCGCCCGAGGTGCCGAAGCCCGACAGCGTCGCGGCGCTGTACCCGGCGTCGCCCAGCAGCGTGATGCGGCCCTTGGTCCAGGACCGGCCCTGCACGTTGCAGACGTCGGTGGCGTAAAAGTCGTCGGCCTCGGGCTCCCGCTCGCGCAGCGCGCGCACGAGCCGCTCGCTCTCCCAGCCGGCGCCCTCAAAGATGTCGGCGAAGGCGCGCCGCTGCGCCTCGACGTCGCGGCGCGCGATGGCGTCGGCGAGCTCGGGCGCCCGCGGGTTCTCGCCGTGCACCGTGAGGTAGGCCTGCGTGGTGCGCGGGTTGTCGACGCGCGTCATGATGGTGCGCCGCTCCGGCGCCAAGAGGCCCGTCGCCACCGGCTCGTCCGACGGCAAGCTCGCCACCGAGAAGAAGCCGGCGTAGACCCCGTACGGCCGCACCGTCGGGTCGCGCTCGCCCGGCCCGAGCCCCAGAAGCTGCCGCCTCGTGCGCGACCCCTGCCCGTCGGCCCCGACGACCAGGTCGTACTGCTCCGACGCCCCGCTCGAGAACCGCACCGTCACCGGGCTGTCCGTGTGCTCGTCCTGCTCCAGGCCGTCGACGGTGGTGCCGAAGACGAAGCGGACGTTGTCGCTCTCCCTGGCGGCGTCGTAGAGGATGCGGCAGAGGTCGCCGCGCATGATCTCGTAGTCGGACGTGAAGCCCTGCCTCCCCTTGCCGCCCGTGTCGGTGAAGCGGAAGAAGGCGCGGGTTCGGCCGCTGCCGTCGACAAACTTGAAGCCCTGCTCCTGCACTCTTGCGGCCTTGATCTTGTCCAGCAGCCCCATGCGGCGCGCGACGGTGACTCCCTGCCCGCGCAGGTCGATCTGCTGGCCCTTGGCGCGGAGCTCGGGGAAGCGTTCCACCACCGTTACGGAGTGGCCGAGGCGCCCAAGCCAGAAGGCGAGCGCGAGTCCCCCGACTCCTCCACCGATGATGAGGACTTGGAGTTGGGCCATGATGAGCGGGCAGTGAATGGCAGTCTATAATTTATATGACAGCGTCTGTCCTTGTCAGTGCCGCTTTCGCCAACAAAAAAAAGAAGCTGAAGGTTGTGTAGGTGGTGTTCGCGCAGAGAAGGTCTCCCGTGTTGAAGGGTATGCGATGAGGTATGAGTGATGGCAGTCAATGGGGCGAATATGAAACCCCTTTGAGGCGGTTCTTCTCATTTATATGTTCGGACGCCCCCCCTAGAACCCAAAAGCAACCATCATCGGTGCTCCTAGACTTGGCGATGGATCGGATCTGTCGCTAGTCTCGGCCGCTGGCTTCGGCCGAGTCGGCAATTCCCCCAGGGCTTCACAAGGCGGGCTTCCGCAGCGGAGTTCGACACGCGGCAGATCAGCCGGGGAGACCACAGGACCGCGCTGACTGCGCCGATGGGACCGGCCCGTGACTCATTACTTGATGGAGACATCAGATGCTGGAAGATGAAGAATTAGCTTCATGCTAATCCGGGGGTTGTCCTGGTTGCCCATCCGTCAACCGTGGCTTGTCGCCAGCTAGAGGAATTCGCAACTCTTAGCGTAATTGGGCTTCGTCTTCGCCCGATGACGCAGCCGCCTAACTTCAAGGTCGTCGCTTTTGGGCTCCCAGTTTGACCAGCAATACGGCGAATGCGACGAATGCACGAGGTGCTGAGATGCTGTTGGTAAGGGCTCCGCTACTAGCCCTCAAATCCTTAACCCCGAATTTCCCGAGATTATCAAGCCATAGCAGCAGATGGAGCAAATCGGAGCCAACAACCCTGAGGCTAGTTTCGGCCGAGTCCGAACCTGGTTGGCAGACCATAGCCTGCAATTCCCCATGTCACTCGATTCTCGTCATCCCATCTCCGAGGCCGATGAATCCTTGATAGCCCTCACTAGCACGTGTATAAGCCGCCCGACAGTCTCAATACCCTTACATGATTCCTTCTAGCTCCTCCGCACCAGAATCAAGTCCATCTGGCCCACCGCATACAACTCTTCAACGCAACACCCACTCGTTCTGGGGCGGCATGCCAAAGCAGGGACCCTGGGCGATGTGGTCGAGCGAGTGGCCGTACCCGACCACCTGGCCGTTGACGGCGCCAAAGGGGCAGGCGGGGCTCACGCCCGGCAGGTCCTCGCCGGAGGTGCCGATGAACATCTCGCAGGCGCGGCCGCCGGGCCCGCCGGCGCTGGGGACGCGGATGCCGAAGACCAGGCAGTTTCCCTTGGACACGCACAGGTTGCAGCAGGCGTCGAGGCCGGCGTCGCTGTAGGGGAAGTCGCCCTCGGTGACGTAGGTCCAGCCGCGGTTGAAGTTGGCCTCGAACGTGCCGGCGTTGGCGCGCACGTCGCGGCAGCCCCGGAAGGGAGAGGTCGTGGCCGTGGCCGTGGCCGTGGCCGTCACGGTGGTGGTGGTGCTGGTGACGGGCGCCGCGGCCGTGACGGTGGCCTGGGTGGCGCCGGCGCAGAAGCACGCGCTCGAGTAGGCGGCGAAGTCGGCGCAGGCCGTGGCGTAGGTCGGGACGGGCGTGTTGGTGTTGCGCTCGGCGAGGGCCTTGGCGTCGGCGCCGAGTTGAGCGGCCCGTTCGGCGAGCTTGGGGTTGCGGAGGTCTGTGTCCAGGAGGGCGCGCCGGCGGAGGACTGGCGCCACCGTGGTGGTCACGTGTGCCGTGACGGTGACGGTCGAGGCCGAGGGCGTGACGGTGACGGCAAAGTTGGTAGCGCAATCGTCGAGGCGTGTGGGGAACTGCGTGGCCCGCACAGCCCGCAGGCAGTTGTTGGCGTGACAGGTCTCGGCAGTCACCACGCTGCCCAAGGCCAGGAGGATAAGGGGAATGTAAGAAGGCATGGTTGTATGCGCGAGAACAGGCAATATCCTAATTCGAAAGGCTTTGACAGAATGTGTGAGTGGACGACGAGAGGATGAAGGGCTGATAGAGGACATTTCCCCAACCTTCTGGAGATTTTCGGACACACTTTATACTCGGATGTAGCTCAACTGCCCTTTCCTCCTTCTACTGTTCACCAACAAGGCAGCCGTAAAGACCAGCTGCCGCGGTGGCAGGCGTGCCCGCTCATGACTGGTGGGCAATACGAGAGCCGAGAGCTCTTGATTTTCGTGTGAAAGCATCTAGCCGTCAATAAAGTAGATCCCTTCCCGCAGGGAGGCTTGCTGGGCCCCCGTATTAACCTTTTTGCGACACAGCAAACTCAGGGTGGCGTTCAGCTGAAGGGATTCGTGTGCTGAACATCGACCATCGTACCAAAAAGGGGTCTGCGGGCGATGTGACCCTTGATGCCGACGGTCAGCCCTATGCATATTCCCGTAGCACGACAGCTCGTGGGATAGCTAGCCCACGGAATGGATTTACGGGGCTGGCCGGGTAACTCATCCAGAAAGCTTTGGCTCCTGGCGTTCGTGATGTAAGTCAAGTCGCACCAAACCGTCTACTGTGTACATAGTCCGCCGGTTAGTTGTACTTTCGATGGGCCATGTGTCTCGAGCCGCAGGCAGCTGGTCGCGGTCGAGCCGAGCCTTTCGCTCTTTCCTGCCTTTTTCTTTGATTGGATTTTCCGCCTGGATTTGTATTGCTCTAAAATCTGGGTGGGTTTGCTCGCCAGCCGTCCTTCCTGTCCAATGCAGCCAAGGCAATATACCCCCCTCGGCTGGCCAAGCTTCCGGCCGGGCCCGGGCAAGATTTAGCGAAGGAAGCAAGACGGTGAGCTCCGCCCCATCCCACGGGGCTCGGGCCGTCTCGCTCACGACGTCAGGCGCCGCGTCTTTTTGACAGCGCCTAGCCCCACCGCCCCACCCGTTCAGGTCCGCTGCGGCTTGGCATGGCTAGAACTGCCGCCCGCGTCGATGCTCCTACATGGCGAACCCACACGCCTGCGCTTTGGGCCTCGCGCAATCAATCTTGCGCTTCCTTCGAGCGGCTCAGAAGGCGAGGCAAGGTTGAGCATTTTGGCTTTGAGCGGGATGGGGTTGCTTATTTGCCTCGCTGGTGACAAAAAGAATGGCCTTCTTGTAGTCGATCTTTTCCTTCCCTGCTTTCTCACCTAATAATAGCCCATCGGAAAGTCTAGCTGCGCCGTAAAAACAAGCCGCCCAAAATGTTCTTCTCCAAGTTCCTCCTCTTTGCCGCCAGCGTGGCTGCCCTGCCCTCGGCCATGCCTAGTCTCGAAGCTAGGCAGTTCGCCGACACTATCGTCAAGAACGGAACCTTTGGCGAGCCTTTTGGGCTGGGGAGGGACGTGCCGATCAACCTGCTCTACCCGGCTGGTGTAAGTTCTGCGTTGCCATCGATCAATCCTCAGCCATGTCGTTGCATTAACACCCACAATTCTCTCTCAGCAAAACGGCGCCATCATGGTCGAATACCAACACAGCAAGGCCCGCGAGCTCCTGACGGTTGTGAGCCGCATACCCGTTGAGCCTTTTGATGGATTCTTTCCCCTGGAGCCCGTCGCGTACCGCATGACTGTCTCCTTCAGGAATGGCGGAGGCGGCAATTTTGATCTTTTGAAGCTCGACTACATCCTCAACCAAGATAGTACGTGTCAATCGGCCTTTCCTGGTCTTTTCCAAGCCAACGTCAACTAACTGCTTTTCCCGTCTACAGAGGTCGGAAAGCTCAACATCCGCAACGCCGTGTTCGCCAAGCGCAACACTAATGGCGGAATCAGCATCGCCACGGATGGGCCGATCGCCTTTACCAGCAACTCGCAGCAGACGATGGTTTCCATGAACCTGGGCGGCAAGGGCGCGCTCGATGGCGAGTGGGCCTTTTTCGTCCCCCTGGCTGACGCCATCGCCGGGGGCCTTACCACGGCCTAGAGAGGCAGGTCCAGCCGGGAGCTGAATACCGCAGATTTTACGCCACAAGGATGTGGGAGGATGCAGTTATTGACCTGAGGATTCTCGTGCGGATCAAGGCCAAAATAGAGCATCCTGCAACAGGACCGTATGGTTGATTCGTAGAATTCCCAGCGCAACGACTAACTAGTTCGATGCTGACGCCCGTGGGCTGAGAACGGGAAAACCAGTAGTAATACTATTTTCTTGGGCATCGCATTCGTTGCATGGATTTACAACGAGTGCATCTGACGCGGGACGAGGATATTCGCTGTTTGTGGATGTAAAGAAGTTCCATGGAAAATCCCCCGCCGGTTTAGCGGCATTTCCTTTTTCGGTCATGTCTTTTTTTGGGTATAGCGCTTCCCGATTGAGCTTTCTGATTCGAGCAATCAGTTACCTAGGTATCGGGGCAAGGAGTTAACGGTGTGGGTCCGGTCTTGGCCCAGATCGTTACACCAAGCCTGGTTTCTGACGCCCGCGGTTCCTTCTCACGTTCACCTTTCAAGCCCTTTTCCGGCAAGCTCAAGCAGCCGCATCCGACGCCACGACCTCCCCCTGCGGCTTGCAGCCCACCGGCCCATCTTTCTGCCAGCCGCACCAGCCGATCCAGAACTGCGCTATGGCAAAGGCGGTGGCGATGACTCCGACGAGCGTGGCGGCGGCAAAAGCCACGACGGTGACCCAGAACGAGTGCCGAGGCCCCTTGCGACGCTCGGCCCAGCGGCCAGCCCACGACATAGGTGTGGGGTCCTCGGCCTCCTCCATTAGCGCCTGCAGCCGCAGGCCCCAGTGCGGAAAGCGGCGGAACATCTGCGAGTAGGTCGTGAGGAGGCGCAAGGAGTCGGCGGGTTCGTGGTCGCTCAGGTCGAAGACGGCTATCAGGCGCGCGTCGGCCGTGCGCTCGTGCCGGTTGGGTGAACTAAAAATGCGTTGCCATGCTCTTCGATTAGGCGATGAGGACAGGAATGTGTGCTCGGCCCAGGTCTTATTTCCGGTGGGGATGAGGAGCCGGTAGGTTTGTAGGGTCTCGGCCATAAACTCGGTCGAATACGTCGCTTCATTTCTTGGGATTGCGGGATATTAGTGCAGGGACTGGTTTTGGTAGTGGAAAAGTATCAAAAGGGCCTAAAGTAAAAGAAAAAAAAAAAAAAAATAACTGACTCGGCTTTCATGTGGCAGGAGAAAACATTCTTTGCGCTATCGGCTTTCGTATTCCTGTTTGTAACGGACTTGCCGGCGTCATAGGTCGACTCGAGGAAGCAGGGGAGGCCGAACAGTTTGAGCACCTTGCGGTCGTCCTCATATTTCAGCACCAGGTGGTCCGGGAGGTGCGAGGTCCAGGCGACCGTAACGTCGGCGTGGCGGACCAAGGTCCTGAGTGAGAGCAGCCGCTCCTTGAACCTCCCCGACAGCATGTCACTCTGGTCTGCCGTAGGAAACTCCCGCTTGAGGAACCCGTCGAGGGTCAGGTCCTCCTTCCACACACACGGCGTCTGCTGGGGTAAGGTCTCCCCGCGGTTCACACGCGGTGAGTCTTGGACCTGGATGCCGAATGCGACTTTGCACGCTGCAGCCAGGCTTTTATTGAACAGGATCGCATACCGTGCCTTTTCTGCCGTTGGCGGGAAGAAGTGTTTGGGCTCCATCCCTTCCGGCAGGATGATTTTTTGCGGAGCCGCAGCAGTCTTACCGTCAGCATGAGCTTGACTGTTGCTACCGGACCCCTTGTTCTCATCGCCCCCACCGTCACCACTGCTGCTCCCTTCGCCCGACTTGCCGCTACTCCCAGGCTCTCCCGGCAGCTCGCCTACCGCCTTTCCAGTCATTCTGTCTTTAGTTGCTTTTTCGGTTTCCGGGGACTCGTCGACATTTTGCGGAGGGAGCTGGCTATCCACGATTCCTTGCCTGAGGGACTTCCGCGTGGTGTCAAGGTTAAGTTTCAGGAGCCTGACGTATCGTAGCAGCAGAGAAATTTCGGAGTAGTCTCTCTGTTCGTCGTCCTCGGCTACATTGACTGCACTAGCCTCGGCTGGCTCGTCACCTTCGGGCGCGTATACTCCTTTCTCGGGCGCAGCTTGTCCGGCGGCGGCCCCCTCGCGCCCGGTCTGTCCAGCCGCCTCTTGTCCAGGAGCAGATTCCGTGGCAGCCGCTCGGGCGGGCGCGGTCTCATGCCTCGGGACCTCTTTCTTTGTCTTGATCTCTTGGTAGTAGCCGTCAAAATAGGGTTGTAGGTTATGGATTCTGTTTGATCGTGCTTGTTGGTCATCGTGCTCGAATCCTCCTATCACAGCGAGGCACCTCTCATGCCATTCTGGCGGAGTCCGCGTGCTGGTTTTGTGCAGATGGCGATTGATATTTGTGGTCGCGCGCCTGAGTGGCGATTGACGTGGTGGTGGTCGCCGCACTGCTTCCTGGGAGGTTCCGCCATCGGGCCCAGGCAGGGCTGAACCTGGCACCGCCTGTTGCGTGTCCGTGTGCTCCATACTGGGTGGTGATCCCGATAGAGCCCGGCTTTTGTCGAGGAAGAAAGTCTGCGTTGCACGCTTGATATCGACAGTTAGGTACACTCATTTTACCTTCTGCTGAGTGTCACGCCGCCGCAGACCTGCGATTTCCGCCCTCACCATTTCTTCCCCCCTTTTTTGCTTTGCAGGTGGTAGGCGGCGTGCTCCAATAAAGCAACAGGAATAACCGCTGGTGGCGCTCAGAGGCGGGCTGCATCGACCACCATCCACGGGTCTGTGTCACAAACTAGGCCAATAAAGTGACGGGCGAAACCCGGGCAAATTCAAAAGGTGGGTGCTATGAGAACTCGTAGCTTCCGGATTCTTTTCATTCAACAGAGCTGGGCATCACTGCCGCCATATTCGTTGTCCAGGACACCCAAATGGCAACTCTTTCTGTATTAAGGCCGCGAGCAAGAGAACGCACCGCCCGTCCCCCTGGACCTGGGCCACCGCCAGAACCCCCCGATTTGCTGGCAGAGCAATTACGCCGGCTCGACCGACAGAAACATAAGTTCGCGGACAGGTTCGTGGGCAGGTTCGTGGGCAGGTCCGCAGCACCACGACCAAACACCACAACGACAGCAGAAGTTGCAGTGCCAGTCGCCGCCGCCCAGCGACAAGCCCCCCCAGCAAGTGTCACCCGGACGCAGGCGCAGCAGCCGGTCGAGGAAGCCGCAGCACCCGATCCCGCCCTTGCCGGGAGGAAGGCACGCACAGTGGAGATGATCATCTTGATGATCAAGAAGACCAAAACGGTCAGGGTCGATCACGTCGACCATTTCGAGAGGGACCTGGAGAGCGGGTTCGAGAGGGCAGAAGAGGCGCTCCACGATTTCGTGGGCATGAATAACTGCCCGCTGAAAAGCGGGTCGGGCAAGTTCATGGTCCAACGGGGAAAGTGTTCGGAAACGGGCAAGCGGTACGTGCGGATCTTGCACAACGGGTTCAAAAACATCGAGATGGTGGAGAAATTCCACGTCGCCTCCTGGAAGAGCAGAAAGGGGTGGGATCCGAGGCTCACGGCGTGCTACGATGCTCTGGAGGACGCGACCTTGTCGGACCACTTGCGGGGCAAGGACAAGGACAAGGCAGCAGAAGCGTCTGGGGCACAGGCTGGTGTTTCGGCCGCAAGTCCTGATGGCGAAATTGTCACCATCCGGGGACCACATCCTAAAGGCAACTTCACATTGTGCGGAGTCCGGGCGTCCATCGACGACGCCAAGCATCGACGCCAGTTTACAGTGGGCGGCGTGCTAGATGTAGGCGGAGAGGCGTTCGCACTGACGGCCTGGCATACGATTTGGGAAGGTCCAGGGTCACAGGCGAAGGAGAGCACTGTCGAGGAAGTGGTGGAACAACTGGTGGGAGAGGGCGCGGTCGCCGATGACTTCGATGCTCCAACCATCGTCGCTTCGCAGAGCAGCCGCCCGGGCTCCGGGGAGGGGCCAGGTTCCGGCAGCGGCCCTGACACAGTCCCGTTATCCAAAGGTGACCCAACCGCCCAGAAGCCGCCCCAGTATAGGGATGTGGACCCCCCCGAATGGCGCATCGGGAGAGTTGTCAGAACAGGTGAAGAATGGGCCCTCATCCGCATCGTGGATCAATCGTTTTGTCTGCCGAACTGCATCGAGCTGGAACGCAACGATCGTGCCGCTGGTATACGGCGGTATTATCTAGACGGTGTGGAGGAGCCGGTGGACAGGGAAAGACCGAAGACTGTTCACATCGCCTCCGGCATGGGTGGCGCGGTTGAGGCGAGCATTTCGGGACGCCTTTCGCCCATGCATCTCGACTCCGGGAAGCGAACCAGGGTGTGGACAGTCACATTGAGCGACGGCAAAGGTATGTCAGGTTCGAGAGGCGAAGGGGTTTCCGTAATAAGGGGATCGTCTCTAACCGTTCCCGAAAAATACACAAGCCCGACAACTTCTACTTGGAGATTCCGGCTCGTGGGTAGCAGACCCGGTTGCCGGTACGATTTACGGCCATATCATCGCCCGCGCTAGCAACTTTGCATGCGTCTTACCGCTACGCACGATCATGGACGAGATCGAAGGCTCTCGCTTGTTGCCGCCCTTCACCTCTCTGGTCAAAGTCGGTCACCACTGGAGCGGGGGATTAGGCGACAAGTATATCAAGGAAGCACTCGGAGACCCGGTCTTGGAGCATCCTGGGGACTGCACGTTGGCACGCATCATCCGCGAACGGGGTTCGCGGCCCTTGATTAGTGGCCACCCTTGGTCCAGCCTGCCACCACAGACTATCTTCTTCGCAGTTGTGCGCGACTTCGGCTCCTCGGTTCCCTCGCTCGAACAGCTAACGGCAACAGTGAAAGGTCTTTTGGCAACTGACCGGAAGATCCACCCACAAGAGGTCAAGATGCTGGCACGCGATCTTGGCCTACCATCAACGGAGGAGCCCTGGCGCTTCATGGACGGCATCAGCTACCAGGGCGACGTTGCCGATGCCTACCTCAGCATCAGGGTCGACAAGCGTAGTGAGTTCTTGGCAAACCTGGACGAGAGGGACCTCAAAAGGGTTAGGCGCGAGTTGGAGCGCATTAGAAAGACCCGGGCAAGGTTCGAGACCTACGAGGACAAGAAGACGATGCTTGCAGCGCTTAGGAAAGCCCAAAGGGAATGGAGGCGCGAGGTCGCTGTAACCCTGCCGAAACGCTATGAGCAGGTAAAGAAGTACACAACGCCGGGGCGACAAGACAGATACGCTGCACTTCTGCAAAGGCTGCAGGATCACGCGCATGTCTGGTTGCTAGCAGACCTCGCGGAAACAGATTCTTCTGGCCAGGGGGCCCCAGGTGTCCTACCCGGAGGCGGCCACGGTCCGGAACTCCTGGGGCCCGACTGCGGCTTCAAGGCTGGCGCCATGTACTTCCAGCCTCTACCCGGTCCCGACGGGGTCATTTGGGAGGGTTGCGACTCGAATCATGCCTGGTTCGGCGGCAGCAAATTCCCTAACCAGAAGATTGCCGCCCACAAGCTGCTAGAAGAGCACGAGGGTAACCCGCTAACCGAGCGTAAGGGCGATCGCCTGCGCTGGTTCCACTTCCCGACGAATAACATGGGCTGGATCGAGGTATGTCTTTGGCTAATATTAATGGGGCGTATGTTCTTGCTGGGAAACTAACTGTTAATATCTGCTTTGGCACATTTTTAGCAAGCTATGGCGAGATATTATGGCGAGGACAATGTTGTCCACGACAGGCACGTTAAGCCTCACTCCAAAATGACACAGGCCGAAAGGCTTTTCTACCGGCATGGGCAGCTCCACGGGAGTGGCGAAAAAGCTCCAATCCATGCAAAATACATGCAATCCAAATTCTTCCTAACCCCTCGGGGTAAGCTTTGGTTCTTTTTCGGGCTGTCGTTGCCTTCCCCAGTCTGTTAACAAGGTATTATTTATTGTCCGTTAGGGTCACCTGCGGCTACAGAGGCGCCCGCTCAGGACATAAAAGGGAAGAAACCGTGCCCGCCCCCGCCGAATCGCACCATCTCTGGTACTCATCAGAAGGCCATGAAAAACATGGCGCTGTTTGTAGGCACTTTCCCAGATATCCCCTGTACGAAAAGGCAGCACATTGACATAATCCAGATCCCGTACCTCCACTGGGAAACTAATGGCAAACGGGCTAAGATGGTCGACGCCATCAACCACGCATACAACATGCCCGCGGCCAAGAAGGAAAAGAGCGCCAAGAAGACGGCCGCCGACTTTGTGACCGTCATACAAACCGGCGTAAAAGTCGGCAAATCCAAGTCGTGGCAAATCAAGCACAGCAAAAACGGGGCATTCTCGGGAGAAGCCTACAACCCGACCAAGCTCGGCGAGTACCTTATGCAGCTGGCGTGGGTGGCCGAAGCCATGGATAGCGAAATGGACGAGCAGCTGCTCAAGGAGAACCTGCACATCCGGCGCACGCTGTACCAGTACTACTTTCCCACGCTCGATAATACGTCGGAGCGCGACAAGGACCAGGTCGTTTACCGCGACACGTTACGCAGCCCGAGCACCCGTGTCGTCATGGTCGACCAGCTGTGGCTCTGGGTCCTTGACGATCGTAAGTCCCATAATGGAGGAGAAAAGGACTTTTCCCAACTATAGCCTGCTGATAATAAGGCTTCCCGTACTAAACTTAGACACCATCATCACGTCGTTCCCTCGGCGATGGGGGAGAAACAAGTCGGACCCGTCGGAAGTGCACAAGTGCATTAGGGAGCGGCTAGCGAACAACCGCAGTATTAGCTCTATTTACCACTTAGCGCTAATTATTATCGACCAGTGCTCGGGCGTGTTCTTCGACTGGACCGAAACGCTGGACCAAAAGCCCGAGGTTATTAACATTTTTGGGTCTGCCATTGGATACGTCGTGGGTGCTTTCCCGTTTCTGTATTCCACGATGGATGGAGGCTGACTAACGCCCTGTTTGTAGACTGAACTGACCGCCATCGCCCACGACACCTTCTGGCGGAACACGTTGCTCCACTCGAGAAACATCCTCCCCTCGGGGCCAAGCCCGAGGTCGTCGTTAAACCAGTACCGCGAGAGCAGGAACACGAGCCAGCGGTACCTCGACATCAACACGGAGGGGACGCTGCTGCGCGAAAGTCGCAACATCGCCGAGGAGCTCAGAATCATGCACCGCGTGTTTCGCCAGCAGTTGCAGGCCGTTAAGGATTTTCGACGTTACCTGGGCCAGCTCGCCAGCGGCGAGGGGAGGTACGGCCGCGGATCCGCAGAGCAGACGGTCCAGTCGCTGGTCCGGAGCCTCGCGGACCTGGTCCGGGAGGAGACGGGCGCAAGGTTTCGAACTCAAAGTCCTCCCACACTCACCCCGGCCCCGACTAACGGCAACGGCAACGGCAACGGCGGGGCAGGCGGCAGCTCGTGGTTCAACGACACGCTGCAGGAGGCCGACATACTGGTGGAGAGCATCGAGAGCAGACAGGCTGAAATCCACGACCTTGAGGAATCGGCCCTCAGGACGTGCCAGCAGCTCGAGGGCCTGCTGACGCTCAAGCAGCAGCAAGCGAGTATTGTCAAAGCCAAGGCTGCTTTTGCCAGGGCGAGCGAGAGCGTGAAACAGAGGCGGGCTATTGTGGCCTTTACCATTGTGACCATTATTTTCGTGCGTGTTCCTGGGTCTCGTCCATTCCCACAAAACGAGTCACAAATTATACCTATTTTACTAACGTTTCCGCCATCTGTCCAACAGCTGCCCCTCGGCTTCTTTGCGTCCTTTTTCGGCATGAACAACGCGATTAGCACCGATAACGCGTGGATGTCGCTCAAGGAGCAGATCGGGTATATGTGTGAGTTCTCGCCCCCATTGCCTCTTTACTATCAAGACCATCGTCTCGGAGGCTCTCGGTCAGCCCCAATATTCAGCCATGCTGACGCCATACTCCCGAATGCCACGAAACAAAAGTCGGCCTCTCCTCGATCGTTATCATCATCGCCGTCTCCATCACCTTCAGCTCGTGGGTCCGCGCCCTGCTGACCTACGTGATCCACGTCCCCATCCTGCTCCTGGCCGAGGCCACAAAGTTCCGCCAGCTCTGGGACGACCACGTGGTGGACGAGGCCGAGCTGGAGAAGCGAAACGGCGCATTGTTGGACAGTTTGTCCAGGAAGAGGCGGGACCGGACGGAGCAGGGGAGAAGGAAGGAGGAGGAGAGGGCTGCAGCGGAGACGAGAACGGGTGCGGGTGATGCGGGTGGTGCGGGGCCGCCGAATCTTGACGGGAGCGCCGCCGCGAGCGGTGGGAATGTTGGAGGGAGGGGCGGGCGGCGTGGCTCGTCGGTGTTTGGGCTGCTTTCGTTCCGCCAGAGGAACCGGAGGAACAATAGCGTGGACGAAGGAGGAGGTGTTTAATACGGGGTTGATTCCAAGGTTAACTGGATACCTTTAACGGGTTGGAACAAGGTGTCGGTATTGGATAATGTAATTCTACCTCAGGTATATGTACCCCCGAGGCAAAAAAAATGTTAGTGTAATGACGCTTTGGCTATAGCGCTCGGATTTCGCTTGATCGGGGCTTTTATAAGCTTACTAGTAACCCTACCGTAAACATGATCCAAACTGGTGGTCACCTCGGGGCGACCTCTTGGGTGTAAAAATTGAGCGAATAATTAACGAGCAGACTGAAGCAGGTTGGCGATGTAATAATATCCACATGGTAATCAAATCACGTATTTAATGCCAGTATAGAAACAGACAAACATTGTTGCGTTGAATTTAAATCCGGCTTGGTGGTCCGGCGACGGCGTCTATCCAGGGAATGGAATGGTGGCCGGGCTCTTGTAGCCATTGGTGCCGACAGAGCGAACGCCAAAAATCACATTGTCGATGGACAGCTGAACCGTGGCTCTCCCAACCTTGCCCACAAACAGCGAGTGCGTCCACAGCGGAGCGTCCGTCGGCCTCCAGACTATCTCGTAGCCGGCCAGGTCGGGCGAGTCGGAAACGGTCCAAAACAGGGTGGTGTCGTTGCCGAGGTCCGACGCGTCAACTTTGACGTCGCGCACCGTGCCGGGCGCGTTGGCGAGGGACCACATGGCGGCGAGGTCGACCCTCGCGACGCGCGCGATGTAGTCGTAGTCGAGGAACTGCTCTAGGTCGCCGTACTGCACCCCGTTCTCGACCCTGACGTCCTGGTGCTGGTGGTCGTAGTTCTCATTGGGCTCGGTGAAGCGCACCGACGCGGCGTAGCCGGCCTCGAGGAAGGGCCGATGGTCGCCGCCGCGCAGGAACCGGTCGAGCCGGTAGATGATTGCGACGCGCATGTCGGTGAAGCGGTTGGCCGCCACCTCGGCCACGAACCGGCCCATGCTGCGCGCGGGCGAGTCGTTCTCGCCCCCGATCTGCAGCCGCGTCGCCCGCTCGGCCGCCGACTCGGTCAGCGGCGGGCCCTGGCAGAAGAGCCGGACCGTGTTGGGCTCGCGCTCGCCCCGGGACCCCGTCGAGCTGCCGACGAGGTCGACGTTGAGCACGCCCTCGACGTTGACGCTCGCGTTCCTGAACGTCCGCGCCATGAACTGCGCCCCGAGCAGCCCTTGCTCCTCGCCCGCGACGGCGGCGATGACCACGGTCGCCCGGTGCGCGCGCCGCGACATGATGCGCGCCAGCTCCAGCGCCACGGCCACGCCGGAAGCGTCGTCGTTGGCCCCGGGCGCGTCGTCGCGCCAGTTGAGCGGGTCCGAGACGCGGCTGTCGTAGTGGCCCATGGTGACGTAGTGCCGCGCCGGGTCCGACGTTCCCCTGAGCGTGGCCTGGACGTTGCTGATCAGCACGGGCTCCGGCACGCGCGTCGCCGGCTGCTGGATGTATCCGGGGACCGAGACCTCCATGCGCCCGCCGCTCTGCTCGGCGAAGCGGCGGAACTCGGAGGCGATCCAGTCGCGGGCAGCGCCGACGCCGCGCGTCGTGCTGTTCTGCTCCGACAGCGTGTGGCGCGTGCCGAAGCTGACGAGCTTGGCGATGTTGGCCTTGATGCTCTCGGCCGAGACCTCGGCCAGCGCGGCCTGCAGCTCGGCGTCGGGCATCTGGGGCTTCAGCACCGAGCCCACGGGGTTTCCGGGGCCCGGCGGTGGCCAGTTGGCATTGGCGCACGAGGTGTAGATGCCGGCGTGGGCTGCGATTGGGGGCGGGAAGCCTTCGTTGGGGCAGGTGTCGTCCCCCGGGTCGGCATCGCGGCGCTGCGGGATTGTCCCTGCGCTGGCCACGGCCAGGGCCGCCAGAAACGTGAACCTGAGCCTCATTGGGGTTTCTTTGCTGGCCTGGAGAGCTGGTAAGGATGACAACGTCGGTCCGATGTCTCGGGGCAGGGCGGGCGTACGAGCTGGAAGACCGGCCGAAGCGAGCCCTGGGCCCTTTATTCGCTCTCGGGTACCCGACTCGATCACTCCTAAATAGGTGCATTCCCCCATGGTCGGCCATTATGTGCGATCCCATGCCAATGATATCACTACCCCTCTCTTCTGTGCCCGCCTTTGGGTCGTTTTGGCAGGTAGCAGGCCTGTGTCCGAAATTGGTATCTTGGCGCGACTCGAATAAGGAACCCGGCTGAGGTTGCACTTGAACTCGGGATGTTTCTCCTCCCGAAAGTGTGGCACTTTCCCGGGCCATGTCTAGGTAGGAATTTTGTGGGAATGATGGGGTGCAAATTGACCGGAACGGCTTCCAAAGGCGCTGTAGCTAGGTGTGATGTAAGTATATAAACAATCTCTTCATCTACGAGTTAGTCTACAACGCCTCACCGCTGTCCAAACAAGTGGTGTAGGCATCTGGCGCGCAGGTACTCCTGCAGCCAGCAAATATGGCGAGCTTCATGTCCACCATCTTGGCATGCATCCTCTAATCGAGCGATGTTACGTTCGTCTCGGTACTTATTCCCAAAAGAGGGGTAATCCTTTGGCGCCTATCTACGACACTTGAGACGAAAGTATGCCGATAAGCAGGATATTTGGGAATGCAAGGGAGTTTGTATTATTCAATTAAATGCCTCCAGTACGACGCCAAAACCCAAACATGTTCATAAATCTTTATGCGCCATCCGTCCAGCTAAAGAGCTATTTTCCCCTTTTACATGTTGAACATGCCGACGGCAAAGACGGCGCCGGCCAGGAGGCCCACAGACGACCGCACAGTCCAGCCAGCCGAACCGCCCGGAGAGCCCGTGGTGGTGCCGGCCGGCTGACCCGTGCCGGTGCCGGTGCCTGTGCCGGTGGTGCGCGACGTGGTGGTGGCGGTGGTGCCCGGCTGCCCCGTGGTGCCTGTGCCGGTAGAGGAGGTTGTCGTGGAGGTGACGGTCGCGTTGGCGCCAGTCCGGGTGGCGAGGCAGGACCGGGACCTGGCCGCCTCGGCCTCAGCGGTGGAGACAAGGAAGTCTGAGCAGAGCACGGTGGCGCTGACGACATACTCGGCGTTCCTGCTCATGATGGCTAGCAGATCGGCGGCGTAGGAGCTGAACGCCTCGGGGTTGACAGTCTCCAGGCCGATGGTGGCGCAGGGGTCTGTGGAGGCGGCGGCGAACTGGGACGAGAACGCGGTCGGGGTCGGGACCTGGGCCGAGATGACCGACCACGCCGAGGAGCAGGCGGAGGTGGCCGTGAGGGGCGGGAGAGAGAGGCTGGTAGACATTGTGGAATGTTTTGGGGCTATTTGACGTAGTGGCTAAGTAGACCTCTGTATTGTATTTTCGGTGGTGGGATGAGGTGCCTGAGTGAGCAACAGTAAACCACCTCTGGATGCGGGCAGACGGCTGTCATTTAATACAAGTGTCCATCAGGACCAATGTCGCCACATCTACGACTGCCAAGGGAAGCCCAGCTGAGGCCATCCATTGCAAATTGGTCTCAGCTCATGACAAGCCAACACCGTGACGCCAACGTCTGCCCAGCTGTCAGACAAAATGGGGGGGTCCTTGGCAGCCAAGCTGGGGTTTGCTCCATTCCGACGCTTGCAGGCCGAGACATCCGTGGCTCAGCCCAGTCAAAGGAGCCGAAGGAGTCTGTTAGCCCCACGACATTCCCTTCGCTGGCTCCATTAGGCGAGTGCATGTCATCACGACCCCAGCTTGCCCAGCAGCCGCCCAGTCGCGGAGCCGCGTTCCGAATGGCGGTCAGATCGAGGGATCTGCCAACAGCGCAGCATCACCGTGCTCCGCCGAGACCTCTACGTCAACCGCCTTCCTCCGATCCTGCCTGGCACCGCCGCCAACGACCAGGCCCGGCCGCTCCTCCTGCAGGCGCGCAAAAGTGCGCTCCGCATCCCAGACCCACGGCGTTGGCGCCGCGAACAGCAGGTCCATCTCCTCGAGCGTGCGTTGGTTGCTCTCGGGGTAGAGCGCCCACACGATGGGCAGGGCGATGAAGTTGCAGGCCCCGAAAATGTGCAGTGTGTTCTCGCCAATGGCCTTGAACATGACGGGGCACAGCAGCGTCAGCCACCCGTTGCCGATGCTCCACCCGACCACGCCCCAAGCGTTCCCCTTGGCTCGCACCTGCAGCGGGAAGATCTCTGCTGGGTACAGCCACGGCACCGTCAGCCAAGTCTTTAAAAAAGCACACATGTTAGCGAGGTGTTACGGCCAATAAAAACACTTGAGCACCGCAGGACAGGGGCCGGAATGAAACTTACGGCGCCAAACACCGACGTGAAGATGAAGACGAATGACGCCGCTGCCGCTCCGTATTGGTCGGCCTTGACACTGTCGCCCCCCGCCCGCGCGTCGATGCCCAGCCGGGAAAAGGCCCCGGCAAGGAACATGGCGGCGCCTTGCCCTACCGCGCCCCAGTACAACGTCCATCGGCGACCAATGCGGTCCAGAGTGAAGACGCACACGAGCGTGGCGAACATGTAGAAGATGTTGTTCAGCCCCGAGATCCACTGTGACTTTTCCGTGTCGAACCCAGCGATGCGAAATATGGTGGGTGCGTACACCGTCACGCCAGCGATTCCCACCCATTCTTGCATGATCTGTAGCCATATGACTAGCTGGACACGCCGTCCCGTGTGAAGCTCGCCAGACCCGATACCGAAGAGCATGTGCACGTACGAGTTGCGCGTCGACTCCTGCGCCTCGAGCGCGACCACGTTCTTGATGTCGTGGTACTCGGCCTCGGCCCTCCGCGTTCCTTCCTCGTTCGTGCCGCGCAACTGCCGTAGGATGAACTTGGCCTCGTCATCGCGTTCCACCTTGGCGAGCCATCGGGGCGACTCGGGAAAGAACCAGACGATGGAAAGAAGTATGATGAGCGGTATAAGCTGGAAGGCGATGGGAAACCGCCAGCGAAACGCCGACTCGCCATTGTCGATGAATGAAAGCCCAAATTCCAGCCAGTAGGCGACCACGACACCGAAGATGTTGAGAGTAAACTCGATAGCGATAAACTGGCCGCGCGACGTATGTTCGGCCGTCTCGGTTGCCCATACCGGCACAATGGCGTTGAGAATTCCCGTGCCGATGCCATTGACAGCGCGTGCTAGGCATTACATTGCATCCGTCAAAATCTTTCACAAGAACTATTCCCATACCTCTAACCACCCCCAATGACTTGATTCGACTTACAGCAAATCATCCAGCTGGCGTTCATGGCCGAACACTGCAGGCAAGCGCCAAGAATGGCCCAGACGGACCCAAGAGCAATGGTTTTAATTCGGCCGACCTTGTCGCCCACCCACCCACCGAGAAGGCAGCCGAACAGGGTCCCCAGATAGTAGACGGAGACGATGCCACCCTGGAGCAGGCTGTCTGTAATGACTGGCTCCTTCGTTTCTGGGTCGACATAGCCAAAACCCATCAGATCGATATAATTCTTTGCATTGTTGACCCCGCCCATCATCCCTTGGTCGTAGCCAAAAAAGAAGATGGACAGGGCAGCGACCGAGTTTATGGCAAAGAGGAGCCGCCGTTTTTCTAAATGGTTAGCGACATTGAAGCCGCTGAGTCTGGTGATCGCCGGCATGTTATAGTAAAAAGCTGCACATCCGACAGTGCTGTTTATCTAGATGCTAAGCGACGTTAGTCTTGAGGACAGTGGTTATCGTATTCTTGGATTGGGTAGACAACGTACCCTATTTGATGACAGCGGTGCCGCTATTCGTGTTGACGAAGCACAGCGTCGATGCTGATGCGAAATGGCCGAGTCAGGGGTGGCTTGCTTACTAGGACCATATCCTTGGCTTCACCCTGACTTTATATAGCTCGGTAACGCTTCTCTCGCGACAGGCTTGGATGACCTGGGGTAGCAGCCAGTTTGTCAGGGCAGAGTCCTCCACAGCCCGACCATCGCCCCATTCAACCCCTCCTTTTGCAACGACAGCCCGGGGAGATATCTTTGGGCATAGGCGCCCGCGCCTAGTCGGACTCGTGTGCCGCTTCCACGAGAACCCCCAACCCCCACCGAACCAGAGTTGGGTTGCAGGCTACGGGCCGACAAGCTACTCAAGGTCGGGCGCCACGGCGATTGGTTGGTCAAGTTCGCTGGCCTACGGGGCATCCGCCCAACATCCAGGCTGGTTCTCCACCAAAGACGACCCCCAGTGCTGCAGGTTCGCAACGCCAAGCCTAGTGAGTGCCGGTAGATGCGCGCCAATGGAAGGCAATCGGTCGGCATACGGCATCGCTCCGACCGGCATTCAGGCCGATAGATCTTGGCGATTCCGAACTTGGTCTAGGTGGTGAACAGAGCCAGCTTTGGTTGCTTTGGTCAAGGATGTCTGTCGTGTGAGGAAAAATAAATAAAAAAATCATTGACGAAGGAATTGGACTGCGACATCGCTGAGTGACGTCACCAACATGGCCTGCGGAGGGGTTGGCGGCCCGATACCGGAATCATCATGCCCATGCCATTATGCCCATGCACGGCACGGTCGGGTTTTTGATGGGATTATCGCAGCAGTACTACCAGCCACTGAACTCATGGGTCAATACAGTTCCCATGCATCAAATCGCTTGCTAAAACTGTCCGCCCTGTGGATATCCGCTGCGACCACTACGCAAATCAGCCCGTGCAGGCATCTCTGCACTGCGGCTCGGCTGCCCTGGTGGTGCCCCCGCCTCCCTAGGCCGAGCCGCGGGTTTGTGGGCGTAGCGGGCGAGCCAGCTTTCCCTAGGTCTTCCCATGACACCACCCCTGGCCGACGGCGGCTGCCCGACACCGTAGTACGACAGTACGTCCCAGAGGTCGTCGCGGCTCGTGCGCGTAGACTGCGTCGCTTGCGCCTCGTACGCCTTGTCGTCTGGGCCGGTGACCGGGTGGTCGATGGCGTTGCGCAGGCCCTGCGGCGTCGCGGCCCGCCCGTCGTACATACTGCCCTTCCAGAAGAGATGGCGCGCCTCGGGGAGAGAGATGGCCATTAGGATCAGGTTCGGCTCGGCCGAGCCCCAGATGGTCAGCGGTACGATGTCGACTGCGGCAGCGGGGTTTTCTGGTCAGTAAATGACTGGGTAGACTGGGTAGACCGGGTAGACTCCGGGAATAGCCGGGCGTTGAGGGTGGTGTGGGGGTGGAACGTACAAGTCACGTCGGGGCCTGCCAGGATATGCACCTCTGTGGTCTTGAGGAAGCCTGTTGCCGAGGCGCTGCACACCAGTCCATGTCAGCAAAGGACTGGCTTCGCCAAGGATCCAAACAGACACTCACACTAGTCCCAGTAACAGACAGAACATGACTCCGGCTCTCTCGCCACGCCGAAGTGGTGTGTTCCGGAGCATGTACATCGGCACGACACACAGGACAATGTCCATGGCCCCAGAGAAGGCTTCGCCGCGCGAGGAGAGCAACTTTGGTCAGCTGAGTGCCACACCGAAATCACGGAGAGGGGGTTTGCAAAATACCCGTGTTCACCATCGCCGGTGTAATAATAGCAGTCTCGCCCCAGCAAGTCCCGCGCACGTTTGGATGCCAAGCCTTCTCCATGGGCGAGCAGCGGACCCAGAGCAGGATCCCGGCCACCATGGACACGAGGTTCATGCTGGCGAGCACGCTCCACACGATGCCGCGCAGCACGCTCTCGGTCGTCTTCCCGTCCCTGTTGGCGGCCGCGCGGGTCTCCCGGAGCGCCCTGATGCGCGCCACCTCGACGTCGCCCGTCGCCCGGTCCACGTCGCCGCCGCGGGGCCACGCGCCCAGCCTGGCGAGGAGCGTGACGCAGAACCCGCTCTTGCTCAGCGTCGTGACCACGATGGCCATGGTCGCCGCCACGTTGGCGGACAGGGTGAACTGGGACAGCTCCTCGGCCGGGAGGTCGGACGCGTGTCTCCCCTCGCCGTTGCGCAACTCGAACACGGCGGCGATGTTGAGCATTAATATTATGAACTTGGGCGGGAATCGCAACAGTAAAGTCAGCACGCATTTCCGTTTTTTTTTTTTTTTTTTGGAGCTGTCGATGGATGCCAGCCATTCAAGTTGCGAACGCACCCATGCAGTAACTGCTATCCAGTCGTCCCACCACAGTCGGGCTTGTTGGGCACTAGTCTTGGTATAGAGCCTGAGACCAACAGCGAAGCCGGACATGATGCTCAGACTATAAAACAGGAGGTTGAGCTTGGATGTGAGATCCCCGTTATCTTTCCATTTCTCCCGGTCTATACCCATCGTCGAGTTCATCGTGGAGCTGGCGCTGTGTCTTTCTGTCAGGAGGAGCCCGATTGCTGGACAAAAACCGCGTCTCGACGGCAGCGCCCGGAAGCGAGAAGGGATAAAATCGTCTTGGAAGGCATCGCGGGGCCGACTCCCCTTAATTACAGAGAGAGCCCTTCTTGTAGTCAGTCACGCTTGGGGGTCTGGTTGTTTCGTGTCATTCACTTTGGACAGCCCATCAAAAACATGCCAAGGAGTCCTTCGCGAACAAAACACTATCCCGACCGACCGAATCATCCTATCCAGGTACTGCAGGTCCGGAAGATGCAGGGAGGGCCCCGTGAAACGCTCCCGGGAGCGAAGCTTGACCTCAGGAAGCAAGCCGCCAACAAAGAGGCCTGAGCTCACAGCGCCAGGCAATCGCTCGCGGGGGTCGTTTCCCCTCATTTACTTGATGCATTATCAAACATCCAGCACCCACGAGGACCCCGCGCGGCTGCCTGTAGACGTCATCGGACGACGTCGCAAACCTCTTCGTCTCGACTCTCTCCCTCTGCTTGCCGTCACCCCCTGCGTGGCTTGGCACCTTGGTCCTCCGATTCCGCGTCCAGGCCGTCTGTGCGCGCAGCATGTCCGATCTTGAGCGACGGCGCGACGGCGAGTCGAGTGAAGGAGGAGACCCGATCCTTGTTTGCGGCCACGACGCTGCAGGAACACGGAAAATAACGATGCCGGGTGACCCTGGACAGAGCGGTAGGAGCCAAATCGCTCCGTGCCTGTCCGCCTGACCGCCCTCGCATTCTGTCTGCAAGGGAGTATTTCGAGGTGATGCTTCGCTCAGATATTTGCGCGAATTGAAAGCATCCGCCCAAGTACTCTTGTGCATGCAACTGATGGTTGTAGTTTAGGGGGAAAACACACCCAAGTACATACAGTGAGGCAGGCGGGGTTCCCTGCGATAATTATAAAAACACTTGGACGGCTTTCTTCCATTCCTCCTACACAAGTTTGCTTTTCTTGACCTCTTATGTAAACATCCTCTCGCGGTAATGCCCTCTACCAACCCGACCATCGAGATCGAGAACACCTTTTCGGACATCCCTCGTAGTGGATAGGGCTGAGCTCGCAGGGTCGCAAATCCGCGTCCTCGGCAGCAATCATCGGAAAGATGCTGGCAACAATGGCATAAAGGTCGGGCTCGGGGCGGCACGCCACATCTTCGTCTTCCTCCGTCTCCATTTCTGGCCAGGTCCAGTTTTCGGAGAAGAAGCAACCCTCGGTCATGAACTCCAGATACTCGGTGGTGAAGGCGTCGAAAAAGGCGGCCGAGATGCGCATCTGGAAATGGCGCCGCAGCGCGAAGGCCAGGAAATGCACCTGCGGGGGCGGCGCCTGTTCGAACGGCTCGTCGCCGGAGCTGGACTGGAACAGCGGGTAGCTGTTCAGCCCGACCCTGCCGAAAAGGCGGTCTTTTAGCTCGGCGATGTCGAGTGCCCGGAAGGCGTCGAGGACGGCCCCGTCAGCTTGCTGTGCGCCGCCCTGATCCTGATTGTCGCCCACGGCATCCCGGGAATGCTCAAGGTCCTGTTTCCCACCGCATTCGCCCCAGGCAGATGGCTCTTGTACCGAGACGAGCCTCAATCCGCACTGTTTTGGGTCCGCCGGTAGGGCAATTTCCTCGAGCTTGTGCACCCCAGGAATGAAGACCGTGACCCTCTTGGGCAGGCCACTCACCGCCTGGGGATCGCACCAGGTTCGATCGTTCGTCCTGCTTCCATCCTCGTTGCAGATCGCGAGCTCCAGGACGTGGAAGGCCACCGCCATGCGAATGGTTTCCACTACGCTCGGCTCCATGTCAATGGAGTTGGCCTTTCGCTTGGGGACCATCCAGTCAACGAGCGGTCCATACAGAGACTCCTGCTCTTCGAACCCCGCTGGGAAGTTGTAGGCGTCAACCTGTTGCAGGAACGGTGCCAGTCTCGTGAGGACCGTGTGGGAATACGCTTCGTCGCCTTGCCACTGTTTGCTAATGTACCCCTTCAAACCATCGGGCAGGTCGTCTCGAGCCTTGAGGGGTATGCCGGCGGAGCTGTCCGTGAGCAAACGAAGGTGCGGTGGGGTCAAGACGGCGCCGGCGAGGAGCAGGCGGTAGATGGCGCGGGAGAAGGGGCCCCGGTAGTTCCTCTCCCACTCGTCGTCCGTTGCGGGGAGATTCTTAGGCTCCGTGCCCGACCTCCCGTCTTGCCTGCGGTTGAGCCACATCCTTGGCAGGTAGGAGCCCTTCCTGTAGATCTCCTCCAGGCATTTGACCAGATGCTGGAACTGGACCACGGTCCCCAGCTCGGCCGCCGTCGGCCTGTTCTGCGCCCCGCAGAGCGTTTCGGGGTCGATTGTTGGCGGCATCAGGTTCCGAACCAAGGCTGTCTTGACCATCTCGGTTGCGCGCACCTTTGGGGGCCAACTCCGTTAGCCATGCGGAATCTGTCTACGCATAGAAACTGCTAGGCAAAAATCTCACCGCTTCCAGGGCCTCCTTGAAACCCGCAATGGCGCGCTGGCCAACGGACCAGATGATTATGCTTGATTGGGCTTTCCACACTTCATGGACATATCTGCAGGTCAAGATCAGGTTGCGCAAATCGTCGAGCTTTTCCAAAAGTGACAGAATTTCGACAACCAGCTCCACAGGCGTCGAGGGGCTGAAGATGCTGTATTTTTGAGGGGCTTCCCCGGCAAGAAGGCCGGAACTTGTAGGTGCAGACATGACGCCGGTCACGTAAATCTCGGCGTTTGGGCCTTTTTGTTCAATATGCGGAGTTCGTGGGTAGCACGAGGCCGTGGTAGAGAGGATAAAAATGATAAGACTGAAAGGAATGGATTTTAACCAGCTGGTGTAAATTTTGATGTCACATAATCACCGATAAACCCTCTTGCGAGCTATTTGACACCAGCGGAGGTAGGTATTTTGGTCTGATCAGGCAGCAACCGGCGGTGTGCCAGCAGCCACACATCACCCACGGCCCAACACAGCCAAGCGGACCATTGGTCAAATTAGCGTTGGCTGCTGGGTTCAGCCGCACACAGCTTGGTGTGGGTCCGGGCTGTGAGGTTGAACCAACGACGAAACGAAATCGGCAGTAAATCGGAGTGGGATAACGAATCCAAGACGGAGTTTGCAGGGGCAAACAGTTGACAAGGTAAAATTGAGCAGGTTATTAATGCCTTTCTTTCAAACTACGCCCGTTCTACGTGCCGAGTTGGGCATTCCGCTTTGAACACCCAGGCTTCCGGGCAGACGTTTCACCTTGTCGTTATATACGGTTTAGTTGATCCTGCCAACCAAATTCTACGGACCTTCTGGGGGCATTTCGTCCACTGAAATCTATTTCACTCAGTCATTCAAAATCCCTTTGTAAGCTGGCCAGCGTTCTTATTCGTTCGCAACTAAACGAGTGTTAGGAGGCCAGGTCCCCAACAAACAGGCCTGCCCCCCAGGGTCTGGAATCTGGATACATGGTGTTTCTGTGTTTTGGTCTGTCCACCATACCCGCCTCCGCTCCTCTCCTCGTCCTCTCACCCACGGTCGGAGAGACGGCCGCTACAGGTCCGTCACAACACAAGGGGTAGTGGCTCCACCTCTGCCTAGTTGCGGCCGCAGCAGGAGTTCAGGGCAGTGTTGTGGCCGCAGGCGTCGCTGTTGCTGGGCTGGCAGGCCAGGCCGGCAGCGGGGCAGTACTGAGCCACTCCCAGAGACGTGGGGCCGATGCAGACAAACAGGGTGTTGTACCTGTGGGATCCGTCGATAGGGAGCCCATCAGCACGGAGAGCGTCGTCTACGCGCTTCTCCCAATTCTGGTAGTCTGAAGATAATGACAAAGACAATGTCAGTTATAAGATAATCACGGTCGGTCAATCTCTCCTGAATACGGGCTCATAAAAGCTTACTCTGCCCCGATCCAGAGAGCAGCTGGCCGCCGCAGTAGGAGCGGCGAAGGAAGCAGGTGTCTGGCATCTGGGCCGTGACCTGCCCGGCGAGGGCGGCGGCGGCAGCGATAGCGGCGAACTTGACCATCTTGGATGATTTTGCTGAGTTTTTCTGTGCAGGCAGAGTGATTCAAGGGCTGATTGGTGCAGTTCTGGGCTGTTGCTGTGAGGAGGTGCTGGGATGAAGACGAGGACTTTCTTTTTGTTTGAGGAGAGGAGCAGCTGGCATTTTATACACAAGGTCCTTGTCTACTCCCACCCTCGCTTGCCACCATCGCATTTTATCACCAGCCTGTCATGGCATCCCCCTCTGCCCCGACTGGCAAACCACGACCGCCGAGCCACTCCGCCTTGCGAGGCGAGGAAGGTCTTCTGATGCGGCTGCCTGTGGCTCCGGGCCGCCGAGCCGATATCCCACTGCCTGACGAGGGTGAAGATCCCTGAAGTACACACCCTTCTCCCGCTCCGTTCATACTGATATTTTGTGGCAGTGGTATAAGGTGTCTGGCAGGGGCACAGGATACTGGAATCCGATGACTTCCATGCATCCCGTGCTTTCCAATGTTTGGTAGCGAGGGTCAATAGTTCATACCAAGATGCTGGGTCAAGTGCTAGGAGCCTTGGATGTAATCACATCCGGCCATCATGGAGGTAAGCCTCAGCAATTACCTGATATCTTGCTAGGTTACTGTCATCTAGGTCATCGAGAACGCCCTAGGAGGACCTTGCAGCAGCCGTCTCCCATAGGGCCGCCCCCCGTATCCTCACCAAAAATGGGCAACAATACGAGCTGCCAAGATCGATGATGGTGTCAAGCTTTGTACGTCAGCCTGCTGATCTACAGGTTTCCCATATTCAAGGCCTGCAAGCGAGAACCATTGCAGCCGAGAGGGACACTAGATCCGGGTGGTCGGGATTGTGATTTTCGACGAAAACACATGGGTGCTCGGTGTGACGTAAAGTGCAGGTATGCAGTGGCGAAGGGCATTATTTTTAAGTAGCAGGGAAACTACATGTGGCCTTCCTCACACTGCTTGATAGAGCCTAGGATTCCGCGTCTAACTTCCGGGGCAGGATGGTCGGGCGGATGCTCGGAATGTTTCCGCTTTCGGCTGGATACATCTGCGGTGTAACGTCGCGTAATCCGTTGGGCGAGATGGTTATGGAATGGCCTTCTGACTGGCTGGTCTGGTCAAGAGGCTGAGTGTATCCCACCCACCCGTTTGTCGGTCTGCTTGACATAGCACGGCCAAATTTTATTCCACGTGGGGTAGTGCTGAGGGAATGGATCCTTCCCTCCCTCCCCGTTTGACGGCTGCTACATCCGCGCGCACATGAGCCATAGATGATGTTGCTATCCGGGTGGCTCCCAGCACCTGTTGGTACCCGTCTCGATATTAAACGACAGCGGTTGGGGCCGCTGTTGCATGCATGAAGCCAGGCAAAAAGAAGCAAAGATCCAAATAGAGTTAATGTAACGAGATTTCCGGGTAGTGAAACGTCTTTTTCCCTTTGCGTGGCTCAGGTTTGCCAATTCTTTTACGTTATCATTGTGTGTGATGATTGGGGTGTCTGCACACAGCGGTCACCGGGCGAAAATTGGGAACATACCAGGCCAGGCCAAGACGAGAACAAATCCTGGCCACCCGAGCCACTCATTGCTTGGGATCGAGTTTAGTCCTGGCACAGCTCGGTATCACAGCGTCAGCCACGCCGGAAACCGGTCAAGACAGACTTATCACGCCCACAAAAGGGACTTTGCTGACGCTAGACCAGCTAAATATTTTTCTCGCGGTACTCGGGCCGGCTCATTGGATTTTATGCACCTTTTCAGATTATCGGTGTGATATGGCTATTCAGGAGGGGGCGTGCTATGGTCTTTTCGCTCCCCTTTTCGTTCCTGTTGGCTTAACACCACAGTGCAGGTGGTGGCTTGGAAGGATGAAAAGAAGCAGCACCTGCATCTTCCAATACGTTTCAAGATTTCGTGGCTTGCAGTAGCCTAAGCCACGCAGGAACCATACAGTAGTCGGCCAGCGGAATTCCGGGCCGGGGAAGGTAGCCTGCTAGCATCACAATGCTTTTTCGATGGGAACGCGAGGGATGTCATCGACGAGAGCGATGTCATTCTTGTGACCAAGTCGGAGCTCATCTATACAATCGGATCACAACGGTCCCCGACCTCGGTCCTGCACTATGGCGTATCATCCGGAATCTCCTGGGTCTCGTGGCCGAGGTTGCTCCGTCTCTTGGAAGGGGACATGCGGACAAATTTGAGGTCGCTTCCAGGCCGGAGGGTCACTTTCCTCCGATCAGGATCCTGAACGACGCCGGCGCTGACCTTCTCACTGAGCGTGTGGTCCAAAGGATCCGAGACGGAGGCCTCGCGACATTCACTCCCGTCGCAGGTTGGCAGCGGGATATCAGGGAGGCAGCGCTCCGATATATGGCACAGCTTAACTTTGCAGCTGGTGACTTCGCTGTTATTCAAGCCTCACTCGCAACCGTGGAGCTACTACGGCCCTTATTTCTCCTGCGAGGCTTGATCGCCCACCGTGGCGGGTCGAATACGGCCGCGCTGACGGCAAGCGAAGTCCCCCTGCAGGGCTGGCGGTCCTCTTTCGCGCCAAAGACTTGCCTAGTCCGCGGTCCGAATCCAGCTAACCCGATGTCGTGATTATTCCAACTTGCCTGTGGTACTGCTACAGTGGGCTACGTGACGACGAGGCTTCAACCCTCATTGAGCGCCTGCTCCCCCCAATTGATGGCGGGAGGGAATATCTTACCTGGGTGCAGTCGGCGGGCGGAGCGAGCAGAGCGCCGCCAACACCGCCCTGAACTTGCAGCGCCTCAAACTCGCCATAAACTATTACACTTCGCGCTCTCGCCGGAAGCAGCGTCACTCATCTTCTAAACGCCTTGCGCTGGCCGCCCAGCTTCCCTCTTTTCGTGACGGCCGACTTTTCCCGCACCGTCGACTACTTAGGCACCGACGCGGTGTCACTAAACGCTTACCAGCGTCCGGTCCAGTGGATTGCTACGGCGCTCACGCGGTATTCCGCCGGTACGGCAGCCGTCGTCGTCGTCGTTGTGGTGCTGAGCCCCCACGAGGCCAACGCCCTGATGCTATTCTTCGAGGCCGGCGGCACCGCCGCCACGCTGCAACTCTTTGCGCCACGAAAATCCCTGGCCACGCGTTCGGTCCGAGATCTCTTTTTATGCGCGACGCCGGCGCTGCCGACTGGATAACAAGCGCCACATCGCGCGCTGGTCTGCTGTTCCCTTCTTCCTTTGTCTCTTTGCACGCATTCGCTACCCTTCCGTCGATATCTCAAGTACCGATGTGGGGCTTATTCTTGGCGGTAACGTTCTCCTGCCCTTTGCACTCTCCGGGCGCTCGCGGGCACGATAGGTGTTAGCAACGATGACGTTCGATGCGATAGGTGTTAGCAACGATGGCGTTCGATGGAGTTCGATGGCGAAACGGGTGATTACCTAGGTATCCGTCAAATAGTATTTCCACCAAATAATCCACGAAAAGTATACGCAAAGCGTCACATGGAGCCCCTTTGCCACCCTTTACTCAATGGTGATCATGTCACAGATACAGTCTCTCCCCCAAGAGTTACCTCCGGCGGGTACCAGGTGCCTGTCCCCTTGTGTGTCATTGAACGGGACGCAACGGCACCCAAGGGCACGGTCCACAAATGTCTAAAGGGGCTGTGATGGAGGCGAACGCGCCAGGGATCAGAGGGCTTATCGACTAATACACTGTTTGAGGCAGCATGGCAAGCTCAAGCCAATGGGAAAGGGTGCTTTGCTGACGTTGCTTGCATGACCCACATGCTGACGTTGACTGCATTCTCGCTCACGATCCACGCAGTCGCTCCCCTGAGCCGGAATGCCAAGCCGGAGACGCGATTATACACCCTTCATTGGCTAATTTTGAGAAAACGCACTACTTAACCGTAGGTTTCTTTCAAACTATCACTCTCCAAAGTAGTATAAATCCCAGGGTGTATTTGAACGATCCTGTTGTTTCTCTTTTGTCCTGCCTCCTACAAGCCACCTTGGTATCTACAACCAAGACCTATCCTCTCACAGCATCCACCAACCACACCTCACGACGCGCCCAGCATACAGGATGGCAACACTATGTGACAAGATTCGGATGGTTTTCCCACCCAAGCCCGTCCTCACGGAATCCAATCTGCCAGACCAGGAGGGAAAGGTAAAGGAGACCCAGACGTTGGCAGAGCGACTTGCAAGATGTCAAACTGACCAATCTGTGGGGCAGGTTTTCATCGTCACTGGGAGCTCAGGAGGTATTGGCAAGGCAGTTGCGGCCATGCTGTATGGCAAAAACTCAGTGGTGTACATGGCCGCCCGGTCCAAGGCCAAATGCGAGGCCGCCATCGACGAGATCCGTCGCAAGTACCCGAGTTCCACCGGACGCCTCGAGTTCTTGCATCTGGACCTTGCAGACCTGTCCACCATTAAGGCCTCGGCGGAGACATTTCTTGCCAGAGAGTCCCGCCTCGACGTCCTGTGGAACAACGCGGGCGTCATGGCGTCGCCAGCGGGATCCAAGACCGTGCAGGGGTATGACTTGCAGCTGGGGACCAACAACCTGGGGCCGTTCCTCTTCACCAAACTGCTATACCCGCTGCTCGTATCCACGGTGGCGGCGGCGGTGGCCGGTAGTGAGCATGCCAGCAGCACTCGCGTGGTCTGGGTCTCGTCCAACGGCGCGCAGTCGGCGCCTACCCCACCTGTGGATTTCGGCAACATTGATTACAGCATCCGTGACGAGACACCCTTCAACAAGTACTTTAGGAGCAAAGCGGGGAATATTTTCCACGCCCGGGAGCTGGCGAGGCGAAGCAAGGAAGCCAGTGATGGGGTCATCAGCGTGGTGCGTGCCCAAGATGCAGAGGGTGACCACATCCTGGCCGTGCTGTGTTCTTTGGGAGACTGACAGTCGTGCCACAACCAGGTCATGGAGCCCGGGCTGATAAAGCCCGACATTGGCCGAAACGTATCGACAGCCATACACGTCATTTCTGTATGTTTAAATCAACCGCTTGGCCCGTCCGTACAATACTCGGAACTGACATCCCGCGCTCCCACAGGCACCATTTCAGGGGTCAGTCGAGGATGGTGCTAGCACGGAGCTCTTTGCAGGGCTGCATGAGAGCATCACGGAGGAGCATAATGGCGCATGGGGTACGTCCGTCGCTGGAGGATGGAGTTTTGAGCCCGAGCTGAGTGCAGGAAACATGCTAATATATAAATAGTCGCTTCGTACGGCCGCATCAACACCGACAACTTGCGGCCGGATCTGCTGGATGATGACAGTGCCAAGCGATTTTGGGAATGGTGCGAAGAGCAAGTCAAGCCATACGTGTGATATTTACATGGAGGGATGCTCGGGATGTGGTAGACAAGATACCGAGATCTTGTCCGGCAAATGAGGTTTTGATGGTTTTTTGTTAGGGCATCCAAAGATCAGGAAGCAACCCACAGACAGTCAACGGCCTCGAATGGCCGCACTTATAGAATCTCTTCTCCGCGAATCCCACGCCACCACTCGCTATTCCTGCACATCTCCCCGCGGGGGCCGCCGGTCAGGGATGCGTACTTCTCGAGGAACCACGGCGCGGCCTCCCAGCTACGACCATCCCAGGGGCTGCCCTGCCCGCGGCCGTGGAGAGACGACGCGCCGCCGGCGGCCGTGCCGCCCCAGCAGATGAGCCCGTCGTTGAGGACGTCCAGGCACAGGTCCTCCTCGTCGAAAGCAGGAGGGGTCCCGGCGATGGCGCGCAAGGCCAGCTCGCGGAACTCGGGCCACGGCACGAGGTCGAAGCAGGGGTGGTGCGGCACGGCGAGCTGCGCGGGCGTGGGCCGCAGGTCGAGGGACAGGTGCGCTGGGAGGCCGGCCGGGTCGGCGCCGTAGAGCGGGGAGATACTCTCGTCGTCGAGCAGGAGGGACCCGTCGACGGAAAGCTGCGCGGCGTTGGCCCTCATGGCGGAGGGGGCGGTGATCCTGGTCATGGAGATGTTTACCGAGAGGCTGAGGGCCGGACAGGGGATTCGCGGTTCAACGGAAATGGAGGCGACGGAGGAGGCCGAGGGAGAGGCTGGATCAGGGCAGTGGGTGATGGTGTAGGTTGGTAAGAGAACGTCGGGCACAGAGAAGGTAGAAAGCAGCTTGAGCCCCGACCAGTAGGCGCGACGGAAATCAACGTCAGATCCGACCGTTATCCTCAGCAGCTCGAGCCAGGGCCTGAAGGGCATCGTCCGGGCCATGTCAAACAGGATTGGGTCCATGGCGCAGCCCATGCTGATGAGGCCGAACTTGATCACGTCGCGAGCGCCAAACTTTTCGCGCTCGAGAATGATGCCGCAGGTTTCGATCTCGCGCGGCGTGCACTGGCGCAGAAACGCCAGGAACTCGAGCACGGTCGCGTTGATATCTGGCCATCTAACTTGGTCGACGGTGGACGAAACGAGAGAGGAGGACTGCTGTTTTCCTGAATCGACCTCGTTCACCCGTGGGTCACCTGGCCATGCTGGCTGGGCGTCCAGGGGAGACGTTTGCAAGGCCCCCCGATCAACATCTTCGGCCAAATCGTTTGGCAGCGTTAGTGCGGCAGTAACGAGCCGCTCTAGTCGCTGAACCCTTGCTTTCTGCTTCGCGCCTGGAAATGCAAGCCGGTGGAATGATCAGCGGACTGCAGCGATGTTTGCACTCTCCACATGCGCATACTGATGTTGGTGCAACTTCAAAGGGTTGGGGCCTACGGTAGTTTCGCTGAGCAACCGCGTTTTGACGGCGACGGCGCTCAGAGTTCCCTGAAGCCCCTGACTCGTGTGACATGGCGGTTGCTTCTGTGCTTCTTCCCGCCCGTCGCGGTTAGTGCTTGGTCTCAATGTCGACCCGCCACTTCAATCGGGGAAGGGTCCATTGCAGGACTTAACCGGCGTTTCCTTCGCCCTTTGGTAAACGCATGCTGACAGCCAAGACGACAGTCGACCTCGTGAGCGGAATTCGGTCTTTGCGGGAGTCCCCAACTCCTGTAGCTAACAGACTGCAGCTGCCGTTCTAAGGGACAAACCTAGCAGCGACTGGACTCTATCAACAGTCATTCGGCCATAACTCAGCATCCCAAATCATCAGCGTGTGTGGTTTAAGGGTAAAATCCATCGTTGCCATCGATGGGCTCCCGGTTCGAGTCCGGGCACACGCAAAACAAGTCTTGAATGAGACCGAACACCTCTTTTGCTTCCATAGTGTTTCGTTTTTTCGTCCAACTTCGGAACGATTTTATCATTCCATTTTTGCCACACCGTTCGTTCCCCAGCCTCCCCGGCTATAATCCACAATTTCTGCATGTGCTTCCACACAAAAAGGACCTCCCCTTGGTGTAGTTGGTTTATCACGTTCGACTGTAATTGTTAAATTGTTATCGAAAGGTCCCTAGTTCGATTCTGGGAGGGGAGACATTACTTTTGGTAGTGTCGCTGTCTTTTTATCTAGTGAAAGCTCGCAAACGTGTATTTTCTTTCGTTTACGCGAGTTTAATATCCCTGGCATTTCCTCGCCGATAGGTGGTGTTGGTTAGGGATTTATTTCCCTCGCGATCCGCTTTCCAACTTCGCTCGGACGTTTATCTTGCGCTCTACCCACTGGCTGCTATTATTAGGTCCCCCTTTTGTGCCATGTCCCCGCCGTCGTATCGCTGGCCGCGGGCCGCGAATTCATATCCCTCCGTGGCCCAGCGGACTTAAACTCCCTATCCTGGCATTTGAGACTGATGGGAGCCACGAGGTGTATATACACAGCCCAGCGAATGTCCTGGTTATCAACCTCGTCGTTAATGTAATAACACTCAAACCCCTTCTTCCATCCACCCATAAAGCCAGCGTCAGGATGCCCATCCACCTCCGCCCCGCCACCGCGGCCGACGTGCCGGCCATCGCCCGCATCGGCACCGCGGCCTTCGACCCGTCGACCGACGCCCTGACGGCCGCGCTATGGCCCGAGCGCCTGCGGCGAGGGTCGGGCCCCCACCCCCAGGAGGCATGGCGCGCGGCGCGCAAGGCAGCCCGCCTAAAGGACGAGGGCTCCATCATCATGGTCGCCGTCGAGCGGCAGCAGGCACCGGACGACGAGGCCGAGACGGTGGTCGGGTTCGCCTGGTGGACACGCCCCGGTGACGCGCCGGCTGAACCTCCCTCCGATGAGGCCATGGGCGAGACGTACCCGCCCGAGATGGACCGCGACGCCATGGCGGCCATGGGCGAGACGCTCGAGGCCGGCGTGAAGGCCATCTTTGGGGAGGGTGTGGCGCGGCACTGGTACGGTATGTTTTTTGAGCCGCCATAAAAGCCTTCCACTTCATGATCCAAGATTGTTATTGTACTTCCCGTCCTGCCGCTAATGTCCTATTCCCACACAGAGCTCGAGGTGCTTGCGGTGGATCCCAATCAACAGGGCAAGGGGATCGGCAGGCAGCTCACCGAGCGGGGGCTCGAACTGGCAGTCCGGGAACAGAAGGACGTCTTTCTTTTGTCGTCGTCTGCGGGGGACGCGCTGTACAGCAAGGTCGGGTTCAAGCCCGTTGGGGACTTTACAATGTTTGGCGCCACCCTCCATTTCATGATCTACAAGAACAACCCGGACTCTGTGATCGGCACCTATACTCAACCCACTAGTTAAGGGTGTGGCATTTTAATGCGAGGGGCTCACACTTGCGTCGGGCAAGACAAGGCGGACGACTCTCCAGAAACTTCACTCCATAACAAGCAGATGGCACACGAGTATGTGTTGAATCCTTAGAATTTTATATAATCAATCATGTACAATGTGTAGGTTGCACTAGGGGGTATCTCTGTTCTAGCTTGCCACTACCGGGCATATTATTGTAGTTGATACAATCAATTCATGAAAGCGCAACATGATGCAGCCTACCTGGCCGCCGATGCGCTGCTTTCGCCATCTGTCTCGACCCTCTCGCCCAGGGGTCTCCTCGAGAAGACGTTCCTTTCCCAGCCGTCAATCTCGTCCACCTGCACCTCCCTGATGAGCTCGTACTTGCCAATCTTGGGCAGGATGACGGCCCAGAACAGCCAGTAAAAGGCGCCGGCGATCAGGATGATGATGCCGACGACGCAGTGGAGCCAGTAGGGCAGCTCCTTGTACACGTTGCCGCCGTTCTCGGGCGGCACGAAGGGGGCCAGGACCAAAAAGACGTTGCTGAGCAGGAAGAAGACCACGACGGGCAGGGAGGCGCTGTAGGGCGGGGCCCAGTCCCACTTGGCGCGGTTGAGGTACAGGTAGGCCAGGCCGGCCGAGACGAAGACGTTGATGACGGAGAGCGGGTACGTGATGAGGTTGGCGATGAAGTTGTAGGCGTCGCCCGGGGGCGGGGCCAGCATGGTGACGACGCAGATGAGCCAGTGCCAAAAGAGGCCCGCCAGGGGCGCGTTGAAGGGCCGGTTACTGGCCCAGAAGCGCGACAGGGGCAGGATGCCCTCGCGGCCCAGCTCCTGCACCAGGCGGCCCTGGGAGAAGATGACGCTGAGGACGTTGCCAAAGGCCGAGAGCGCCACGAAGACGGACAGCACGCGCTCGGCGGGCCCGCCCATGACGTTGCGGAACAGCGAGGCCGCCACGAGCCGGCCGCCCTCGAGGATCTCCTGCTTGGGCACGGCCGCGAAGTAGGCGACGTTGATGAGCATGTAGATGATGGAGATGGAGACGATGGCGGCGGGCGCGGCGATCTTGAGGGTGCGGACCGGGTTCCGGGTCTCGCTCAGGGCGTAGTTGGCGTTGGAGTAGCCGATGTAGGACCAGATGACGTTGTAGAGCGCCGTGACGACGCCGTAGGCGCTGCTTGTCGTGCCCTCAAACGCGTTCTCGAAGTTGCGCGGCTTCTTGTCCTCGGGAAGCTTAAGGTGGCCGGCCAGGGCGACCCAGCCGCTGACGATGATTATGAACATGATGGCCAGCTTGATGAAGCCCAGCAGGTTCTGCAGGCGCATGCCCCACTTGAGGGCCAGGCCGTGGATGAGGAAGGCGGCCGTGATGCAGACGAGCCCGACGCCGCGCTGGTTCCAGCGGCCGACCTCGACGTTGGCGGCGTGCAGGATGTACTCGCCAAACACTATCGAGTTGCCGCTGGCCCAGCCGAGGAGCATGACGTAGCCGGCGTACATGGCCGTGACCAGGAAGCGCGGGCGCCGGAACACGTACTCGAGGTAGTTCTTCTCGCCGCCGTTCTTGGGGATGGCCGTGCCCCACTCGATGTAGACGGCCGTGCCGGCGAGCGCGATGATCATGCCGGCGACCCAGATGAAGAGCGAGAGCCCCACGCTGCCCGTGGCCACGAGGATGCTGCCGGGCGTGGCGAAGATGCCGGTGCCGACGATGCGGTTGAAGATGAGGAAGATGGCCGTCAGGATGCCGATCTGCCTCTTTTGCTCACGCGCCTGCTCGAGGTGGCCTGTTAAAAGGGGGGGTGTGGTTAGCTGGAAGTCCCTGGCGAGGGAGGCTAGTATCACATCACTAGAAAGCGGCATAACCAACTTACCAACGCCAACATCTGCCTCCCCGCCAGTCACCGCGGGCTTGCCATCCTTCTTAACGTCGGACAAGCTCCCGTCCGCATGCGAGTTGTCGTTGAACCTGGTCATCGTGCCGGTGAAGATTTAAGAGCTGGTGGAATGTGGGTAGTCCTATCTTCCCAGGAATGACAACCACGCGTGGAAGTCAGGGACCTTGGGTAAGATTTCCTGAAGTACGGCGAACCGGATGCCGCGTTGGAGTGACGGGAAAGTGACGGCGGGCGTCGAGGTAGTTATAAGGCGCAGTAGAGCAGCGGCAAGGATCCCACAAGGAAAGCTTCTGAGGGTCTTCCAGATCCACGCGTGGCTCAGTTGCAGACAGACACGGCCAGCCCAGACCCACCGGAACCCAAAAATCACGTCTTGGGCAGGATGTTCACGCCATGGAAGTCTGTGGGACGGTGGCCAATTCTCGGGCGTAACGGCAGCACATCCATCATGACGGGATAGGCGGATGTACCTACCTTACCAGGTAGGCACTTCTGCACCTCAACGCATCCACAGCCAGAAAAAAGGGGGTGTCGGTTTCCGGCAGGGTGGATGCCACCGATGCATTGTTTGGAGCCTCGTCCCAACGGAGAAAAGCTTGATGATGTAAATGGGGCCGTCGCTCCTCGAGCCGCGCAAAAGCCAGGGCAAGAGCAATCGAGGCCTTCCAGCCAGGCCCCATCTCGAGTGGAATGCCCAATCTTAGCGCGCACGGAGCAAGGCGAGGCCGTCTCCCGCGGTTGGCTAGCTGCGGAGCTGGTGGAAAATCTTTGTCAAGAATTCCCACTTTTGCCGATGACGCGATCAGGCCCGGCCATCACGACTGCCGCCTTTTTTTTTTTTTTCCGACTCTGCGGTATCCTTCTGTGGTGATCAGCCATTGCATCAGACAGCCCCCATAGCTCCCCTGGATTGTTGCACCATGCCCCCCACGCAAACTGAACCTCCAAAAAGGCAGCCTGCTACCACTCATTTCAGTCACATAGTGTAGCGGCTCTTGGCTTGGGGTGACCCTCGCGCCTTCACCGACGCACCCCAGGTGCCTTATTCGGCCTTCCTGCCATATATGGACGCCTACAAATCCTGGGCAATGCTTCGCGTGTTATAGCCGTGGCGCGACGGCCAACAACAGTGGCCAGATCGGGCAGCACGCCACACGTAGTAGACCCCTTGGCGACGAGCACATCATGAATATTGGTTTTCGCAAGCGCGTGTCTCTTACGCGACGTGCGCTGACGTGCTGGCGCCGAGCAGTCTAGCTTTGCTTTGGTTAAGCTATACGCAATGCTTGCATCAGGGGGGTTCACCAATACTGAATACTGACCCATTGAGCCGTTGTATCCAGCCAGGAACCAACATTACCGGCCAGTGTTGGCTTATGACTGAGCATGCCACGACCCCACCGCCCCAGGTTATTAGAGCCACCTCGGTTTGATCAAAACGCCAGCAGGGAGATCGTATATATATCCCATTGTCCATGTACGCTGAGAGGCGGCCAATAGGCCAGCCACCTCCCAATGCCGAGCTATTTACGAATATGTACAAATCTTGTCACAGGCAGTCAGTCCATCACTGAACCGACCCGGTTCCCGAGCCAGCAAGCGGCCTATCCATATGCCACCAGCACGCTTAGACATTCTGCAGCATGGAAACAATGCCCGCCCAGGTCTCGCGGACGGTGGGCTGGATCTGGTTGGCGGGCAGCGAGAAGCCGAAGTCACCGGTGTCGCGGAGCTCGTAGGTGAAGGCGTTGGGGGTGCTCGCCGAGCCAGCGAAGTAGCCGGTGCTGTCGCCCGTGGTCTTGTACAGGGCGCGGCAGCTGTTGCCGATGGTGTAGGCAGTGCCCGACACGGCGCGGATGGCGGACTGGGCAGCAGTTGCCAGCGATCGCCACCTCGTCTCGGCAGGGTCGACGAAGTTGCAGTCGTGGCCGTAGGCTGCAGGCGAGAGTACCGGTCAGCTGCTGCCAGAACGTAGATGCAAAGATGGAGACTACTGCGCAAGTAACCGGGAGCAAAGAGCCGAGAGAACTTACGCCAAAGAATGTACTGTCCGTATGAGTGAATGTCGAGGTAAAGCCGGATTCCGTTGCCGCTCCGCAGGGACTGAGCCTGAGCCACAAGGCCCTTGTTCTCGGGAGAGTCGCCGGCGGCCTGGCCCTTGTAAGTCTCGGAGCAGGGGCTGGTCGAAGCGCCTCCAGTCATTGCCCACGACGAGCTCGGCCAGTTCCTGTTGATGTCCCTGCCAACGCACGAGTTTCCGCTGACGGTCTGGCGGTTCTTGCGCCAGAGGCGGTCGTTGGTCTGCGTGTACGCAAAGCCTGCGAGAGAAAAGAATCTCGGTATCAGCACATGCGGCATTCATCAAGACTGCAATCACGGCTTGCTGGTGGTGCTCACCATCAGGGTTGACGATGGGCGTGATGTAAAAGTCGAACTTGTCAACCAGCGCCTTGACAGCAGCGTCGGAGCTGTACTTGGTCAGAAGCTGCCAAGCGATGTACTCGGTGGTCTGTCGGAAACAGCACCGCGGTCAGTCGGCTGGGGTTACTTTATCCATGCACTTATCATTTCTGACGGAGGGCTGCAGTTGCAACATACCATGGTGGAGATCCACTCGCGCGCGTGGACGGTACCGTGGATCACGATGGCAGGCTTGGAGCCCCTGCCGCCGCTACCCCAGATCTGGATGCCGGTCAGGATCTTTCCTTGGGCCGAGGTGCCAGCCGTGACGATGGCCGAGTTGGAGGTGAAGCCGCCCTGAAGATCTCGAAGGAACTGCAGGTGGTCATTGTAGCTGTGGTACGCCGTGAACCAAGACTCTGCGGGAACCGCGCGCGTAGCGAGTGGCGCGGAATGCTCCTCCTCGGCCAAGAGGGCGCCGACGTCGTCAATGATGACCTCGGCGGACGCGGCCATGTTTGTGACGGCGTCGATGTTGGCAGGGTCGACAACCACGTCCAGCACCTCGGCACCAGGGTTGAGGATGTGGGCTACAAGCTCAGTGAGCTTGTCCTCGACCTCTTGGGTGTGCTCGTTCAGGGTGACACGCAGGCCACGGAAGCCGCTGTAGTCAACCTTCAACGGCTTGGGTACGACGGCGACGGCGTCGGCCAGCCCGAGGGCCAGGAGCACGGCGGATGCAACTGAGGTCCTCATGGTGTCGAGTGCGAGATCACCTATGCAGGGGTGAGATCAAGTAGAGCTCAGAGGCGGTACCAGGCCGTGGGCTGGGACGAGGGCAAGGACGGTGGGTGACCGAGGTGGTCACTAAGCTTGACGAGGACGAGGAGGATGAGAAGCTTCTTATACGCATGACTTCTGGGCAGAGCAGGCGATTGCTTCTTTGCCTGCCAAGCCTACCCGCCTGCCCAGCGTGATCGACAGCCAGATAGCCCGCCGCCCATAGGTGGAAGCTTCGCGGGGTGGCATCGCGATATCAAGAGGCCGGGGCCCCAAATCGAAAATGGCAGGTGGGATGTGCGGATACGCGCCAGGCCATCGCGGGGACACGGCGCAACCTGCTCGCCGCCAGCTGCATCGTGTCAGTGATAGGCCACTTTAGCTTTGGCCAGCAGACGTGGGCAAAGATCCCAGGGTCAAGTCTTGTCGGGCCTGCTGCTGGAGGCGATCGAGTGGTGGACAGCGGGGTTGAGCGCCAAGACGCTGGGACTTGCCTGAACGGGAAGGTGGCTTCGGCACTGGGAAAGTCCCTGGCTAGAACAGTCTCGCGGCTGTGGCTTGGCTGTGATTCGCCAATGGCAAGGGTTGCGGCCGGGCGCGGGGACGAGGGGGGCCGAATCGAAGCGAGCCGAGCCTTTTGACGCGGCCAGAAGATGGAAGCTCAATTGGATGTTGTCATGAGGTGTGGCCATGCCTCATCGAATCGCATACAGCTGTCCACGATAATGTCGTCGGCCAGACTGCGACCTGCCGCAAGGGGCAGGGCTGTCAGTGTCTGCGCCACTTGGCGTGGGCGTTTTCTGGACTGGGCGCGGGGCTGTATGTCTACCAGTCTCGAGCACGTGGACTCGCTGACACGCTAAGCCAGCGAGCGGTTTGCACCATCGATTTCACCGCACATTGATTGATACAGTCACTCTTTCGGTTTGCAATTGCGAACAACCCCGTTTTAGGGGTCGCGGCGGCCCTGGAAAAGTTTTACATGCTATCGACTTCTTTGGCAGCTTGAACATAATCCTGCGCCTTGGGGTTGACTATTATTGGCGCCAACATGCTTATGCTTCACAGAGCTCACAAACAGACCATCTCCCTTCCTCATCCGTCTTTATTCTGCTTACCGCGGGTCCGGATTCCACGCATCCGAACAAGCGGTATAGAAACCATGATTTTAGACTAGGCACCCGCATTGCACACCTTGGCTCAGCCACTACAAGGCGCCGTGTTGCAAGCTAGCTAAGTCTCCGCTGGAGGTTGGGCCGCCGTGGCTGTCGAGTTGCGAATCCCAATTCGCCAGAGTCCGAGATGTCTAGGTCTGGAGTCCGAACAAGCATTGCACTTCAAGGCCCCACGGTTTGCTGAATCCTTCAGGAATTCTCCAGGGATCCCGCCAGCAAATACCCATGCTCGACAGGTACAAAGCCCACCAGCTTCGTGGACCGGGCGCTGCTCGGCGACTAGGGGATCCGACAACAAGCGAAGAGGCTGGCGTGGATCACTAATCCAGGCATCTTATAAAGACCGAGTGTTGATCGAAATATATATAATGACTTCGCCATCCTCTTTCCAGCTCAGATAGAACTCGAGTGGACATCAGATTCGTGTCAATAACGGCTCAGCCATCACAACTGTTCCTCGCTCGCCCCATAACTTGCAAAACAGGAGCAAGGACTTGTCAACAATGCAGCCACCGCGCTTCCTCGCACTTCTGGGCCTTGGACTCCTCGTCCCGCCAGGAGCCCTGGCCGCCGTCGATGGACTCTGTCCTATCATAGGCGCAGTTTTGCCTGCACCGACCAAGCCTGCGTCCCACGCGGCCGTGCAAAATGCCTTGGCGGATTTCAGGACGGCCGTTGAGAAAATTGTCGGCGGTCTCAACAGAACCGCCGTCTCGGTTGCTGTCAAGTCCATCCAAGAGCCCGACTCGCTAATCGAGCTTCACCACACGCCACCGACTCTCGATCCCAGGGGCGTGCAGAAGGTGGACGCAAACTCCATCTACCGCCTGGGGAGCATCTCCAAGATCTTTGCGGCCCTGGCGGTGCTGAAGCTGGACGGCGTCAGCTTCGATGACAAGGTGACCAAGTATCTCCCAGAGCTTCGGACCCTGGGCGACCCGACGAGGGCAGAGGACGCCGTCAGCCGTGTTGAGTGGGACGAGATCACTCTCGGGGCACTTGCTTCCCATCTTAGTGGGATAGCTGCCGACTGTGAGTCTTTCCTGACCCGCGTTGTAAATCCGACACGCGCTTGCTAACACTTGTATCCCGGACTTTATAGACGCCATCGACTTTGCAAGCTTCCCAGGATTCAATCCCACGCAACGGGGCCTGCCTCCAAAGAAGAACATTACAGATCCTGGTTGCGCTGGCATCGCAGGAATCAGGCCTTGCACGGAGAAAGGTATGTGCTGCAGCTTTCCTCTTCCCAATGTAAAGCCCTGATTCACTAACGCACAAGCCACAGACTTCTTCGAGGGCTTTGGCAGTCGCGCGCCCGTCTTTGCCCCCTTTTCGGCACCGGCCTACTCCAACATCGGCAGTCCTCTACTAAGCTTCGTCGTCGAGCGGCTCACGAACAAGAGCTATGCGGAATTCTTCCAGGCCGCCGTTCTGCAGCCCCTCGGGCTCAATGACACTGGCATGAAGAAGCCGGAAGACTCGCGCGGCGTCATCCCACTAAACGATACTTGGTGGAGCACCGACATTGGATTCGAAGCCACGTAAGTAGCGGGCCTCCTACGACAATCATCCTCTCATTTGAGACAAGAGCAAAGACTAACGCAACGGCACAGTGCCGGTGGCTTCTACTCGACGCTCAACGACATGCTCAAGTTCGGCGACGCGGTCCTTTCCAGCAAGATCCTCTCCCCCGCCGCGACGCGCAAGTGGTTCAAGCCCATGACCAACACGGCCTCGCTGGGCATGCAGCTGGGCGCGCCCTGGGAGATCCTCCGGGCCACCAACGTGACGCGCGACCAGCGCGCCATCGAGATCGTCACCAAGGGCGGCGACATCTTCAACTACCGCTCCACGCTGGCCATGATCCCCGACTACGACCTCGTCCTCACCGTCCTGCTGGGCGGCGACTCGGCCGAGAAGGGAATGTCGACGGCCGTGCCGCTGATCCAGGCCGCGGCCGTCAAGATCCTCCTGCCCGCGCTGGAGCAGGCCGGCAAGGAGCAGGCCCGGGCGACGCACGCCGGCACCTACCGCGACGAGGCCACCAACTCGACGGCCGTGCTCGAGGTGTCCGACGCCGACGCCGGGCCGGGCATCCGCGTCGCGCGGCTGGTGGTGCGCGGCGTCGACGTGATCGCCACGTACCCGGCCATGCGCAACATGTCCCCGAACCCGCCGGCCGCGGGGACGCTGCCGCCCGCGAGGCTCCGGCTGTACCCCGCGACGGGCGTCGCGTCGGCGTGCCGGCAGGCCTGGAGGGGCGTCTACAGCATCGGCGCGCCGGAACAGGTGGCCGCCGACGACGCGCTCTTCCCCTGGCTCCAGAACAGGTGCGTCACCTGGGCGAGCACCGACAGGGACGTCTACGGGCTGCAGGCGCTGGACAGATTTGTGTTCAACACTGGCAAGGATGCGGTCACCGGGAGCTTGGAGATGCCGGCCTACCAGGTCAAGATGGTGAGAGTTGCGGAGGGCAGCTAGATTAATGCTAATTATTAGACGGATACGTGTGCTACGGCGCTATGCATTTAGACTGTAATTATTTAGTCATAATTCGCATATATATATATATATTTTTTTTGCCTGTTTCATATCGCATTTTTTCCATATCTCTTCGCTCATTATTACTTCACCAGGGTCATCCTAATGAACAAACCGAAAATCCAACCTTTTCATCCCTTCGTCCGCCGTGGTGAGCTGGTAGTGCTGCTTCTCCTGCGCCGTCATGGCGTTCCACTTGACGTCGCGCACGCGGTTGCGCCAGATATAAAATGCCTTGACGAGGTAGAACAAGACAATGTTGAGGCAGGTGATGCCCAGCAGGATCTTGTTCCCCCGGGTGTACAGCGGCTTGTCGTCGTCCCTGTAGATGTTTGTGGCGATGATGTTGCCGCTTTGCACAAACATGTTGTACAGCGCCGCCGAGACGGCGCGCGTGCGCACGCTGTTGCTGTTGCTCGCGTTCCAGGCCACCAGGATGGCGTGGCAGTAGGGGTACGACAGCATGCCCGTCAGGATCGCGTACCGGACCCAGGGCGAGGCGCTGGCGGGGATGGTGACGAGGGCCACGAGCCAGGGGAGGAACCAGATGTTGGAGGAGGAGGCCACGATGGCGCGCTCCTGGAACTTCCGGGACAGCCACGTCACGAACAGCAGCTGCGCGGCGAACAGGACCTGCGACGGGATGGCGAGCAGGTTCGCCTCAAAGACGGAGAAGCCCAGCTGGCGCAGGATGAAGGACAAGTACGTGTTGGGCGGGGCGGGCGGGATGTAGGCCGTCAGGCCGATCAGGTAGAGCGGCCACTGCTCCCAGTCGTTGACGGCCTTCCACAGCAGCGGCAAGCCGACGGCCTGCCGGTTGTTCATGTCGCCCTTTGACGGGTCGTCGCGCAGCAGCCTGTTGACCATGATGTTCTCCTCGTGCTCCGTGAACCAGCCGTCCCTGCCGCGGAACCAATTGCGCGTCTGCGTCGGCCCGGGAGGCATCAGCACCCAGGAGAAGAGGCCGATGAAGACGGTGATGATGGCTTCGATCAGGAATAGCCATCGCCAGCCAGACCACCCTAGGATCCCTCGCATCTGCAGAATTCCCGCTGCGAGGAAGGAACTGAAGATCTGGACGGTGCTGAGGGCCGTCCAGAACCACGCCAGGCGGGTGGGCAGTTCCCCAGAGGTGTAGAAGTATGTGAGCCACAAGACAATATCCGGGATGAACCCTCCCATCAGCATTCCCAGGAGAACCTTGATGGCGTAAAAGCTAGCTTTGTTATGGATGAAAGCCTGGGCGCCGGCCACGATGGACCACCCGAGCATGATGGTCGGTATCCAGCGGTCTGCACCGAGCCGCTTGCTGATGAGGCCACTGGGCAGCTCAGCAGCGAGGAATGAGGCCAGGAAGATGGTCTGTCCGTAGTTGAAGTCGTTTGTGTCCATGCCTGCGAACAAACATGATTAGTGCGAGCCCATGTTATAGATAGATACCAGATGCACGCGCAGGCCGACCTACCAATTTCCGGCAACATATTGTCCGATATGGCGCGGTTGATGTTGCGGCGATGCAGATCGAGCGCGCAGAACATGACCCACGCCCACACCATGATGCGGCGGTCGATTTTCCGGACTAGCTTCTTCTCCTCCTCGGCCGTCCACTTGTAGCCCGGGTCGAAGCGGTGTCTGTTCTCGTACCGGGCCTTCTCGTACACGCCGCGCCAGCGGGCCGCGACCTCGGGGTCGCTGAAGGGGTGCTCGTCCGACGAGCCGTAGCCGCTGCTGCCGCTCCCGGCCACCACGTCCTCGCGGGACTGCGAGCTCCCCGGGCCGGCAGAGTAGGTGGCATCCTTGTCTGGGACCGTCTCCCCGGTCTTGTCGGCTGGAGCTGGTGGCATCGTGCGATCACCAAGGGTCTTCTCCGGTCTCCGTTTTGCTCTGTGGGACAAATATCCGTTGGGAAGCAAAACGCGTACGTCGAATATTGTTGCCCATGTGGTGTGAAGTCGATTCGCATCAGCACGCTGGAGCCCAGATCTCACAGGATCGATGACCCAAGACAACGGGCGCGTACCAGCCATTTATACCGATATGCGTTTACTCATCCCTGATGTCAAAATCCACAGAGTAGCAGTAAAAAAGCCCAAGTTTTGGGGACTTGGGGGCGTGGAAGTGGGGGTCGCATCTCTGTGTACCCTCGGTCTATTCCTCGATGTTGCGAATCCCTTCCCCATGATGGCAACATCGCCCACGGCCATGGACCAGGGACCAGCTGCGCCAGTGCTACTAACTAATTCTTTATCTTTGCTTCATACTCTATTACAGACTTCACTCCGTATCTGAAAACTGTTTAGGGCCCTTCTGTTGGCCTATTTGTTCGGAGCCACCCTAAGCCTGGGGACCGTGAGGCCTTATCGGATGGCGTCATCGCAGCTTTCAATGGCGTTGGCCCAGCGCTGCGTGCTCGCCATCTTGTATGCTACAGTTCCCCGCTGGAGATGGACCGTTGGCACGTCGATCTACACAGTAAACCATGGGCCTCGGGCTTCTTGTTTGGAAATGCCCGCTATCAATCACAATCTCGACGAGTAGCGCACCGCTTTACACCAAGCGTAGTGCTGGGCGTGCATGACAAGATCCCCTCCCGCCCAATTCTTCGTGGGGGGCGCCGCAAAAGCAGTCAGGTCTAGACCTTCAGCAGTCCTCCTTCAAGCCATTTGAGTATCCTATTCGCTAGAACGAAAAGCCCTTGGGCGGACCGATGGGGGCTGGGAAAAGTGATGTCATGTCGGATTCTCACCGGCAGCTTCACCCATACGGCGGCGATTGGGGCTTTGCTCGCAGATTTGGACGCTAATAATGCACTGCGCGTCCTAGGCGAGGCCAGCGTGCGACGTACATACCATCTGTTCTCTGGATACTTGGATTCGGAGGGGAGTTGGCCGGACAAGCGGCGAGGGCCAAATGTAGCCGACGATAAGTGACGATGGGGCTAGGCCAGAGCTCTTCCAAGGAAAGTACGGCCCACCCCTGGTTGCCGGCTGTCGTGGCCAACAAGTCGACTTGGCAGTCGAGGTGCAAAGATGGCATACCGGAGTGTTGTTGGTTCCGAAAATCAGGACCGGAATAATCTTCTACTATTGATCTCACCCCAATTTTCCATCACCATTCGTACGTCTATTGAAAGCTTTTCCAGCGCCCCTACTTCGCTGTCAGTGGTGTTGTAGACTACTCTATCATGTCTTTTTCCTCGGCCCATATCTCTCTATCCAAGACGGGGGGCCTTGTGCTTCATGGTGTCAACCGCAATCCTGAACAGAGGCATCCCCTGGTACCACGATTCCCCACAGTCCCTCAAAACCGGCCCTGCGTCCATCCAGGACATAGCTTTCCCCTCGAGAAGTCTAGCTTTGATGGCCACCTGGATACCTCGGACGGTGAGGATCCTCGCCTGCTCCTCGATCGTCCCTTCTGCCATGTCGCCGCGCTCATCACCGTCTAGGGCAAGTCCGAGTGGGGGTTCGTTAACCCCAGCCAAAGTCTCGCGGAACCTTGGACAGTTGGATCCGACCTCGGCAACGATCAGCATCTCGATCCGGGCGTCATCGTGAAGCTCGCGGAGGTCCCGTTCGGTGTTTGGGCCAAAGAGAAATTCCCACTGTTCGGGAAACTTCCGGTCCTACCAGACGAGGAATCGAACAGCGTCCCTGGTGACATTTTAGCCATGTCAGCCAGACGACCTTTCAGCCAAGCAATGGCGCGAATAGCGCTGGGCGGCGCGATCTCTAGATAAAGGATATTGCTAAAGACTCGGACAATATGGAAACCGAGACGCCATCGAGGCGCCACGGGCACGCACTCACCCAAAGTTGGGGAACCGATTTCTCCAATCCTCATGATAACGCGAGATCCTGGTCGCGTAGAACTCAAAGGCGGACTTGCCTTCCGGGGGGTCGACCAGGGGTGCTGGCAGGATGTAGTGGGCGTCTCCGAACGGAAAGCAGGTATGGTGGGGGATATGGGTATGTTGCAAGATGGGCGTGTTTTGGGCTTCTTCCCAGGTCGGCATCGGAGTCGCAAGCCCAAGTTCGGCGAGGGCTCTTGCGGGTCGCTCGCGCGCATCCGGGGAGGTCTAGTCCCAGATATCGTTTCGCCTGGTTGCCCGCTCCCGAATCGTCTCCCGGAGCCCCCAGTTCATCACTGCCGATGCGTAGCGGGACGCCTCTCGATAGAAGCACTGAAACTCGACAGGACTTTGCGGTCTGCCAGTGACGTTGCCGTCGTCCATGCCGAGGCTTCTGAGCTTGGCTTGGATGGCAGGGACAAAATGGGGAGAGCCTGTGCCCCACGTGGCCGGCGCGAACGGGACGCCGGGTGCCTCGGACGGGATGCGGGCGTTGGTGAGGCCGCCGGCAAAGTTCACGAGAAGGTTCACAACAAGCATGGAGACCAGGCGGTCCACGCCCATTGGGCCATTGCGCCCGCTCGCCTCCTGTCCCAGGAGAAGGGTGGAGCACCAACGTCCATTGCACATGACAAGGTGCACCCGCCCAGCCGGGAACTCTAGGCGGCTGAGTATCCAGTCGTTGGGTGCATAAGGGTGAGTCTGGCAGCCTATGGGGTCCGTGTGGTGCGGGCATTGAGATTCAGGGCCGGGCCAGCATTGCTTCGGGACGACAGAGGCGGGGCACGGGAGACTGTTGAACGTGTGTACGAGCCGAGCCATGTCATTGTCGTCCATCAGTGGGGAGGCTTCGTCTATCAGGAAGCCCGCGTCGTCTATCTGAAAGGCCACATCGTCCATCGGAAAGGCCGCGTCGTCCATCGGGAAAGCCGCATCGTCCATCAGAAAAGCCGCATCGTCCATCGGAAAGGCCATGTCGTTCATCGGAAAGGCCGCTTTACCCATCGGGGGGTTGGCCTCGTCCATCTTGGGCGCTGTTTGGGAGAGCGAGGGGGATTTAATGAAGCAAGTTGCTGGCGATAGGTCAAGGATTCTTGCTATCGAATACTAGGAATGACGCGAGCGAGATGGAAACTGGATGCTGATGTTGTATGTGAAAATGCAGTAGTCGGACACCAAGCGTCAGAACACGACATGGGAAAGAAAAGGAAAACAATGAGGAAAGGAGGAGCTCCCCTCGTGCCTGCATTGTATTCAAACGCTCGGCTGCCCTCTATCTCTCACACCTTTACCGCCAAGCGCGGCCCTGCCCTTGCCACCCTCGCACTCAGCAGGAACAGCACGGTCCCGTTGATGGCGACTGCCGCAAACACCTGCAGGCCCAGGTACTCGCCGCCCTGGGCCCTCAGGATGGCGCCTGCGATGGGCGGTCCGCACAGCGACCCCACTGCGTTGCAGAGGAAGGCCGTACCCATGCGCGCGCCCAGGAAGGAGAGGTCCTCGGTGATGGAGGCCAGCACCACGGGCGGAAGCGACACGATGCCGCCGCTGAAGAAGCCGTACAGAATCGCAAAGACGACGTTGCCCGCCACGTCGCGCACCCCGATCCAGCCGCACGCGACGGCGCCCGCCGACGCGGCCACGGCGATCATGGTGTTGATTGGCCCCATGCGCGGCGTCACCAGCGACGGCGCGAGGCGGCCCAGCACGGAGGCGCCGTTGAGGATGGCGATGAGGTTGAGGGCGAGGCCGCGCGCGTGCTCCATGCCGTGGCCGAGCGCGTACGTCTGCAGGTAAAAGATGGGCACGAAGAAGCCGAGGTTGGAGAAGAAGCCGGCGGCGCAGAAGAAGAGAAAGGGCGGCTCGCGGAACGACTTTGGGTCGAAGAGCGAGCGCACGCGGCGCGGGCCGACGCGCGTGCGCATGGCGGCCACGGAGACGGAGCACGTGGCCAGCGCCACGAAGCCGAACAGGCGCGCGGTCCAGGGGAAGCCGAGCGGGCCGATGACGCCGTTGAAGAGGAGCGGGTAGACGACGCCGCCGACGCTGCTGCCCACCACGCACATGCCCACGGCCAGGGCCCGCCGCGAGGGGCCGAACCACTGCGGCAGCACCGCCAGCGACGGCACCACGATGCAGCCGGCGCCCGAGCCGACGCAGAACCCTTGGCCCAGCAGCACGTGCCAGTACTCGGACGCCAGGCTCGTCATCATGAAGCCGAAGCTGACGAGGGCCGTGCCCGTCACTATCAGGGCGCGGAAGTAGCCCGCGTCGAAGAGGGGGCCGGCCAGGACGCCGCCGCCCAGCAGCAGCGCACCCTGGAGCGACCCGATCCAGGAGATGGCGGCCGGCGTCGAGGTCCTAAGGAGGTTGGACTCATAGTAGGTTTGGAAAACGCCAAAGGTGTTGACGATGCCCCTAGAGTGGATATCAGCTCGTTTGTTCTGACCGATGCCTTACCTGACGATTCGCTGCTGCGTTCCGGCTGACACATGAGAGATGCCTTGACAAGAACCTACCAAGAGTTGAAAAAGATGAAAAAAGCACCAACAACCTGTAGCCATGCCTTCAGACCCCCGTTTGGGATGTCGTCCAACTCAGGTGTTGCAGCCCCCTCGGTGACAGCCTCGGATACTGGCGGTAGTCCCGCCCCGGGCTTTTCGGTGGCTGGGTTGTCGGTCCCGGATATAGAGACGTCTGTCGTCGAGAGGTCGCCGCCTCTTGCGATCTTGTCGTCGGGATTTGCCGCCATGGTTTCAAAACGGCGGGCTTGGTGATCTGCCCCTTTTTTTTCTGTTCCTTTCGCAACATGAGCAATTACGCGAACAAACGATCTCGGATTCTTATTGTATTCCTTTTCCTTTTCCTTCTCCCTTCCCTCATTGTTCAAATGAGAGGTGGGCCACAGCATCCAAGCACCTTCGGCATCGGTCGGCCCCCTTGGTGACGGGGGTGGCCACCCCCCTTGTACTGGTTGATCCACAGCAGATGATACCCTCCACCCGTCGAAGCTCCAGACCACATCCGCCCTTTTGTTTGTGTGTCATGCCTGCTCCACGGTCGGCTGTTGGGAGCAAACCCCGACCCCCGTTACTAGGTAGCGCTTTCCGCCACTTCTGCAATGGCGCCGAGTCTGCTCCATTGCATACCAACCCTGCCATCCGGGGAGGTGTCGTGACCCCTCCTCTCGGGTGCCTGACCACCGGCGATTGGTGACAGGCGGTTTGTCATCAATGGGTCGGGGTCTGCGGATCGAGCGGCTCGTGCAGGTATGGGTGGGAAGCGGCGGGAAGCGGCGGGAATAACCTCCAAGATTTAGCGTGGCCTGCGGTATCCGGCTGTCCCGCCCGCTGGGGCCCGGGGTGCACCCCTGGTTCTATATCAGATCAGAAACGGCGTGCACCGCGCTTTGGGCCTGTGCTCCTCGGCCGCCCGATGCCAGCCGAGGAGCACAGGGTCTTTGGGCATCAAGGCAACGAATTCATCTCCTTCCAGGACTTCGAGTTCGGCCGGTTTCTAAAAGGCTAGCAACTCATGCTTGTCTGCCTCTGGACGCGCCGCTCCAGCGTGGGGAAGAACATTTAATCTGCTGTGGGCTCTTTGGCTTGCTGAGTGCCGAATATATAACCCGGCACTAGAGCTGTCGCCTCCTTCGTTCATTCTGAACCCCGCACGGCTCGTGATCAGGCCGGCTAGTCAGCACATTCCCGCCAACCATCAGTTTCAGCTTTGCCATTACTGTGTACGGTTTGCGTTACAATATTTATTTATTTTATATAGCCGCATACGGCCAGCCCTGCACCAATTTTCAGATGTCGTGGCCACAACCCATGTGAGTCTCGCCCATGGCCTGGAGGTCCTCCAGCTGCATAAAGGTGGGCATCAGGGTGCTCTTCCTCATCTCGGCCAGCTTGCTCTCGTCCACCAGGGTCTTGGGGATGAGCGAGGTGCCGTTGAGCGAGAGGACGGTGAGCTGGTGCGCGGCGGCGCGCGCGTTGAGGAGCAGCAGCTCCGGCTGGATGTTGGTGATGTTGTCGCACGCCTGGTGGTAGCACGGGTCCTCGGTCGGCAGGATGCCCGTCTGCAGGAAGCCAAAGGGCTTGTTCAGGACCCGCCAGAAGGAGGCGTAGTCGGAGCCGTTGGTCAGGACGCGGGGGGTGACCTCGACGCCCTGCGCCGCGAAGTGGTCCAGGTAGGTCTGCTGGATGACCTCGGACCCCTTGGGGGCGACGCTGCCGTACGTGCGGCCGTCGTTGTCCGACACTCCGATCCGTCCGCGAGCTTGCATGTCGAAGTTCTGTGTTGTCCAATGTCAGTTTGGCCGTGGCGGAGCGACGGGACGTGATGGAATGTGGGTTTCCTATCGCGCTTACCAGATAGGCCAGAATCTTGTTGATCTCAGCCGCCTCGAGGCTGTTGCAATAGTGACTGGACCCAACAAGTCCATTCTCCTCGGCGGCCCACCAAGCAAAACGGACCTTGTTCTTGGTCCTGTACTTGGTGAGTGCGTGGAACAGCTCAATCAGAATTGAGGATCCCGAGGCTATAGTTGTCAAGAGTGAATGTTAGCCGCCGTCGCCATCACAACGCCAACCGCAGACGCAAAGCACAAGGACAGTAAAACTTGCCGTCGTCGTTGATGCCGGGCCCGGCTTGCACGCTGTCGTGGTGGGCGCCCAGGACGATGACGTTGTTGGGGTCGCCGTCCTCGGTCTCGACAAAGATGTTGTGCGTCTTGCGCTCCTCAAACAGCTGCGTCTGCTGGAAGTAGACCGAGATCTTCTCGCCGGCCTCGAGGCGCGCCTTGGCCGCCAGGCCGTCGACGCGGTTGATGAGGCCGGCGGACCTGAAATCGTTCGACGGGGCGCCCAGCGAGCCGGCCGTGACCTTGGTGTCGACGTCGGTGTAAACGATGACGGCGGCGGCGCCGGCCTTGGACGCCGCCAGCACGCGGCCCGCCAGCGTGCCCGAGGTCGGGCAGCGGAAGCGGTCGATGAGCACGATCTTGCCGGCCACGTCCAGGCCGCTGTAGTTGGCCGCGTCGCAGCCCGCGGCGCCCTCGGGCCCCAGAACCAGGTCGGCCGTGATACCCTCCTCGCTGGTCGAGGGGCTGTATGTCAGGCCATACACGTACGTGTCGGCGCCGGCGATGGTGAGCTTGATCGAGGCGACGTAGTTGAAGAGCGCCCCCAACTCCTGCTTCCAGGCCTTGGTGCCGGGCACGTTAGAGACACGGTCGAAGATGTAGTCGATGGTGGCCTGGTTGCCGGGCAGGCCAAAGGCGCGGTTGCCGCCGTTGGCGTAGGCGATGTCATTGAGAACCTGCAGGTTCTTCATCAAATTTTCCTCCGTGATATCCGCCTGCAGCTTGGCCGAGTCGACCTTGGGCTTGCAGACCTTCTGTCCCGCAACGACCGTGGCCAGCGACAGCAGCGCGGCCGCGGCCGAAGCCGTCCTTCTGTACCCGAACCTCATTTTGGCAGCTTGGCGCGCGCTGAGTCGACCGTCAAAGGCGGGCTGGAAGAGGGATCTGAGCCAGTTCCTTCCAGGGCGGATGGGAGGATGCAGACCAACAAGGAGGAGAGTTGGCTAAAGAGGCAGAGAAGGAGGGACGGCCGGCCGCATCATTTTGCGAAGGCCGGCCTCATTAATAGCCACGCCGTCAGCGTTCCACTGCAGCCTCCGGGGTGAGGGCGGACAAGGAAGCTGGCAGGAGCTGGTCTCCGGGGCCGCCTCCCGCACGCCGAGAGCCCATGATGCGGATTGCATATCGCATCGGGAAGGTCAAAGTCGCTGGAGCCACAGCGTTGGAGATGCCAAGAGGCTCCATGACCAGAATAGGATGTTCGCTGTGGCAGCAACCCCACATGCCAACCCCCTCCAGAACGATAAGGCGCCGGGTAAAGGCGATTTCCTTGGTGTCGAGGACTTTGTCCTGGGCCACGTCCATGATATTGCATCAATCCGGGATCTCCTCACTTTGTTGTCACATATATAGGGCCACATATGATCGGCTGCAACCGACGGCTGCAAGTGCTGGGGGAACGCGGAGACAGCAGCCATGTCCTCCCGCCGTTGATCAACACTGAGAATAACACTACCAAGCGCTACAAAACCAACAACTAATACGGGAAAAAAAGAAGGAAAAAAAAAAACATTCGCACACCGAGTTCACACTTTTGTTTGCCAGCCGTAGAGACCATGCCTGGTTTTAGTCAGTTTCTGAAAATAAGGGTTATAAAATCATTGATCAGACGCCGCCCCGCTAATTAGGTGGGCGCCTATGCACAAACCAGCAATCACGTAAACGCGTCTAGCTGGCGTGCTCGACGCGCCCCACCCAAGCATCACTGCATCATTCGCGACCTTCTTGTTCCATGCTCTGCTAGCGACCACCCACCAGCTGCCCTAGGTGGCCACAGCCAGGTGCCATAAAACAAACGAAATGCCTCGGCCGCCGCTCCGCGCCCGTGCGCGTCCGCAGCCCCCAGCCAAGCCAAGCGCGTCGCGGGGCCCCGCCCGGAGGCGGCCGCCGACGTCACCACCACCACCACCTCCTCCGCCGGCAGCACCCTCCCCGGCCGCAGATGATGGCGACAACACCATCTCCGACGTCTCCGCCGACGCCGACGCCGACGCAGCGGGCCTCCCCGACCTGCCCCTCTTCAACACCACCTTCCACACCTACCGCGCCTCCCCCCTCCACGTCGGGCCGCAGCCCCTGACCGCCGACCGCCTGGCCCGCGTCGCCGCCTCGCTCCGCGACGCCCTGGTCGGCGACGTCGTGCGCGGCGTCCAGGTGCGCCTGCCCGGCGCC